TTCTTATACTGATGAAAATCATAATTTCTGTAATCTAAGATGGCCCTATGTTTTTAATGCAGAAAATTAATTGTTCTCAATACAGGCTTAAATATCTTAAATGTTAATGCTCTATTTTTTCTTAATACTAGGACTTTTCATATGAAAAATTAAGGAGTACTTCCATACAGAGGCTACACCTACAAAAGTCTTCAGAAGTGCTTAGGGAATTTAAGTCAATGCTTTTAATTAGGAAAACTACTGATTACTGGCTTCATAGCTTTAAGAGATCTAAGTCAATGTTTTAAATCTAGCATTTTGTTACTCATGATTTTATTAACACTTAACAATATCACCTAATTCAGATATGCAAAATATTCACTGATCGTCACCAGGAACTAACACAAGCAAACACTTTTCTGAAGACAGATCTCAGTTACAATTTCCAAATATGACAGGTTTGAAGAGGTTTATGACACGAATAATGCAAACTGAAAAGGAAACTTAGCTGTTACTGTGGCGTGTAAAACGAAGAGAAGAAAGCCATTCCGAGCAAATTTTAGAAAAACATGTCTTCAAGGATAATGGTCACACCTACTTTCAAATAAGCCTGTGAATACCGGATCTGATTTATAAAAAATGAATAGATATAATTTCTATAGCAGAAAATATTTTGATTTAATAACCCTGAGACATAGTTTTTTTATACCAAGAATATCAAGAGGTTCAAAATATCCAGAGTAGTGCCTAAACTTCTGTATATTTATAAAACTTCACAGAGAAGTCTACCTGTAATCTCAGTTAAGAAACAATGGCCTTGAAAAATGCTAGATTCAAATTAAATAAATAAGGCTGTGGCCCACATTTTAATAATATTGAAATGATGACTGATCATTTCAATAATACTTAAATGATGACAACAAGAACTCTCATATGGGAAAACTCTCTAGAACAATGTTCTGGATGATCAAGTTTAAAAGCAAGTCAAATGTATGCATGATAAATAAATAAAGCTAAAAGAATATTAAGAAAAGTATTTGCTTAGAGTGATAAAAACGTTGAAGACTTGGTCACTTACTGGGAAAGGACAGAGTTGATCAGAGAAACGGGAGTTATGACAAGCTATGAGTCTGCCTGATAACAACAGATTAGATTTAGGGGAAAAAAAAAAAGAATGTATTTCACTTCTTAAATCAGTCAAAAACTATATCCTAAAGACAGGTTTAAGAATTTATTTATGGATGACATATTTAATGATGTATTTGAAGAGACCAACCTTCATATATATATACCCGCACATGATATTACATGTTACTTGATATTATTTAATATTTATATAATATTTATATTTTAAATAGCCCATGTACTTGCATCTTTTCATTGGAAAGGTGATAAAGACAATGCTATTCACTTTATAAATATAAATATATAAAAGGAGCATTGGCTCTTTAAATCCAATTAAGAGATTTCCATTAGTGATTCCTTTAATAATAACAATATAAAATATACTTAAAGGCAAAGGCCATGTCATGGTGTCATCACTAAATAAAAATAGGGTATTCAAGTTAATTTCCTCTATCTACTTCTATTTAAGCAATTTGATTAAGATTCAACTTTCAAATCTAAATTCGAATTAATTATGAGGGCACGTTTACTCCTTCAGAAGCATAAAAATGATTTTCAATACTAGTTCTTAAAGAAGCATAAAAATGATTTTCAATACTAGTTCTTAAAGGATAATTTTTATACACCTTAACACAGAGAAAAAAGGAAGCCTCACTGTTGTTCTTTGTTAATGACAAATGAATACTTGACATTTTCTCTTCTACAAAAGGATGTGACCTGAAAAAGCACTGTGAGTAAAGGAAATTAATAGAAATTGATTCATAAATGACATGAGCTTCACAGGCTTATAAGCCTTTAAGACAACCAGTCAAGCTCATTCATGCCCTGCTCTCTTTTTCCCTTCTCTCCTCCAACTTTATCTAAGTAATGACAGAATACTGTTTGGGAAGAATTGAAAAAAATCTTACAAAGCTTTTTTTTCTCTGAGTAGTACCTGTATTATATATTTTAATACGTGACCTCACTTTCTAAAAATAAAATCATTACCTTACTATAAATCACTCCGCATCATCAGGATGCAGAGATTTTATTTGTGTCAAGAAACAAAAGCAGAAGAAAAGTTTTTCAAAGACAACACATTTCATATAACAGCTAAGTTGAAATATTATATTCATCATCTAAAATGTCCACCTGTTACTGCACAAATGATACTATTCATCTCTCTCATTATACAATACAGAACTAATTTGTATGGATAACATCTAAATACACCAGAATCCCTCAAAGTGTATCTTTTCAATGATTTTACCTAGCAATTTTTAATTCAGTGGTCTACACTGTTTAAAAGAGGAATTACTCAGCCAAAAGTGAAAGTCGCTCAGTCAAGTCGGACTCATTGTGACCCCATGGATTGTACGGTCCATGGAATTCTCCAGGCCAGATACTGGAATAGGTAGCCTTTCCCTTCTCGAGATCTTCCCAACCCAGGGATCAAACCCAGGTCTCCTGCATTGCAGGCAGATTCCTTACCAGCTGAGCCACCAGGAAAGCCCTATTCAGCCAAAGCTACTACTATATTTGCTTATTTAATAAACTTTAGGTTCCATTCTTCTAGACTGTTGCTAGTATTCTCAAAGACTTTTCTCAAAATTGTGAGATTTTGGTTTTCACTTTTTGGAAAATGTAACGATGAATTTTACTGCTCTGAATACCTACTATTGTTCTAGATAGAAGATCTACTATGAACAAAGCTTCTTCATGTTTGTGCTATAAAATGAACCCTGCTTGTTCAGTTAAGCCATCTAAACAGTAGCAAAGTACCAAAAATTTAGGAGTTTCCCCCAAATAATCTAAGTTAAACTCTTCTGTAACTTCCAAAGCCAATAATTTCCAAAATAACTTCCAAAACCAGTATTAAATAACCTTAAAAATAAAGAAGGTATCTTTATACCAAAATCTCTAGATTAAATAGGCAAAATAAACATTTCCAAAGTTTTGATTTAGAAACATTTTTTTAAAAACTTCAACATTTAAAATACCAAAAATCAATCATTTTGATTCTCTTGACTGCAAACCTACAAAATAGGTTTTGGAGGATAACCTACATTTTATAAGATGAAAAATGAAAATATTGATGAATGTTTTATAAGAATGAAATACTGTATAAGAATGAAAAAACTAAAAGAAGAAATCAATCTTAATATATCATAATTATCTCTACTGACTTGTTTTGAGGCATTTTTACCACAAATTACTGAAGTCCTCAAAAAAGGAAACCTTCACGTTCACAGATGTTCTACTTTATGCTGCATCAGTTTATTTCAGTGTGATTCACCTAAATATAAGTTTTCTACTGATAAAAGAGAGGATTTTAAATGACTGGAAAGAATATTCTTCTACAACTTTTTGCTAGCTCTTATACAAGCCGATCAAATGTATCAAATAGTTTCCCTATTACAGAATCCTTCACTTCTCATATTTTTTTACTCTCTCATAGGATTATAAAGAAAAGGGTATTAGACAACTGTGGGCAACAGGCAACAGGAGAGGACTGCAAAGGAAAAATTTTTCAAAGATTCAATTGAGAAGACAGCTGGATATAAGGAATTCTAAGGTTTGTGGAATAAAAAAAATATTATTATTTTAAAAGGTATCATTGTAAAAAGTCTTTTTTTTCCTCCTCTTTTTTCACAGAAAGCCACTCAACCACCCATTCCTAGGGGAAAAAAAGGTAGCTAACAAACAGAATTTCCTCACAATTTTAAGGGCTTCATAAATTCTCTCAAAGCCTGTGGAATCTCAGATTAAGGACACTCAAATAGTTGTAAAAGCTTTCTGACCCTACTCAAAACATGACCTTACAAAAGTACAAAGTTTAACAATCTCTTTGAATTCTAAAATAAATCTATCAGTACTTTAAAATCTTGACTAGCAAAGCATAATGTAACATCTAGCGATGTATAATAAAATTAATTGTAATCCTAAATTATACATAACATGAAACAGAAATGTGTATTTTTTTTAAATTACTATATCTAAATGACTTAAGTTATGCATATCTTTTCAGTCCATCAATCCTATGAAATAAGTAAAAACATAATTATTTGGGTATCATTTCTAACTCCAAAAATTATTGAGGGAAAACATAGTGTTTAATAAAGAAAAAGCCAGGAAATTTTGTACTCTGCATATATGAACTGAGCTGCAAATGTATACAGGACCCAAATGTCAAAATCATAATTAGCATTTTTCCTTAACTCTACTACTAGTGAAATATATCTGTAAAATATATCTCTAATTTCTTTTATTCCTACTCAACCTTTATTATTTAAGGATGATAATATGTTGCAATAAATTCTCATTAGTAATATGCTAAGTAGTAGTGGGGTGAGCCAATGTACCAGTTTCAAAAATACAAGTATGCAACAGATGCTTTTCAAATATTACCTCTAAGCAGAAGTTCCATAAATAAATTGTATTTTTAAATATGGTGGGCAGTAAATAGAATGATTAACTAAAGAATGTATTAAAAGCCATATCTCTCAACTGTCCCATTATCTCTATCTACTCTTTTATTAGAAGTACAACTTTTGCTGTTTATAATAAGTGAGTTGAATCTAATGTCTTCATTTTTAGAAGTTTATTTTTTTAAAAAGATCTAATTATCCTTATGAATAAACCACTAAATCTAATCAAATGTCTTTTCTCAAATTCATCTTAGTGTAGACTAAGAATTAATAAGATAGATTCAATGATGTTAACTAGAAAGTTTTTAAGTGGATAACAGTAATACCTATGACTAAATTTATACATATGCCATACCAAATTTTGGTAAGCCCTGAATGATTTTCAGGGATAACAGACCTGAAGCATTTGAGATAGTTGAGAGATGTGGTTAAAGTGACAAAGTGATAAATCAAATTTCAGTTATCCATGACAGAAGGTAGAAATAACAATCACTTGGAATCTTGAGTATTATATTCAGTTTCTCCAGCTGAGATCTGGCTGAGCCGTTTGCTAGATCCCCACAATTTTCGAGAAAGCTGACCTGAGCGCATCTGTTTAAAGTAATCCAGAGAAATTAAGAATAGATGTTATTAAGTATGAAAAAAAATAAATGAAATTAATATATAAGACAATGATTTTTTTAGAGTATAAAATAAATAGGTTTGGTTAGCAGAATCATTAACATTTTAACGATTCTTAATTAATAATAATTAAAGAAAGGCTTTTCTACAGTGTCTTTTAGTTGAGAAAGATCAAATACCACTGTATAAATTTTTAAATTAAATGTGCCAGTTATATAAAAATTACAAGACTCCCTTACATTATATATTTACAAAACTACATTTCACTTCATTAAAATAATCTCAAATTATACTTAATCTCACTAATAAGACACATAGCTTTGAGGATTTTTCTCCTAATTACAGTATTATTAATGACAATCACAATCATAAGAAGTAAAATAATATTTTGATGAAAAGAAAGTAATTTTTAAATAGTTTGATCTAAGAAATTTAAAAATTCTTTATCAATAGAATGATAAAAAGTAATTTGGAAAATAAGAACAGCATAAGCTCTTTGAAAGGGAGAATCACATTTTTCCACCATTAAATTTTTTACCACTTAGCACACTTCTTGGCATATAACAATTATTAATCAAAATTAACTGAATCAGTGGGTTAATGCCCCTCTGAAAGTATAACATTTCTCTATCTAACCATATGATTTGTTGGAATTACTTTCCTAAGAGCAATCTACTTTTTAATGGTGCTTTATATGCTACCCTTTTTTAATGGTTACTCTTCTAGGGTCCATTCATTAGTGATAAAAGACAGGCCTCAAGCAAAGACATTTTGGCATGTTTGCTTTGCATTTTCATTTCCAGACGTATTTCCAAAACCATTATTTCTATTCATCTAGTTCCACTTTAACATCTAATTTACAAATATGGATTCTGTACGACAGCATAACGTATAAAACTGACACATGATTTAAAAATAATACTAACCAACATTTTTTACTTTAAGATAAAAATAGATGTTGAAATAGAACTCTTCATAACTATTGATCTATTTAATTTCTACATAAAATTATATAAAATTTCACATAAAATTATATTTTAATTATGCAGAATTCTAAGCATTCAATTATATTATTTACTAAAGTAGATCCATAATTCAGCTAATGGGAGATGAATTTCACAAAGATGTAAAAACAGATAAAAAATGCTTTTAATCAAAATCTACACACAATTCAAATTCTATTGTTGTAAACTACATAAATCTTTCAGTGAGGACCAAAACCTTATTTGGTAAATAATACAGAACATTGACTTATTAGGCCTATGAAATGAAGCTATTTAGGTTTTTTTTTTCCCCAATTAATTTTTTTTAAATGTGTATGTACAAGGGCATCTCATTTTTTAAAACGTCAGTAAAATCATAAGCTAACAAATTACCTGAGTTGGAGGACGGGCAAATTTAAAGGCATTTGAGTAAACTACAGAAAGTGAAAATAAACATACTCAAAGAGTAATATCTGAGTAGAGTTTTCAAGTAATCATCACATTAGCAAAGGACAGGAGGGAAATCATTACTTGGGAAGTATATTATCAAGAAACTCTATTGCTGAATGTAAAAATGTGTATAATGTTTTAAATGTAAGTGAAATACTGAAATATAGACATGCTGACATTATTTGGGGAACCATTAGACCTGCAACTAAATGTTGTTGTAGTCACTTTAGTACGACCTCTTTTATTAATATCCTGGAAGAAAGTATCTGGCAAAGAGGTTCACATGATCTATAATGGATTTATTATAACCAATGACAGTATGTTATTCAATAATGTCTTCTCTTGAAATAACCCCCATAGATGTCATATTTTAGATTTCTCAGAAAAGACCAATGATATCAATAAAATTTATAATGCTTAAATATGAGTCTATGTAATAAATTAAATCTTATAAAAGAATCACTAGATTACTTGGAGTACAGCCACTAAGTTTTCTGAGGAATAGTCTTAGATTTATGATATCTGAATATTCAGTAATTAATAAGCCACTGGCAAATAAATTTATAGGAACTATAGGAAACTCACTGAGAATTAGCATATTATATGGGGATATTTGTAGTTCCAAGTAAAAACCAGGAAGCCACTTTGACAAAAGTACAACTGATATACAATCATGCTGAATATCTGCTGAAATTAAAATAGTTTGGGGAATCCCCTTGTAGTCCAGTGTCTAGGGCTCAGTGCTTTCACTGCCAGGGATCAAGTGGGATCCCTGTTCAGGGAACTAAGATCCTGCAAGCCACACAGCATGGCCAAATTTACCAAAGAATAATAAAATAAACTGTTTTGATGCTTAGTCTATATTTCATTTTTTATAAATGCTTTTATATGTATTAAAAATGCAAGTGTGTGGTTTTAAATCTAGATTTGGAAAGACAGAATAGAAGAACTTTCTTACTCATCTAGAGTTATAGATAAAAACTGCTAAATATGTGATTTCAATAATATAATAACTATCACTCTTAACAGCATTGAAACAAGTATACTATCAAGGGTGAAACAGACCACCAGCCCAGGTTGGATGCATGAGACAATGTGCTCAGGGCTGGTGCACTGGGAAGACCCAGAGGGATGGGGTGGAGAGGGAGGCGGGAGTGGGGATCAGGATGGGGAACACATGCAAATCCATGGCTGATTCATGTCAATGTATGACAGAAACCACTACAATACTGTAAAGTAATTAGCCTCCAACTAATAAAAATAAATGGAAAAAAAAACTATCACTCTTGAATACTAACTTTATTCGCTTTCATTTACTGTACTTTGAAAAATCAAATTTGTTTTTCAGTTTGTTTATCCATAATGGAGACGTCTGATTCAGCTGGATTAAAGAAGAACCAAGGGAATCCCCAAAAGTACGGGAAACTAAATCCGTGATGCTAGGTTTTACCTCAGCTGGCTTGCCAACACCCACTACAATCAATTTGCCATCTTCTAATCCTACAAGAATATGGCTATATTCTTTGGTTACACAAACACAGTGGATAGGCGATCGCATGGCTAATGGGTTGATGCTGAGATTCAAACTAGAAGAGAAATAAAAAACACATAATTACACAGATATACAATGGATTCACAGAACTTTATAACTGGAAGATAACTTAATAGTCATCTAATTATACGTTCTAATTTTATAAATGTGGGAACTTAAGTTCAGAAAACCTGAGTGACAAAACAGCCGACATTTATAGCATTACTCAAAATACTTAATACACTTTTTCTCTATTTCCAACATCTGTTTGCCCTCTAACCATTTATATGTGCTCTCACGAAATGATTAACAAATGAAAGTTGGATAAACAAAAGGGTAAAAGCCCAAAGAGTATGTGCTGGTGGGGAATAAGGTCAATAAAATTGGTATATTTGCTTTGTCATAAAGGATGCAATATATATTTTAAAATATGATGTGGTATAAAAATGTAACATGCCATTGTGAAAAATGCTCACAGCTTTTATGATTAGAGAATGAAGAATTTTAGATGTACACACTATGCTCTAGACTAACTTGCTAAAAGATTCCATTAATTTTTTCTAATTTGGGATTCTCCTAACAATACCCCAAAATCAGGGTTGTAATACAAAATGTTGGAAAGATATTATTGAAATGTAGACTTAATGCTCTACCACACGGGAAAGAATGACAAAAATGAGAAGGAAAATATAAAAATCAAAAGTGATATTGATACAGAAGTGATTTTGATATGAAGGCAGTAAGAGAATACTCTGGATCAGGAAACTATTAAGAAGAAAGGGTTTAGGGAGGGGCCAAGATACTATGAGGCATATAAATAAGTCACAGTAAGTTGTTTAAAAGAGAAGAAAAGAAAAGGATGTATTTGGGCATGCAAGGGAAAACAGTGCTTTGTGAATATAAGTTGTTAAACATAAAGAACACCAAACTTAAAAACATATTTACTTTACAAAGATTTTTTCCTTCACTGGGTTAAATAACAAAAGCCTTTCACCAATTTTAAACACGCATATACATAACATGAACAGATGTTCAGGAAAAAGACTTTAGCCTGAAAAAGACTTTATTTGATTACAACCAAAAAAAATATTTTAAACCCAACTTTACAAACAACTCAAACAAAAAATGAGCAGAAGATCTAAACAGACAATCTCTGCAAAGAAGACATAGTGATGGTCAATAAACACATGAAAAGATGCTAAACACTGCTCATCATTAGAGAAATGCAAATCAAAACTATAATGAGGTATTACCTCATACAGTCAGAATGGCCACCATCAAAAAATCTACAGACAATAAATGCTGGAGAGGATGTGGAGAAAAGGGAACACTCCTGCACTGCTGGTGGGAATGTAAAATGATATGGCCATTATGGAGAACAGTATGGAGATTCCTTAAAAAACTAGAAATAAATTCACCATTTGACCCAGCAATCCTACTAATGGGCATATACCCTGAGCAAATCACAGTTCTAAAAGACATGTGTACCCCAGTGTTCACTGCAACACTATTTACAATAGCCAAGACATGGAGGCAACATAAATAAATGTACATCGGCAGATGAATGGATACAGAAGTTATGGTACATATACACAATGGAACATTATTCAGTCATAAAAAAGAATAAATCTGAGTCACCAATAGTGAGGTGGATGAACCTAGAGTCTGTTATACAGAATGAAGTGAGAAAGAGAAAAACAAATATCATATGTTAACGTTTGCTGCTACTGCTAAGTCACTTCAGTCGTGTCCAACTCTGTGCGACCCCATCCCTGGGATTCTCCAGGCAAGAACACTGGAGTGTGTGTGTGTATATATATATATATATATATGATATCTAGAAAAACAGATATATTCATCTACTGATGAAACTATTTTCAGGGAAAGAATGGAGATGAAGATGTAGAGAATGAACTTGTGGACACAGCAGGGGAAGTAGCGGGTGGGACAAATTGAGAAAGGAACAAAGATATATATCTGGTCATGTGTAAAACAGATGGCCAGTGGGAACTCACTATATCACACAGGAGTCAGCATGGCACCCTGATAACCTAGAGGGCTGGGCTGAAGGGAGGGGAGGGAGGCTCAAGAGCGAGAGGACCATGTGTATAATTACGACTGTTTCACATTGTACAGCAGGAACCAACGCGACACTGTAAAGCAATTTTCCTTCAATTAAAAAAAAACCCAACCCAACTTATTTTCTAAAAATTGAAGCTATAGTTGGACATATTCCCAAATTCATAATGCAGGCTTGGCACTTTGAAAATTGGGTTTTTTTTTTGGTTATTTAAAAAAATTGTTGTAATTGTGGTAAAATATATACAACATAAAATTTTCTACATGTTTAAAATGTACATATAAATTTTATCTACTAATCCAGAAATAATTTAGCTTCCCCAATTTTTTTATAGTTACCAAAATAAAATGTTCATAATAAATGATAAAAAGATCAGAAATCTTAGATTACAGATTTTATTCTCTGAAAATACTACTGCCTTTTCCTAAGTGATACTTCAATAATTCTTATTATTTACCTGTGGAGATCTCTTATGGACAGGAATCCTTGTAAGCTGCCTGTGACAATGTGCTCTCCAATTATACATATATCTGATACTTGTTCCTTCAGGACTTGGGACCCTAGATGCTTGCCATTTACAGAAAACAAATGCAATGCATTCTTATCCTGCAAAGATTAAAGAAAACTTAATGATCTCAAATTAAAACTGAGTTTCAGAATTGTTAATTAAAACTATGACTAATAACAGAACAATGACTGGGTTTAAAATTCTGGAAAAAAACATATGTTATACTTAAAGAGAAAGTATGTAGACAATATTGTTAAAATGACTTCAATCAGATTGCTAAGTAAATAAATATTAAACAAGAACTCTCACCCCTCCAAAATAATTTTTAGAAGTTCTCATAATTTTTAAAAAGCTTTATCACTGAAATGAAATAAACATATAAAATTCAAGGTTTATTTATACCCTGCCTTGTGCAAAAAGAATAATTTCCATCTAAGCTTATGAACTGCCACACAATTAGAAATTATTTTTGAAATCCTATAGGCCTATAGTGCTAGTTAGTGTTAATTGCTCAGTTGTGTCCAACTCTTTGGGACCCCATGGACTGTAGCCCAACAGGCTCCTCTGTCCATGGGATTTCCCAGGCAAGAATACTGGAATGGGTTGCCATCTCCTTCTCCAAAGCCTATAAAAAACCCTAAAACAAAATAAAAAATGAGGCTAATATTGTGATAGGGAATGAACAAATTGCGTGATGGAAAGAAAATACTCTTTTCAAAATACTGTGCTCTTTCCTTCGGAGAAGGCAATGGCACCCCACTCCAGTACTCTTGCCTGGAGAATCCCATGGACGGAGCAGCCTGGTAGGGTGCAGTCCATAGGGTCGCTAAGAGTCGGACACGACTGAGTGACTTCACTTTCACTTTTCACTTTGATGCACTGGAGAAGGAAATGGCAACCCACTCCAGTGTTCTTGCCTGGAGAATTCCAGGGACGGGGGAGCCTGGTGGGCTGCCGACTATGGGGTCACGCAGAGTCGGACACGACTGAAGCGACTTAGTCAGCAGCAGCAGCTCCTTCCTTCTTCAAAATGCCCCATATGTACACAATGTATACAATGTGGAAAGGAGAAGCCAATCTCATTAATGGTCTAGCCATACTGCATGAAAGTGTTATATACCTTGAGAGTGGTACTTTCTTCAATGCTGGAGTAGATGACAACATGTCCTTCCCAAGACACAGCCAAATTGGGAATGGTCAGGAGCAGAGAACTCTCACAAGGCGGTCGTAAAGTCCGCATGTACTGACCCTTCTGAATGGTATGTATAATCACAGTGCCATCCTACACGCAGAAAATATTAGAAAATAAAAACAGAAAAAGAAAAAAACTGAGAAAGAGAAAGAAATATGGGAAAGCACCTGAGAAAATGATTATTCCATCAAGGAATAATACATGTACTTTAGGAAAAATTCCAATCTTGAAATTTCAAATGGTTTTTTATTTCATAAAATGGCCTTCTTTTAACTAATAAGACCCATAAAATCCACAAATAGAATCCAGTCTCTTTAAATTTTTTCTTGCTGTATTTTTCTGCTTCTGCAAAGTCCTGGACAAACTTAGCATAAAATTTCTATGCTTTCACCAATTCTCCTATATAACATAAATATTGTTTCTGAATTTGTATAAAAAAAAATCAGTATTTTTAAAGGTACAATCTTACCCTTGATCCTGACACTGCCATGTCTAGCTCAGTGCTGATGGCGACACTCAACACCTCATCAGAGTGTCCATACAGAATTTGAAAGGGTTTAGATGCTAGGCCCACAGGAACACCTCCCTAATATAAACACAGAAAAGCAAAGGTCACTTTCTTGTACACTATTTTCTATAAAAAAAAAACTTATACTGTATTTTAACTGTCTAGTCACAAACCAACACTGCAACTAGTTCTTATCACTAAGTCTATTTTCAGAAGTACTTGTTCTTGGGTTTCTCCTTGGATTCTCAAATGGTTCTCAATCTTTTCTTTTTTTTTTTTTTTCTCCTTTTTTTTTTTTTTTTTTTGGTTCTCAATCTTTTCAACCTCAAAAATATATTAATAATATGAAGAGTTTCAAAGTTGATTGCTTTGGATTAATTTTAACAAGTGTATTGTTCGCCCTTTACAGAATTATTCTTCCTTTGGGGGAGAAGGAAATGGCAACCCCCTCCAGTACTCTTGCCTGGAGAATCCTGTGGATGGAGGAGCCTGGAGGGCTGCTGTCCATGGGGTCGCACAGACTCGGACACGACTGAAGTGACTTAGCATGCATGCATTACTTCAAAGAAACCTTTTCTATTACATCTCTGAATACTTTCTTTTTTATTTATTGGAGTCCTATTTCAGGGACATCAATTATCTTTATGCTGACTTGTCTTTGATTTCTATAACTATCATTCTTTATCTAATTGCTTTTGTTATTTCTATTTACTTTGATTACCTTAAATCTTTCTTCCATGCTAATAATTTGATTTTTCAGTCACATTAAATTTGTTCTTTGCTTTTTCTGCTTTGGGTTTATTTATAATTGTAATGGTATTTATTTTAATCTCAGTTTGATTCTTCTGCAATCTCCCTTTCATTTTATTATGCTAGTTTATAATTTCATCTTTGAGATCCTATTTTATTCAGTTAATATTATTATTCTATTCCTCTAGTAGCACAACTTATTACAGGCAATCTGTCTGTATATGAGTTATTTTCTTTATCTGTTTGTAGCATGCTTTGTTTGATACAGTACTTTCTATGTACAAAATGCTTGAGTAGTTGCCATGGTGTTTGATTTATGATTACCATGGATAAATGTCCAGACTTTCTACCTCTGTTACACAATGTAGATGAATTCTCCCCGACTCTCTATTACTTGGGTCATATCTTCCTTCCTCTAAGAGTATCAGTCTGAGTGCTTACTGTACTCCTTCTAATTTTTAAAAGTCAAATAATTCCTGTATTATTTAAAGAAGATGGACTCTTCCCAAATTAATTTTATAAAAGTTGCATATCCCAATGCTAAACATGCAAAGATAGAACAAAAACAGATTTGTTTCACATATAAGTAGAAAAATAAAGTACTAGCAAAGAAAATCTTGCTGTAAAATATAACATGACAGTATGAAGTATATGGGTTTATTATAAAAATTCAAGGATGGTGCAAAACTAGGACATTTCCCAACATAATACATTATTTTTTTTTAAAGTAAAAGAAAAACTTATACATTAAAAAAGGAAGAGAAACTGGGAAAATAGCTGAAAAGAACATGATTAGGACTACTAACAAAATTAGAACATGGACTGTGGATCAGATAAAGGTATTGTATAAATGTTCAGTGTTTCAGTTTTGAATACAGCACTGTGGTTATATATAAGAAAGTGTTTGTTCTTAGAAAATACACACTGGTATGTTTAGATGTAAAGGAACATAAAGTCTCCAGCTTTTAAAATGTTCAGAAAAAAAAATAAGATAGGTGAAAAAGATAGGGAGAGAATGCTAAGGCAAAAGGCAAAAATGTACTAACTGTGTATCTTTTCTGTAAATTGAAATTTTGTTAAAACCAAAAAGTTACCCCCCCCCAAAAAAAAGAAAGAAGGTAACTACTTAAGTATAAAAAAAACCCCACAAAACCCACAGCTAGTGAAACCTAACAGCAAACAGTATACTAAATGGTACAACAGTGAAGGCAAGTTCATCAAAATCAGATATTAAGACAGGAATGCTCACTATAATTTTTGTGCTTTATTGTATTCACTAACAATGTAATAGTGTAAGGAAATGAAGTAATCAGTATATTGGAAAAAGTAAAGAAAATTACCATTATTTTCAGATCACATGAATGTGTATTTACCCTGTTTTCAGAAAATTCAAGAAATACTAATAATTTTGAGTTAGATAAAAGGATTTGATAAACTGACTAGGTACAAGATAACTGTATAGAAATCAGTAAGTTATTTAGCAATAGTCAGTTAAAAATAAAAACGATTTTTAAAATTCCACTGAAGCAGTCATAAAAAATGATAGTTAAAAGTAAACATAACAAGTACAGGACCTAAATGGGGAAAAAAATTATTAAAAAATTTTACCAAAGGACATTGAAAAAAGACCTGAAACACATACAGAAAGACATTTCCTCTTTTGTGATATGAATAATTATAAAATGGCAATCCACACTAAATTAATAGAAAAATTAAATATAATTTCATTAAGACTAAGATGAAATTTTTTGAGGACAGTTAAAATATTTTTAAAGTTCATATGGAAGAATAAAAACTCATAAAAGAATAGCTGAGAATCTTTAATAAAGAAAATACAGTGAGAGATTTGCCTTACCAAATATTAAAATTACTAAAATAAAGTCATTTTGATGTTGACACAGAATAGATATAGAAGAAAGGAAAATCTAGAAAAGATTCAATTCAGTGGGTAATCATTTATGTTGGCATAAATGACCTTCTACTCATAAATAAATAAAAGCATGTATTTTTATATTCTATATTGTTATATATATAATGTATATATATAAATATAATATTAAATATTCTATATTATAAAATTTAGAAATAGATTAAAGATTGAAATGTAAAAAAATAAGAAAAGTATTAGAAGAAATATTTTAGATATTTTCATAAATTTGGAGAGAAAGCCTGTTTATTTTTCTAAGCAAGGAAGAAAATCCAGAAGCCATAAAGAGAAAGACACTTCCTTGCATCAACATTATCATGAGAGTACTCAACATGGTTGATGAAAATTCTAAATTTATAATTTCCAGTTTTTCCACTTGAAAGGAAAATAGGAATATTATGTAAACAAAGACAAGAAAAATAACCATTTTTCTAGAAGAAGTTAACAAGGAGCTATCTTTGGAAAGTAATACAAGATAAGGTCATGAATCAGGACAATAAACCTAGGAAAAAAGTGGTGATTAAGACAGAACAGAATGAGGGGTAAAATAGGGCAAAGGAGCTCAAATAATCATTCAATGTCAGAGGAAAAGTCACTGTCTATTAAGACATCTCAGTAGTATCCCCAGGGAGAATTTCTGATCTAAACCCAGACTATTTAAATGTGTGACTACCTGTTGGGTAATCTGCCATATCATACATGTAGTATCTCTGGAACCAGAAATCAAATGTATTCCACAGTAATCTGTAGCTAAACAAGTCACAATATCTGTAAGAAAAAAGAATGTAAAAAAAAAAAGAAAATGAAATGGCACAGTTTGACTGGAACAGAAATACAGGGGCAATTTTAGGTTATATTCAAACTACCACTAATCAGCTGCTCTAGCAGGGAGAAATGTAGGAATGCCACTGGAAAAGCGCTGGGAAAGAGAGACACAGGAAAGGATGTTACTCAGATCACGTAGGAGAGCCTTCTTTGAGGCCACCCTTCTTCGAGGGTGGCGACTAGACAGAAGGCAAGGCATGCCTGTCAGAAGCTTGGCATGAGTTTAAGCAGCTCTAAATGAATCCCCGCTTACTTTGATGCTCTCCTCTGTCCCTCACTCTCTCATCTCCATTCACCTGCTACTGCTAACGAATGACAATCCTACTGAATATGTGTCCCTAACCAAAACAGTACATATTACACCATAAGTTCACAATATAAAATATATTTTTCCTAAACTGAAAAAGCCTGAGCTAAGCAACATCTTGGAAGTCACTGGTATGGAATTAGTAGCCGACTCTATTTCCCTTTCTTAACAGCTTTATTGGGGGGAAAAAAATCTACTCAATGATTCATCCTTACGTTGAAAAGACTGAGATATTAGGAAGCACCAGATTAAACTATATTCAACAATTTTGCCTCTCTCATGCTTTACCACTAACAAAGTGATAGAACAGGTGACTTCTTATTTGACTATGAGAGGTTTTTTTTACCATTTTGTCATAAAATTCTTATTCTATCAACCAATTTTTTCAAAGACTTACCCTAGCATCTTTCCAATACTGTGGAGCTGTATTTAATTTATATGATGTTTAGTATACCCAAAATACATTAGACACTCTTAAAGAATATTCATAACACTCTATCAAAAAGTTCACTCAATTTCAGAGGTAAAATTCATGCCTTTTATAATATAAGAGGCACGAACTACTATATTGGTTAGAAATCAAAAACAAAAATTTGGGTGGGGGGAGTTAATGCTTACCCATATGTCTGATATTGTGTGAAAGAAGTTTGCCTTTTGTAAGTGACATCACTTGAATGCTATTATCCCAGTGTCCAGCACTAAAAAGCAACTTCGCATCATGTGATACTATAAATAGCTTAGAAGTGATCTCCAGCCCTGGGGCAAAAGGGCCATTCATACTACGCTGAGTTCTGTAAACACAATTAAATATTAGACACTTCTGTAAAAGATCATTTAGACTGATATCAATGATTTTTTTAATCTCGCCCAAAAGAAATAAAAAATATGCTTTGTTCAAATGTTCAGTTTGAAATATCTATTAATAAATGATACATTACATTAATCTTATTAATATTAATTAAACAAAAATATATATAACAATATAGTCTCGAGGATTAAGTGTAAAGGAAGTGGGATTGGTGAAGGCGTGAAAAAGATTTAAATCTTGACTTTCACAACCAATTTAGTAAGACGGTCAATTCTGTAAATAGCCTCAAAGGATAAAGACAAGATAAAGGGATGTCAGGAACAGGAAACTTGGGAGTTGGAAATTTTAATCTATTTGCTTTTCCTGGCAATAAGATACTAAAGGTACCTGTTTTCTTTTAAATGTCCATTTACTTACTTAGGATTTGTCACAGTTTGATCCCTGATGAATGTAAAATAATTAGAAATGTTTCTGTCATACGGCAGCCATCCATGGGTTCCAATAATGTAATTCATGCTTACTGTTATCTGGAAAAGAAACACACATGAGGACAAACCTTAAATGAAAAGATTAAAGAAAGCAACACAAAATAACTAAATGCCCACATGATGTTATTAGCATTTGTCATTTAGGGAACAGTGCAGGATTATGTACTTAAAACATGAGACTCATTAAAAAAGTCTTAAAATAATTCAAATGGGTTAAAAAGCTCATTGTTACCCTACTACAAAAAAAGTTGTCCCAATGTATCCTCCTTTAATAAGATTATTTTCCTTAAAATTTCTCAAATACTAGCATCTATTAGTTGGCAGTCAGAAGAAATTAAGGATCAAGTCTTACCACAAAAATAAAATACTTCTCATTTAGAACATAAATTGTAAGCAGAATTTATGAAGAATTGTTACAGAGGTCTCCTTTTAGGAGGGACAGTAATAGTAAATATTTACATTAAAAAATGGAAAGTTTTTCTCCCCTTTGATAAAAGTGACAGACTTCCAAAAAAAAAAAATTCAGGTGACTTAAGAATTCTGCCACTTAAAAAAAGTACTTATTATTTTTGTTAATCTTTGAAGATGTTTTATCTAAGCAAACACACAATAAGCATAATTAGAAAAATAGGTCTAACTCTGGAATCTCTACTGTTCACTGTGCTATGCTCAAATTCTTATCATCTCTAAGTGATAAAGACAGACAGACCTATGTTTGGTCAACTTGCTCCCAGATCCTTTACTTGCTAGCTTTGTGACTCTGAGCAAGTGATGTCTGAGATTTAATCCTCATTTGTAAAAGGGAAATAATCGTGCCTATCTCACAGGATTGTTAGGAGAATTAAATGACAAAATTCACATACTCACTAATATGTCCTGCAGATGATCGGACCTTTATCAATTCTGTATTATATCTCATTTTCACTGCTTTATGATAAATTTTAATATCTAACAAGATGCTATAGCATTCTTTTCTTATACAAAATTTCCTGGTATTTTCACATATATATTATTCCAAAATAACTTTAGAATTACAGAACTACTTAAAAGCTATGTAATTAAAAGATATATTTTTATACTTGGTCAAATTAATTCTATAAAAATTTTATCTTTTTTTTCTTTTTTTGGTCATGTTCAGCAGCATGTGGGATCTTGGTTCTCCAACCAGGCAGCTGGGGATGAAACCCATCCCCCATGCAGTGGAAGCATAAAGTACTAACCACTGGATGGCTATGGATTTCCCTTTTCTATTAATTTTTTAAAAGACTTTAAAAAATTTTTATTTTCTCAATTTTTTCAGTAAGTTCTAATGGATATAGACAGGGCAGTGTGAAAAAGGTATAAACCAACTTACCAGTAACTCAGGACTTCCTTGTGACATAAAAGAACGAGACTGATTTTTGGGAACAATTGCCTTTACTAGTGGAATACCATCACTAATTCCCTATAAAATAAAGGACAGAGGTTTTAGTGGCTGGTTCCTCTATATCTTTATTAGATACAAATTATTGAAAACTTTTATTTCTTTAGATAAAGATAAACCCTGTAATATAGCATTTTACTCTATCCAAAACATATGACCAGTTAATTTAAAATACAAGAAAGGAATTTTATATAACGGCATACTTGACAGTTCTGAAACCCATTACCTTCTTATATTCCACTACCCTGCTATTAAACAAGGATGTAGATTTCAAGGAGTGTCAACCATCTAAAACAGCCAATGATTTAAAATCTTTCTTTTTCCCATGCATACTGACATGAATATAAAGTGGAAAATATAGACTTTATAAGAAAACATTACTCAAATGAGTGAAATGGAAAAACTAGTTATATATTATAGACTTTTCCTTTTGGGTTTATCTTTCAAAAATAGATCTGTTCCATTACCTGAGGAGTCACAACAAAAGCCACAACAAAAGAACCAAAAAATAAAGACACTCCTTGGAAAACATCATTTTATTATTTTATCACATTATTACCATTATTTTAAGGATTTGAAGTAAGTTTCTTGATGTGACAATAGTTCATAAATTACAGCCAACATTTATGAGGTAAATTATAACCTAATATTACTAGGTACAAACGACATGCCAGGTGCTTTTCTAAGAGTTTTATATGAACTAAATAATTAATTATAATGATATGAAGTTAGAATATATCTTTTCTCTTCATACTGTGAATTAATCAAGAGAAGATGACTGACATTTCAACAAGCATAAGTGGAATGATATCTGAAGGAATCCATTTAATAAGCTCTTGCTTTCACTGCTACATCAATTTTCTTCACCATTTTAATACCTATGAAGAGACCTAAGAGAGGCCTTCTCTTTTTGTATGAGTGAGTGGGAAACACCTTCTTGTACGATGATGAAAAGGGATTAACAATTACTGGTACGCAAGGATATCAATTGCATTCTTATCCTAATCCAGATACTGGCCCTAGGAAAGCTACCATGTAACTTGGGTGCAGAGAGGGGCAAATGCCACTGCACTGCAGATAGAACCCAGAATGTATTACACTGTAAAAATTCCGTAAGTGATTAGACGCAGTGAAAATACTTATCAGAATTACATAATAAATATAGTCTTACAAGTCCATCAATTTAGGGGTCAAACAGGAATTTATGGGATACTCTATGTACAGTAAAAGGATAACATAGCAGAATTGAGACTGCTCTCCTTAGGAAGGCTGTTTGCAAGGTTGGCCATCGGCTGGCATCAGGGAAGTTGGCAGGCAAAGATTTCCTTACACGGATATAAAACTTGTCTTCAATGATGCACGTGGCTCACTATGTCTAGACTGTGCAGACAATCATCTAAATACCTGCTTTTCTTTGGGGAGTCTAGAATTTGGAATGTGCTAGGCAGAAGTGGAGGTGATGGAATTCCAGTTGAGATATTTCAAATAATGAAAGATGATGCTGTGAAAGCGCTGTGCTCAATATGCCAGCAAATTTGGAAAACTCAGCAGTGGCCACAGGACTGGAAAAGGTCACTTATCATTCCAATCCCAAAGAAAGGCAATCCCAAAGAATGCTCAAACTAGTGCACAACTGCACTCATCTTGAACGCTAGTAAAGTACTGCTCAAAATTCTCCAAGCCAGGCTTCAGCAATACATGAACCGTGAACTTCCAGATGTTCAAGCTGGTTTTAGAAAAGGCAGAGGAACCAGAGATCAAATTGCCAACATCCGCTGGATCATCGAAAGAGCAAGAGAGTTCCAGAAAAACATCTATTTCTGCTTTATTGACTATGCCAAAGACTTTGACTATGTCAATCACAAGAAACTGTGGAAAATTCTGAAAAAGATGGGAATATCAGACCACCTGACCTGCCTCTTGAGAAACCTGTATGCAGGTCAGGAAGCAACAGTTAGAATTGGACATGGAACAACAGACTGGTTCCAAATAGGAAAAGGAGTACATCAAGGCTGTATATTGTCACCGTGCTTATTTAACTTACATGCAGAGTACATCATGAGAAACGCTGGCTGGAAGAAGCACAAGCTGGAATCAAGATTTACGGGAGAAATATCAATAACCTCAGATATGCAGATGACACCACCCTTATGGCAGAAAGTGAAGAGAACTAAAAAACCTCTTGATGAAAGTGGAAGAGGAGAGTGAAAAAGTTGGCTTAAAGTTCAACAGTCAGAAAACTACAATCATGGCATCTGGTCCCATCACTTCATGGGAAATAGCTGGGGAAACAGTGGAAACAATGTCAGACTTTATTTTTGGGGGCTCCAAAATCACTGCAGATGGTGACTGCAGCCATGAAATCAAAAGACGCTTACTCCTTGGAAGGAAAGTTATGACCAACCTAGATAGCATATTAAAAAGCTGAGACATTACTTTGCCAACAAAGGTCCGTCTAGTCAAGGCTATGGTTTTTCCAGTGGTCATGTATGGATGTGATAGTTGGACTGTGAAGAAAGCTGAGTGCTGAAGAATTGATGCTTTTGAACTGTGGTGCTGGAGAATACTCTTGAGAGTCCCTTGGACTTCAAGGAGATCCAACCAGTCCATCCTAAAGGAGATCAGTCCTGGGTGTTCATTGGAAGGACTGATGCTGAAGCTGAAACTCCAATATTTTGGCCACCTCATGTGAAGAGTTGACTCATTGGAAAAGACCCTGATGCTGGGAGGGATTGGGGGCAGGAGGAGAAGGGGACAACATAGGATGAGGACATGAAGTTGAGTAAACTCCAGGAGCTGGTGATGGACAGGGAGGCCTGGTGTGCTGCGATTCATGGGGTCGCGAAGAGTTGGACATGACTGAGCGACTGAACTGAACTGAAATGAGGCAGAGGGTACTTCAGTGACTAGCCCCCGGTAAATATGTTGGATGCTGAGTCGCTAATGAGCTTCCCTGGGACACAAAAACATGTCCATTTCACTACCGAAAGAAATTAAGTACCTTCAAATTATATGTAGGTACAAAGCCCAAAATATTCACTATCTGGCCCTTCAAGAAAACATTTACCAACCTCTGTTATGTTGCATAAGAGTTATTGCACGTTCTATGTACATCTTCAATCTATTCTTGATACCTTTTTATCATTTTTCTTCTTTCAAAAGAGTTAATATTATCTGTTCTAACCAAATTTATAGGTATGAATGCATTTCACATTCACATTCTGAACTATTCAAACAACAGCTGACCCTTCAGCAACTCAAGGGTTAGGGATGCCAACTCTCCATGTATTATATATAATTTATAGTCAGCCCTCTGTTCCTGTAGTTCCTCCTTATCTGCAGTTCTGCCCTACAAATTCAACCAATCAAAGATTATGTATAGTACCTCTAGTATTTACTATTGAAAAAAGCCCATTTATAAGTATACCCACACTGTTCAACCATGTGTTGTTCAAGGATCAACTGTAACTCAATATGTATATTTAAGCATTTGAATTTGAACATACTCTTTCAAGAACTGCATTAACTACTTATCTTGCTTCACTGACTATTCCTTCTGATATTAGCAGTTAACAAGTTGACTCATGGGCCATGTTTTATATATGAATAGACACTATAATTAAGAGTTATTTTAGATTTCCTCTATGTATCATCTCAACTGACACAAGAAGCCATTTAAATCAAATTATCCTTCCTTCTTACGTTTCCTTCAGGAAGACATGAAACTAGAAGAGAGAAAGTCAGGAGAAAAAGTTCAGCAGCAAACAAAAGCGTTCAACAAGGTTGTTTAAAAAATTCTAAGAACATAAAAGTGAAAAATTATTTACCATTTTGGATTAAGAGTTAACACCTATACTCTCCATTAAGGTATAAAAGGAATGTGGAAGTGTACAGAATTTATAGAGAAAATCCATTGATGTTATCAAGTTGGAGATTACCTCTATAAAAAATGACTTGAGTTCAGAGAGGTGTTGAAATAGGTTAAAGGTTGAAGTGTCTGTTTTGGCTTGCTTCTGCACTGCTTCCTCTGCTGATAATCTAGAAGGGTGTGGTTCCTTAAAAAAAATTAAGAAAAAATAATTCATAATTACATTAAAACACCTCTCACTATATTCCGTCATACACACTGGACTCCAGCTGCAGTGGATTATACTGTATGCACTGCTGACAACTTGAACTGCTCAGACAATTTCCTCAGCAGAGTTCAGCTCTCTTCATTCCTAGAGAAACCCTACTTCTACAGTCTTGCTTACTGATATCTCCCTTGAATTTCTAAGTCAAAAGTAATTAATTATTCGTTCATTATTTTCCTCTATACATTATTTAGCATTTTATTCAGTACTTATTTCTTTTTATGTTGGATTATATATAGTTGGTTATGGTTTTTTCCAACCAGACAATAGGTATCTTAAAGTAAGAAACTAAATCATATTCAGCTTTGGATTTTAAACATGTAGAAGAGTATCATAAATATGGTACATGCTGATGTATATATAGTGGTAAACTTAAATGGATTATTCAAAAGTCAAAGTTTATAAAATGAGTTAATCTTTATAATTCTTGAAATAAGATCTGAATGTCCATATTTTTGGAATTGAATTACAGATATTGCTGTATTGCTTTTCAAATAAATTATTATTTCTTAGATTTTATGTCACAAACAAAAGACAGTATCACCTTTTTAAATAAGAATTAAAAGTCAAATTAATATTCCAATGCCACAGTTAAAATGCAGAATGGAATTCTATCTCAAGAGGATGCTTCTGTCTCCACTGTAAAATATCGCTGTTGTTCAGTCACTAAGCTGTCTCTGACTCTATGCAACCCCATGGACTGCAGCACTTTTTCCGGGAGTGTGCTCAAATTCATGTCCATTGAGTCAGTGATGCTATCTAACCATATCATCCTCTGCCGTTTCCCTCTCCTTTTGCCTTCAATCTTTCCCAACATCACGGTCTTTTCCAATGAGTCAACTTGTTGCATCAGGTGACCCAAGTACTGGAGTTTCAGCTTCATCATCAGTCCTTCCTGAATGGTCAGGGCTGATTTCCTATAGGACTGACTGGTCTGATCGCTTTGCAATCCAGGGGACTCTCAAGAGTGTTCTCCAAAACATTAAATCATGGGAAATAGACCTGACAGCTCTAATTCAATATTTAGCTCTCAATTAACCATGTGAGTATTCACTTTATTTGAAATCAAAAACTGATTTTTAGTGACATTTTTTTATCATAAAAATTAATTCACACTACCTTTGTTAAAAAAAAAAAAGTTAAGCTGCTGCAAAATTACTATAGAATCTATTTCAAAGTCCAATCAACTGTTCTGTTATTCTGTTACTTTTACCTCTGACTGTCAGCAGATAAGGTTTAAAGCACTGATTTCAAATATGGATATTATGGAAAGATCAATATTGGAGACTTCAAATAAACTGTTGCTCATGAACAGCAACAATTATAAAGCTCAGTCTGATCAATGAATTAATAAAGTACATCTATAAGCCAGAATTCAGATATACCTTTGTTATTATAGCTATGGAGATGTCAATTCAACAAATATATACTGCACACAAATTATATGCAAGAAAAATACAAAAATGATTAAAAGAAGGTTATTGCCTTTAACATAGCTATAATATAGTGAGGCAGATGGATAAATAAACAACTAAGTCAGAAAATGTCGTAATTAGGATATAAACAACAAACCACAAGAACTGGAAAAATGATCTACAAGTTCAACAAGGGGGCTTACAGCTATTAATTCAGAGGGAACACGGGACAGAAGAAAGACTTCGGAGTTAGATGATCAGGCATCCAAATTCTGCCCCAGTCTCATTCTAGCTGTGTAAAGGTGGAAAAAGTACTTGACTTTTCTAAGGCTAGGTATTAATTTCTATGAAATAGAGCTTTATCGTCTAAAAAAATAAGGACAATTTTTGAATATTTACTGTGAGGGTCAGGTAAATCACTTAGCACAGTGGTGCACAGGACAGTATCAACTTAATAAATGTTATATTATTATGTATTCTTCATTTCTAAATTCACACTAACAAAGATAAAAATGTCTTTGCGAACTAATATTAGACTAACTTCTATGAGAATTTTTTTTCCTTCTCTCTCTCCTTTTTTCCCTCTGTGGACAAACAGGGATCGAACCGGTGGCCCCTGCACTGGCAGTGTAGATTCTTAACCACTGGATCACCAGGGAAGTCCTTCTTCTCCATTTAAACAAAGGAGGGAATAATAGCTCCCCTGACAGTGGCCTTCAACCTCACCTTTTCCTCTCAAAGAGGTAACTAAACAAAGGCGACTGGCTTTTTGAGTAAATATAAATCCTTCGTGACTCAAGAGAAATTGATTGAATATGTGGATTTTGACTGTAATAGTTTGTTATTCAAAATAGGAATAATCATTTAAATTTACTTTTTTTTAGTCACAGTATAATTTTTTTCCAAATTCTAGATAATTCTGAAATAAAGTTTTAAATCATAAAATTATTGAAAATACTGGTAGTACTATCCCTTAGCAATTAAATTCTAGACTTTTGTAATTAGTAACTTTCAGGCTTTACCTTTAACAGTTGACAAGGTGTTTGTCCAAAATTATTAATCATCCCTTCTAAGGCTTTTCTTTCCTTCTCATCTGTTAAGGCATCCAGATCCACAGCTCCTAAAACCAAGAAAGAGAAGCCAAAACAGTGAAAACAAATCAGTAAGCCACGCAACTGTTTAAAATATCAGAGACTGATTAGTATATTTTCAACAAAATATTCTGAATGGAAAGAAGTAAAATTTTTAAAAAGTCAGTAACACTTCAGATATTAAATACGCATAAAAATAAATTCCACCCACTATTTACAACTAAAAAGGTTTTAAACAAAAGTTAACTATAAAAGTCTCTATAAAAGTCTATAAAAGTTTCTCTTGGAAAAATACACACTATACTCATTGTACACCTGATTGTTTTCTTCATGATAGTTAAGCTGAAACAAGTGTAATAACCACACAAAAAAGCTGCTATACTATCTAATAAAAGTTGGGAAAAGTGATGTTCTGGCAAACTGATTATACCAAGTCATACTTAATAGGGATTGTTACATGGCTAGTATTTGACCAAAGTAGGTAAAGTCTGATTTCAAAATCTATGCTCCTAACCACCATGTTATGCTACCTCCCTATAAAACTGTTACCAAATGAACCAAGTAAGGTAAAGCAGAAAAAGCTTGTCTATTTACCGAAAGTCAAGTGGGCTCTGTTCAATTCACAAAACTTCATACCTTCATGATCTTTAGAACTATTAGCTCTATGGAAGGATTAGAAGAGAACTCCGGACTTCCCTGGTAGTACAGTGGATAAGAATCCGCCGGCCACTGTAGGTGCCATGAGTTCTATTCCTGATCTGTGAAGATTCCACATGAAGCCTTGCAACTCAGCCCGTGTGCCACAAGGCTGAAGCCCATACTCCCAGAGCCTGTACCCCACAACAAGAGAAGCCCGTGCACCGTCCGAGGAGCAGCCTCTCTCATAACAACTAGAAAAAGACTACGTGAGGCAACAAAGACCCAGCACAATCAAAAATAAAATGAACAAAAATATTATAAAGAAGAAATTCTTCTCAAGCCTTTCAAAGCCTTCAGAAAATGCACTTGATCCTGAGTTAGACATCAGAATGTTGTTGAGTTGCTAAGTCACATCTGACTTTGCAACCCCATGGACTGCAGCATGCCAGGCTCCTCTATTCTTCAAGATCTCCAGAGTTTGCTCAAATAATGTCATCTTATTATCACTGGAAAATATTTCATTCATAATTCTAAAATGTCTTCTATAAAGTGTGTTAACAATTTAATACTGTATATTCAGACTTGCTCAAACAGGACACATGGCCAGAGATCAAAATGTTTAATACCACCAATATTTGATCCTTATAATTTGATTTGCATATGTACCTAACTATTGTTTTTTTTTAAGTAGCACTCTGGAGAAGGAAAGGGCAACCCAGTCCAGTATTCTTGCCTGGAAAATCCCATGGACAGAGGAGCCTGGCAGGCTATAGTCCATGGGGTAGCAAGAGTCAGATACAACTTAGCAACTTAACAACGAACACAGCAACAATGCCAAATATTTGCCTCTTATTTCCACCAGTACTCAACCCAACTATTTATAGCATAAAGATGAAGCAGCTTCGCCAAGGCTTCTCAAGGATATTACTATCCAAAAGGGTTGGTGTTGCTCACACTTAAAAGACGTATGAGGCCTTATTATCTCAACCTACATTCATTTTCATTCATCCTAAAGAAAACCTGTTCAGAAGTTCTAGTACACATTTGGAACATAATAATTCCATGATAGTTCATAAATTCTACATGTCCTTTCAAGAAAAATATTGTGGTTATTTCTGTCATCTCTTCCTAGATTTAAAGCATCTCAAATTCCTTATGTAAGATAGAATTTATTTGATTAAAATATTTTGTGGAGATATTTTCCATTCAAGTTTAAAGAGAAGTTCAATCTTCTATGTTAAAACTAAGATGAAGTTGACTATGAATCTATGGTAAGAGATAATATACAGCAGATTTGGTGCTGACAACTCATTATATTTTCTTTCCACTGAGGCCAAGTAGATTTCATGCTCCATATTTTGAGTCAAATCATGATCAAATGGATATTTAAATTTAGAGATGGGATAAATGAAACTATTGTTTAAAAAAAAGCACTCTTTCAAACAGAAAAGGTCAGTAAAGCTATTTTTTTTAATTTTTGTGTTTTTTTTTTGTGGGAGGAAGTGAGTTTCACATCCTACTACTCCACCATCTTGATAACCCCCCACAAGTAGTTGGTTGGTTTTCTTTTAATTATTTATTTTTAATTTTTTGGCTGTGCTGGGTCTTCATTGTGGTGCACAGGCTTTCTCTAGTTGCAGCATGCGAGTTCAGTTGTTCCACAGTATGTAGGATCCTAGTTTCCCAACGAGGGATGGTATCCATGTCCCCTGCATTGTAAGATGGATTCTCAACCACTGGGCCACCAGGGAAGTCCCTAAAACTATTTTTAAAATGTAGTCTTTCTCATTTAAATAGTTATGTCTAAAATACCATGTATAAATACATATTAAATAATATTTTCCCTTTTTTTGACAGAGTCCTGTGGCATGCAGGATCTTATTTCCCTACCAGGGATCAAATTCATGCCCCTTGCAGTGGAAGAATAGATTCCTAACCACTGGACACTCAGGTATTTCTAATAGTATTTTCTTTTTTTTTTTTTTTTTTTAGTTTTAAATGAATATCTTTAAATTTATAATTATTTATTAAAGATTTGATGTTAAAAACAAAGCATATTTATTTTAGAAGTCTTAGGAAAAATAGAGAATCAAGAAGGGAAAGAAAAGATACTGCTACTTAAAGAGGCAGTGAAGTCGTTCAGTTGTGTCTGACTCTTTGCAACCCCATGGACTGTAGCCTACTAGGCTCCTCTGTCCATGGGATTTTCCAGGCAAGAGTACTGGAGTGGGTTGCCATTTCCTTCTCCATCTAATAGTATTTTCTATCAACATAATATAAGAGGAAAAGTATATAGGCTTGTACCTTCGTAACTACAGTAATAGAAAACATTGAGTGCCTCCACTGCAGCTGGCCCCCTCTGTTTATAGCCAAAAATCAGATCTATCCATTCATGAAGATGAGCAGAAACATATTCAGACTCCTAGAAAGAGAACAAATTTAATCATTAATATAGTTACCTTTGACTACAGTGTAAACATGGGTCCTTTGAAAAAGTAAGAGCATTTGAAACATTTCCACATACAAATATTATAAATAAAATAAAATTATCTCAAAGTGACATTAAGTATGTATCTAACGTCTATTATAAATATTGACTATATTCTATCTAGGATAATGTAGATATCATATTTACTAATATTTATTACATACATATCTCCTAACTATTGGGTGAAGAAAATAACATATATTCTAATAGCCCAAATATGAACAACAAAAAAATTAATGATAGCTGTAGAATACATTTTCGTTGTGAAACTTCTACTGCAATAGTTGTCTAGAAATTCAATTCCCTCTGTCCATGGGATTTCCCAAGCAAGAATACTGAAGTGGGTTGCCATTTCCTCCTTCAGGGGATCTTCCAGATCCAGGGATCAACCCCCGAGTCTCCTGCGTCTCCTATATTGCTGGCAGATTCCTTACCACTGAGCCATCGAGATCAAGAGCGTGGCTACAAGACAATCTACTGAGATGTCAAAGATCTGAGGTTGTGTGTCACAGACCCATTCAACTAGAACGTTGAGAACATTTTCCCATTGTAGCCTCCCCCTGAGCTCAAAGGAGATAATGGACAATCTTGTAATGTGGACTGTTTTTTGCCCAACAGAGTTGATTTATAAGAAACCCACAACATTTTAAAAGAAATTGCATTAGTTCAAACTGAGAAAGATAAAAACTGTTAAAAAAATAAGATTTTTGGCTTTCAACTTACTATGAGGAAAGAGGCAGGCAATGATACTCTTGTGCATGTGCATGTTAAGTAGCTCAATTGTGTCTGACTCTTTGTGACCCTATGGACCATAGCCCACCATGCTCCTCTGTCCATGAGATTCTCCAGGCAAGAATACTGTAGTGGGTTGCCATACCCTTCTCCAGGGGATTTTCCCAACCCCAGGATCAAACTCACATTTCTTAAGTCTCCTCCATTGGCAGATGGGTTCTTTACCACTGGCTTCCAACTTACTATGATTAGGAAAGAGGCTGGCAAAGATACTCTTGTAAAACAACATTTTTTGTTTTAGTTTTTATGGAAAAGAATGACTCAGAGCAAAAACCCAGACGCCTGAGGGTAGAACAAAATGATCCATGGAAAACCAATTATCATGGAATAGCAGTGGGCTATAAAGGAACTGAGAGCATGTCCAGGCTAGAATTCTGAACTGCTGTGAACAGTAAGAAGTAAGAAGTTAGGTGCCTCTGGTTTCTCTCTCCCTTTTGAATGTTAATGTCTATTATAGTTCTCCTGTCCTTATTACACTACTGTTGTTATGTGGGGGATTAACTTTTATCTAGTTCACAGTCTTCCGATCTAAGAGGAGATGCACATGAATAGTTTCATGCACACATGGATTTGATGTAGATGACTAATAAGACTCTGGACTTCAGGCCTCATGGCTTTCTGCAGGGATCAACAAAACTGCTGCTTTTGGGCCAAACCTTACTTGCATTCAGATCTGTAGATTAGTAGAAGACAGCCATATCCCATTTTCTTTTGCATTAGAATGGCAGAATTTCAACACACACTAAATTTAGAGCTAACAAAAATATTTACTACCTGGTCCTTTACAAAAGGTCTGCAGAACCATGCCTTAATAAGGCAGGACTGTGGGAAGATCATAAGAGGAAGTATGCTCATTTTACATGCGGAAGAAATGTAAACACTTCGAGGCCAAAGGGCAGCCTCTGTGTGGTGGATTAAAGATAGTTGTAATTCTTTCTCACTCCCACCATTAAGAGATGGAGTTTACTTTCTTTCCTCTGGAATCTGCACTGATCCTGTTACTATTTAACCATTAGAGAGGAAGGCATATGTGATACTGTGACAGTTCACAGCTTAAACCAGATAGTTCACAGGAAGCATCTGAAAAGTTTCTGCCTAGTTAAAACGTTACAGATTATCTTTCAGAGTTGTTTTACTTTTTTTCCCAATTCTTTATTCATGCATGGGGTTATTGCTTAGAAGTATTATAACCTAGAAGAGAACAGCTGACTCATTGGAAAAGACCCTGATGCTGAGAAAGGTTGAAGGCAAAAGAAGAGGGTGACAGAGGATGAGACGGACCCACTCAATGGACATGAATCTGAGCAAATTCCGGGAGATAGTGAAGACCAGGGAAGGCTGGCATGCTGCAGTCCACGGGGTCACAAAGAGTCAGACATCAATTACTGACTGGACAGCAACAAATTATAAACTAATCCAGAATTCTTAAGTTTGACAAACTACCTACTAACAACAAGGAATGTGCCCAGGTATTGGCCATTTAGTTCTAGAATCTGAAACATTTCAGTTTGGATAGAAAGCTAGGTGGGCTCTGTGGGTGTGGAGGTGGAAACAGTGTCTTCAAGGTAATAACATAACAGCAATATTAAATGAACTCCTACTAGTGCTTCAACTCCAAAATGGAAATTTCGCTAAAAACTAGCAAAACATTTAAGTAGTATTTCGTATTTAGCTATCTTATTAAAAACTTACTGAATTCCTTCAGAGGAAAAAAAAAGTTCTTATCCTTGATAGATTTGAAACAAATATGGGAACTATGATACATCAAGCTACACCAGCTTGGTGACTGAAACATACATATAACAGGCAGATGCCTTACAGAAGTGAATTTGTTTTTTTGCTATATATCTGAGGGACAGTACTACTATAGTCTCACTATATCAGAAGATTCATAACTTCAAAATAAATTACTATATTATACTTTCTAAAATAGCATATAATATAGATTACAAATTAATGAAGAAAAATAATAGCTATACTTTATTCCATCATCCTCTGGAAAACACATATATCTTTATCTTATTAACCTGCTTACTAACTAAACATAAAAATCTTACCAGAGCTTTCCTATGTTTATAGATGAAATCTTCAGCAGACTTAGCCCATTTGGGGAGAACGACATCATTTACCAGTTCTTTGGAAACTTGTAGACGACCCAAGTTAAATTCTAAGACATAAAAAATAAATGTATCAAATCATTTTAGATTTAAATAAATCAAGTAAAAAAAATAAAAGGGTATATTCCTTAGCAAAACTAAGTTTTTTCTTCATTTATTAAAAGATGAGAATAGAGTTTTTATAAAATTTGACTTAAAAATCAATTAAAACTTTTTAATTTTATATTCAGGTACAGTTGATCAACAATGGTATGTTAGCTGCAGGTACAGAGCAAAGTGACTCAGCCATGCATAGACATGTATCTATTCTTTTTCAAATTCTTTCTTGATTTAGGTTATTACAGAGCATTGAGCACACTTCTCTGTGCTACACAGCAGGTCCTTACTGTTTATCTATTTTAAATATAGCAGAATGTACAGGTCAATCTCAAACTCACAATCTATCCCACTTATTAAGTTCCCTTCTTGATATAAATTTATTGAACAGGATTTTAAGTTGATCAAAAAAGTAAATGAAAATAAGATAGTTTAAAATGAGTTATTAGTAAAAAATAAACTACAATTAGTTATTAGAAGATAAGTCAATTTAATAGTTTATTTTTTGCTGAGAAAAGTGAGAAAAATTATAATTATGACCAAAATCTTAACCTGAACAAAAATGCAACAGTAAGCATTCTTCATACATTAAAAAGAATTAACACAGTTCTTCTAATGGTTAATTTACAAAATCCAGTGACTTAAAGTTTTTGGGTGTAACTTATGGCTTAAACTCACTCAAGTTTACTTTATGGAAGGACAATATATTTCTACAACACTATTTTAAATAGTTACTGACATAATAAACATTTGCTCATACTAGTTATGACAGAAGACAGTATTTTGACAAAACTGTCCCAAAGATAAGATTTTCTTGTTCATACATATAGAAAGGGAAAAGTGTTAACACAAAAGTCCTTCATTAAAGAAGTTATCTAAAAACATCAGTATGTCCTTAAAGCTGGAGAGAAGTTTAAATGCCATAAAATAAACACGATGCAGGGTCTGTGGCCTTAACTCAGCTACTATATGGCAGATACTGGTGGCCACCTGACATCCATCCTTCCTTATCTAATAGCAAAAACTTTATTTTATTCAAGTGTGCATCCTGCCCTATATTTCATGCTTGTTGCAGGTGACTGGCATAGAGCTTGGTACATGACCCAGCTCTGGACAGTGATGGGAGATCATGAGAAAGGGTTTTTCATTCTTAAGAAACAAAACAAAGAATTAAAAATTTCAATTCTTTCTAAGACAATGTTGCATCTGCCTATGATGTCTAGAATTTTTTTAGTCATGACAGTAACTGGCCAAGAACAATTCTAAAACACTCAGAACAGCAGAGTGAAAAAATACAGGAGGAACTTGACTGAGGGTGCTGTTAAGTTACCATATCTCAGGATTTTTATTATGGAAAATAAATACTGACATTTTCTTCCTCATACAATTTTGAGCGGCTTTTATTAATATTTGTTGTCATTCTAAGGAATATACTTTGATTTCTCCCACCCAGCTCATTTTGAATAAATTGGCAATGGATAATTAGAAATGGAGGCCACCAGGACAGTAGTAACAGAGAGCTCTGGCTCTGGTGAATGTCAGAAATTGTCAAGCTAAGCAGATCTTGAATTCTGGGTCCAAATTAATCTGCTCATCCCTTCCATCCTGGATACCCTGCCCTAGAAGATCCAGTCCTCTGGTTGACTAGGGTCAGATCTGTCAACAGTTTCACTCTGTTTTCTGAAGGTGACCAAATGGAACTGCCTTACTCTGAGAATCAGATGCCTTGGATCTAACAACGGGTCCTAGAGCGCACGATCAAAGGTCATGAGACCCTGGATATGCTCTCACCAGCATGGCAAATAATTCTACTGAGCAAGCAATGGGTCAAACATTAACATTACAGTAAGGGAGGAAAAGGAAGTTGTTAACAGCCCTTGACCCTGGAGTTTTCCTAAAGAACACAAATCTTGCCATTTTCTTATTTGTACTTAAATCTAAAACTAAGTCATCAAAAATGTGTTGGATATTCTTAAAGACCATATTTCCTTCTATGATTCTTTTCTTCAAAAACATAATGTGATACGTATAGCTGATTCACTTCGCTGTACAGTAGAAACAACCACAACACTGTAAAGCAACTCTACTCCAATAGAAATTAATTCAAAACAATAACAAAATAATAAAATGGTTTTTCAAATATTGTGGAAACTTAAACTTAGTCATTATTTTCAAATTGCCTCCTGTTTTCTACTCTAAAAGGAGTCAGCAAACTTCTACAAAGAGACAAAGAATAATATTTTTGGCTTTGTGTACCTATGGTCTCTGCTGCAACTGGTCAAATCTGCCATTACACTGTGAAAGCAGCCACAGCTTATGTAAATGTATTGGCCAGTTGTATTCCAAAAAACCTTATTGATAAATACTAGTTTGCTCACAGATTTGGCCCATGAATCTATAGTTTGCTGACCTCTGATATAAACCTTCATCTTATCTAACTCAAATACTTTAACTCATGCAGCTGTACGGCTGAAATAGCTTGCAGCATGTTTTGCTTCACTAGTAAACACTGTACTCGGACAAATTCCCTTACTAATTCAAATTTCACTCATTTATCTTATTCACTGTAGCATTTTTGTAGAAGGTAAGACTAGTACCTGGATTAAGTTAAGCTTTGTCACTGAGTAATACAAACACAGAATAAATAATCTACAGGTCATCACAAAAAATGTCCTAAAAGATATTTTTCAAGATCCTCCATAAGGACCTATTCAATCCAGTTCTTAAACTATTTCTTACGATTTTGATTTTCCAAAAACTCTGGGAAATAGAAGAATTCGGGAATAAGTTCCTTCACATCGTATGGATTGTCCATGAGAGCCTGCCAGGTAGCAGGGATGGAATGGAACTGTCGATCGGCACAGTCGAACCTATACGTGGAGACGGGGAGGGAGCAGTGAGTCCTGACCGAGAGCAACAGGCTAAAACAAAATCACACTTTCTTCAGGGTGCCTCATGTTCACTTTCTCTTTATTGACCCTTTCTCTTTAACATCTAAAAACAAAATATGCTCTCCTTATGAGAATCTTTCTTAATTTGTTGTCAGGAACTACATACTATAATTTTAGTCACTAGTGTCATCTTAGATGAAAATGGCATAATTCTGCTGAGTAAATTTATTACACAGTGTAAATAAATATTATTTGGATATTTCAAAATTACAGAGTTTAAATGTCACTAATTATTATCGTATTTATAACATAGTTAACAGATCTATAGGAATGCTGCTGATTAATCTATGATACAAAATATCTTTACAAACTCTTTGGCTAAAAAGTAGATGGTGAGTTAGGGAAATAATTCTGTAGCTCAAGCTTTTATATTTTACTTCCATATACTATTATCTTATTTTAACTTTATTTTCAAGTTCCATCATGGGCCTACAGTAGTTGAAAGATGCTCAAGTGGTCATGCTGAAATTTTTACTATGTTTTAGCTAATCACAAACAGCATAAACCCCTTCTGTTTCATCTCCTTTGATGTTGTTTTCCCAGTTTTACCCCATAAATGATGTCTTCTAAGTGACAACTGATGACTAATATCTCTTCATGTGCCTAGCAATCTTGCTTTGAAGCAGAGTTGAACTTAGCAGAACTCTAAATTTAACTATAGTCAATGATTGGGTCATCAATAAAGTCTAAGAATGATATATTCAAATTCAATGAAAGGTACAGCTTTAAGGGCAGAACCTTTTTGTTTGGGTTGGGGGAGAACAGCTTAACAGATATATAATTAACACATATGTAATTCACTCTAAGGGAACAATTCAATAGCTTTCAGTATATTCAGAGCTGTGCAGCCATCACAACAATTTTAGAACATTTCATCACTCCAAAAGGAAATCCTGTATCTAATAGCAGTCACTCTCCACTCACCCTCCCTCCAGCCCCGGGCAATTACTGATCTACTTTCTGTCTCCATGGATTTGTATTTTTTAGACACATTATGTAAATCATATATAACATATGGTATCTTGTGCCTGGCTTATGTCATTCAACATACTACTGCTTTCACGTTTCATCCATGTTGTAGCATATATCAATCTTTCATTCCTTCTCTTAGCTCATAGCTAAACAATATTCCACACCATGGGTATACCACATTTCACTTATTCCTTTACCAGTTCATGGGCATTTGGGTTATTTAAATATTTGGACTATTACAAACAAAGCAGTTAAGGCCACTAGTGTGCAAGTGTTTGCATAAACATATGTGTTCAAAAATCTTGGGTCTATACCTAGGACTGGAATTGCTGGGTCATGGGTAATACTATGTTTAATGTTTTGAAGAACTGCCAGACTGTTTTCCACAGAGGCTGCATCATCTTAAATTTCCACTGGCAGTACATAATTGTTCCAATTTCTCAACATGCTCATCAACAGTAGGTATTACCTATCTTTTTATTACAGCCATCCTCATGAGTGTAAAGGGGTATCTCAGTTTGGTTTTGATTTGAATTTCCCTGATAACCAATGATGTTGATCAACTTTTCATGTGTTTATTAGATATCTGTAATCTTCTTTGGAGAAACGTCCATTTAGATCTTTTGTTTAGTTTTTAATTGAGTCATTTGTCTTTTTACTGTTGCATTGCAAGGACTTTTTTATATATTCTAGATACAAGTCCTTTATCAGATCTATAATTTGCAAATATTTTCTCCAACTTAACTGGTTGTCTTTCTACTCTCTTGATGATGTCCCCTGGAGCACAAACAGAACCTATTTTTGAAGCCTTATTAAAAAAATCATTTAAAAGCTGTAAAATCACTAAAACCTGAAGAGACTCAGGTTTACTTTCCTGGAAGGAAAATTACCTGATTTCATGGCAAACATAACATTTGGAGATATGTAGTGATCTAAGCCTCTCCTTGAAAGACAAGGCTCAGTGAACTAAAGACAGGAATAAGGAACCCAGGCTAATTTTGAGAGATAAACGTTACATGGAAAGAGAGCAGAACAGGCAATGTTTACATAGTTTCTGATTGGTCAGAAAAGGCAAAAGGATAATGTTAAAGATAAGGCAACAAGGAGACAAAATGAGAGTAAGCAGAGAGGCACCTGGAGGATACGTTGGGGAATGGAGAATTCTTGAAGAAGTTTCTTTAGGATAGATAAGAAAATGTGAAACTTAGGTAAGGTATAATATAGACAGGTGATATAATAATATGGTGGCATTGCAGACCTGTTTGAGCTGCTACTAATAATGTAAGGGCCCTCATTCCTCTCTATTTTTATTCCTATTGATCAATATTTTTAGGAGGACTACAGAGGCACAGGTCAGACATCTCTGGTAGATGTTTTGCATCAAGGTCTAAACCAGTTCTAAGTCGGAATCTCTGGTAGATTCCTAAACCCAGTTGAAAATAACAAAAGTACACTGGATAACAAAAAGAGGAATTCACCTTAAAAGTCATTTGTGTGAGTCAGTTTGAGTGACCCATTCCAAAACTAGTTTGGCTACTTTTATCTAGGGGCTATTATATGAATCAAAACCTAAAAAGAGGAGAATAAAAAAGGTAAGGTCCTGTTATAATAGTATATGGAAGTGAAAGTGTTAGTCGCTTAATTGTGCTTGACTTCCTGCGATCCCATGAACTGTAGCCCACCAGGCTCCTCTGTCCATGGAATTCTCCAGGCAAGAACACTGAAGTGGGTAGCCATTCCCTTCTCCAGGGAATCTTCCTGGCCCAGGGATCGAACCCAGATCTCCTGCACTGTAGACAGATTCTTTACCATCTGAGCCACCAGGGAACCCTATAACAGTATATGACATGAAGGCAAAGAGTTTTCAACACTATCATATAGTCTTAAGAAAACAGCTTGTTTACCCAAAACATACCTTCCACTCTGAAGCTGGATGTGGAGGGTGGTGAATGGTTCTGTACGAATAAGATAGTGCATAACTCCAGCAGAATTTGAATAGTGAGTACCATAATGAAATTTATCAATAGTTCCCATAGGATCCTCAAAATTTTCATATCTAAAAACAGAAACTAAAGTTTTATAATCACAATAGCAAAATTAATTTAGGACAGATGCCTGTATTGTATTGCTGAAAACAGTTTATTAAGAGGCTATGTATTCATATCATCATGTCACATTAATAAATGAAAAAAATTACTAATACTTTCTGAACAATAAAGTAGCACTAATAGTGGAGTTTGGAATACTTTCTGTATTATGCAGCAATTATTTTCACTACAGACAGATTAGAAATCACAGAGAGCCAAAAATAAAGAAATTTAAAATCAATTATAATTGTACTTCCAAGAGATAATAAATAATAACATTCTGGCAAACATTTTTCAATTATGAATTAATATATATTTTAATATAAAATACATTTTAATATAAAACTGTTATACCTAGTATATTGTTCACAACTTATTTTCTCATCTAACAATTTTCTGTTAACATCTTACAAAATATGTAAGTGACTCACTTTGCTGCACAGCGGAAACTAACATATTGCAAATAACTACACTTCAATAAAAAACTTTTACAAAATCTTAGAATATATAACAACTTATTTATTTACAGATAGTTAGGTTGTTTCTATTTTTCTGCTATTGTAAGAATGTGATAATTAGACATCATAGTATGGCCAAGGTAATAGAAAAAAATGTAGAGGGTCAGTCAAGAATTGTGAAAATGAATGTCTAATAATTCAAACGTAGAAGGAAATAGATGTGCATAGCACAAGGAACTCTACTCAATATTCTGTGATAAACTGTATGAGAAAAAATCAGAATAAGAATGAATATATGTGTGTATTACTGAATCACGTTGTTGTACACCTGAAACCTACACAACACTGTAAATCAACTATACTCCAATAAAATTAAAAAAAAAAAAAAAAGCAGACAGTGGAATAGAAAGAAGGCCTAAGTCAGATTACTAGCAAAGGGCATATATACAATAACTCTTCAAGCACTATCACTAATATTGTAATTGCTCTGAGTGATGACATCTGAGTTAGTGGGCATAAAATCTAAATCAGAATGAACAGTTTTTTGGAAGTAATACACATTAAAATTTTAAACCAAAATACTAATCAATTTGTCAAGCTAAGGTCAATTTCCTTTTTACATAGAAATCATTAATACTCAGGAAAATAGAGTTTTTAAGGCCAAAGTCATTTGTACCTATGCAGAAAAATGTATTATTGAAGCATAAATTGTATCTTCCATTATCTACAAAATAAGCTAACCTATATGAAATGTATTTCCTATGGAACAGTGTTAGTAGTTTGACTAATAGCAGTGAGGTAATATACATACAGCAAAATTCCATTAGTAAATCAAATATTAAATTGCAAAAAGGTCTTATGGAAGATTTGCAAATAAAAAGAAAAAAAAATAATGTACTATCAACTCTCAAAAAAATCTACAACTAAGTTTTCGTTTGCAAAAACTTTTGTCTTTATTACTGGAAGTTATCCATAAGTTCACATGGAGTAAAAGGAAAATTAAAATTATTCTTTTACCTGTCACCCACTTGCTTTGAATAAAAAAAAATTATGAGACATTTACAGGATGGATCATAAATATATATAACTATAAATATTTTCTTTCCTTTCAAATGTTACCTTCTAAAATTTCTTACATTTCACTGTTCTTTATTCACATTATTACTGAAAAGATCAGTATTATTAATTTGGTATCTACCAAAATAGTACATCAGAGGTAAATGCTAGATTAGCAAGTTATTAAGTCTAAAATACCCAGGGATAAAGAATTCCACCCTTGCACACATACTTTTTATCTTTTAACTGGATAGATAGTTGTTTTGCAATGTTGTTTTAGCTTCTGCTGCACGACAAGGTGAATCAGCTATACGCACACACATGTCCTCTCTGCTGAGCCTCTCTCCCCCCTTCCCCCATCCATCCCCCCGCTCTAAGCCATCACAGCAGAGCTGACCTCCTGGTGCTATAGAGCAGCTTCCCACCAGCTGTCTATGCTACACAAGGTTCTGCTTAGATGTCAGCGCTACTCTCGCAATAATCCCACACTCTGCCACCCCAACCCCCCGCGGTGTCCACATGTCTGTTCTCTCTGCATGCATCTCTATTCCGGCCCTGTGAACAGGCTCATCTGTACCACCTTTCTAGATATTTCATACATATGCATTAATATATTTGTTTCTCTTTTTATGACTTCACTCTCTTATTACAAGGAGAAAAGAAATTCAAACAACATTAATTTAAATTTGGTAATGAAGGGACACAGAATATAGTTAAGATATTTGAAAGACAACTGACAACATTTTCAAGGAAACTTAAGTGAAGGAATTATCAGACTCTAATTAGCAAAAGTAGTTGTGCATTTTTTAAAAAGTAACACTTGGTTAGCCATAGGAGAAATCAATACAAATACAAATTCAATACAAGTACAAATATATTGCTATGGGTATATCTATCAAAGCAGATGAAAGGCACTTACTTTTCTCTCATGGCTTTGGCATTTTTATCATTAACTACCCCAATTGGTTTGGATAGATCTCGAAATACAGATGGGTTATTAAGATCCAACTCTTCTGAAGTATAATCTTGTAAAATCCAGGGGAACTAAAAGAGCCACAATTTACAATTGAGACATTCTTTCCAAGGGAAGCTACCAGCTCCATCACTAATATCAAATGCTTTTCTAAAGACAAAAAGGAACAGTCTACTTTTTTCCTGTTGCAAATGTTTATTCATCTTTAGCTCAATAACCAGAAGCATTACCTCCTGTAATTCCATTGAAATATTCTCAATGAAATGAAAGAAAAAAGGCTTTCATTTTTAAAATGCCCTTCATACTTATATACTTCTTGAAAATAGCAGGGTAAGAAATAAATAGAAAGGCAAAAATAATTTTTACATATTTTTAAAAATAAAAACTAGATGTAAGCCACTTATATTTTTGTATATAATAAAATTGAAAGGTAAGTGTATATTTACAGGATTTTTATAAAACTCACCACAGGATACTGTGCAAGGTCATTATAGGTTCGTCCTGCCATTGTATTTAACTGAATGAGGTAGTCAAAATTTGATATCTCTCTGTTTACCCATTTCTAGATAGCACAGAAAAAATCATAATTAGTCTACATCTCTTAGAAATCAATAACTATTATTGACAGTACTGAAATAATCTTGCATCCACTATCTCTATCCTCTTTCTGGTAAAAGAGGTTAAGTTTTTTAAAAAAGATTTAACAAGGAGAAAAATCAACATACTTCTCCTAAGTTCACTTCCTTCTAAAAACTGGTCTTTAGAAAAGGAAAATAAAGTTCTCACACTGCAGTCTAAAAGATCTCCTATAATAATTAACTCTTTTCTTTAATTAAAAAATATTGTATTTTAATATAAAAATGTTTAATTCTAGAAGGACTGCCAAAATTTTAAATTTGTCATCAACTGAAATCTTCATAAGTATAAATATTAAAATATCAGTATCTCAATGTACTTAACTGATCTACAAATTTTAAATAACATTATTATATCTCTGCTCAGAAAAATTCCTTTATACAGTAAAGGTAGGTGGGATTTTGCTATAACAGATATAAAAACTTTCTAAAGAAAGACATAATTGTTATTTTTTAAATCACCTTGTTAAATCTAGCCTACTAGTTACTCTACACAGTGTGAGTATGCTCAAGCATTTTTTTTGAAGACAGATTAACATACACCTTTAAGTTTACTGTGCGCCTCAAGCAAAAGACATGTAGAAATTGTGAGAAATGAATCTATCTATACAGAAAGCCCAATAATAGTTAACTTATGTGCCAAATTGAGGAATCAGTACTTTAATGAATAAAAGTTTATACCACAGAAAGCAGGGAATGTACTTCTAAATAAAGCTTATTCCATAAACAACTGGAAGGAATTGCTGATGGCCTTTGAACAAGAGCAACGTTTAAAGATTAAGATGAACACATATGTAGGAGGAAGAAGAAAGCCAGGAGGCAGAGAACCTTACTAGGAGACTACTAACACCCCCAGAGAGCAAAACACAAAAGCCTTTCCTTGGCTTCTGACAGTGCAAATTCAAGAGACGTTGGGATTATATGAGGATAAAATGCGTGGAAGCATTAGTTAGCTTTGGCAGACAGAAAGACTGGAGAAAATTCTTTCTGCCTATATTCCAAGGTGTCTTGTATTTTCTCATTTTTTCTTGTGCATGGATTATTTTTATCATTAAGAGAAGTCACACATTATTTTTTTAAAGGAACATTATAATGAAAAAAGAAGTTATAAGATATGCCCATGACCGGAACGATACAGGAGCTGGAGGACAGGGTACTCTTATATGTGAGGGAAACAGAAAGATTCAAAGACAATTCAAAAGATCACCTGAATGGAAGAACAGCAGTTGCATAATCAAAATAAAATAGTCAGAAGGAAGATTTACTTCTAGGCAAAAGTCTAAGATTATAAAATTAACACCAAACAGTGACTTAAAATTTCCTACCTGTGTCAGTCCTGATGCTTTGAATAACTCCTGTGGTGATCTGGTTCCATAACTATTTGGAGAATGAAGTGACAACAGTCTGCTATATACTTTGTTCCTAACCTATTAAAAAAATAGCACTTTACAGGTTAAAATAGATTATGACAAAACAGGATTATGGCTTTATTAACAGATTTATTGAGATATAATTCACACACCATAAATTCACCCTTTTAAAGTATACAATTCAGTGGGGTTTTTCTCTTTTTAAAAAAAAATATTCACAGAGTTATACAACTATTCACATTATTTTTTTAATTTTTCAATTTTTAAAAAAATTTTTTTGCCTTTTTTTTTTTTTTCATTTCTTTATATTAGTTGGAGGCTAATTACAATATTGTAGTGGTTTTTGCCATACATTGATATGAATCAGCCATGGATTTACATGTGTTTCCCATCCTGAACCCCTCTCCCACCTCCCTCCCCATCTCATCACTCTGGATCATCCTAGTCACATTATCTAACTCTGGGACATTTACGTCATCCTCAAAAGAAACTACATACTTATGAGCCATCACTCCCCAATTTCCCTTTCGTCCTCTGACAACCACTAAACTTTCTGTCACTATGGATTTGCGTAATCTGAACATTTCATTTAAACAGAAGATTACAGTTTTAACTTATTTATTTTACTAGGCTTAACAAACTTATGACGCACATTTTTTTAGAATGTTACAGTGTATAAATAATCGTCACACATTTTATCAGAAAACTAGCTCACTTCCAGTTCAAATCTAGTTCTGTCATTTACTAATCATCTGGACAAATCAGTTAATTTACTGAGTCTCATCTGTGTATTCAATATAATAATCTCCACCCTTTACAGTTTTGTGGATTATTCAGGGCTAGGCAAGTGTAAAGAAATAAAATTAATCTTTGAACTTCAGCTTCCTCATCTATAAAAAAAGAATGGAATTTTCCATATCTAATCTGAAGATTGTTATGAAGATTGGGTACCACATATAAATGTGCTTTAAAGACTATATACAAGAGACTTCCCTGGTGGTCCAGTGGCTAAGACGCCAAGCTCCCAGTGTAGGGGGCCTGGATTCAATCCCCAGTAAGGGAACAAGATTCCACATGCCACAACTAAGAGTTTACATGCTGCAACTAAGATCTGGTGCAGCCAAATAAAATAAATTAAAAAAAAAAACTACATACAAATAGGAATGTTCTTAGTTTAATTACATAAAATAGCTTTCTAAAAAACACCTACATTGTATTTTCCTATGGATGAAAATTTATTTTTAATAGTGAAAAATTACCCTTTTGTAAAAATAGAAAAATGTTTCTCAAAGGTCTGAATCAAATTATTTATAAATATACATGTATCTCATTTATAAATATACCTGGATCTCAAATGAATAGAAATGAATAGAAACTTATTGACTCTGCTAATCCAGGTCCTTGGAAGAAAAGTTATTGACTCTGCTAATTGCATGCTCCTTGGAAGAAAAGTTATGACAAACCTAGACAGCATATTAAAAAGTAGAGACATTACTTTGCCAACAAAGGTCCATCTAATCAAATCTATGGTTTTTCCAGTAGTCATGTATGGATGTGAGAATTGGACTATAAAGAAAGCTGAGCGCCAAAGAATTGATGCTCTTGAACTGTGGTGTTGGAGAAGACTCTTAAGAGTGCCTTGGACTGCAAGGAGATCCAACCAGTCAATCCTAAAGGAAATTGCTCCTGAATATTCATTGGAAGGGTTGATGCTGAAGCTGAAACTCCAATACTTTGACTACCTGATGTGAAGAACTGACTCATTGGAAAATACCCTGATGCTGGGAAAAAATGAAGGCGGGAGGAGAAGGGGACAACAGAGGATGAGATGGTTGGATGGCATCACCGACTCAATGGACATGAATTTGAGTAAACTCCGGAAGTTGGTGACAGACAGGGAGGATTGGCATGCTGCAGTCCATGGTGTTGCAAAGAGTCAGACACGACTGAGCGATTGAACTGAACTGAACTGAATCCAGGTAATCTGAGAAGCAAATGCTAAGACAGAATTGAACATGGAGGATTTTATTAGGAGAGATACCAGAGAGAGAAAATGGAGAGAAAGCTAGGCAAGGTAAAAGAAAGCTCTCAAACTGTGATACAAGTCTGGCCTCAAGTATATGCCAAAGGGAAGGAAGGTTGAGAGCAAGTAATGTGCCAAAGGTTATAGTGCTAGTGGTGGAATGGTTTTGGATCCAGGGAACCTGAATTTAGTGGCAATCTCTTAACTGCTTACACTATTTAAGAATTTACGCTATTCCTAGAAGAACTACATGCTCCATTATTTTTTTTTTCTGATTACTCCATTATTGTTGAATTCAACCCAAACTAATTTCATAAATCCAATTATATCATATATATACCATATTATTTCACAATTGGATACTGTAAGACATCTATTTGCTGACATTCAAAACTCTACTGACTTCTTTATCTACCTATATATAAAATATCCTCCAAACACTCAAACATAAATCCCAACAAAAATTCATATGTTGCTTAGTCCCAAAGTATGTATCTTTTTTCTCTAATATTCTGACTCAGTGGAAGAACAGAGTATAAAGTTTCATTACAGCTTACTAGTTGGAAAATTATTTCAAGCTAACAGTCTAGGAGAAAGGTAGCCTTTTACATACCTCTTTTTTGAAATTGAGAAAGTAGTTGGATTGGTCAACATGAAAAATCTCAAGGGCTGACCTCCTTAAGTTGTACCGTCGTAGGTGAATCTCTCGAACTTGAGAGTGAGGCCACTTGAAATCAAAGCCTACTCCTGAAAACAGAGAAAAATCTTGTGACTGTGGACCACATAAAGTTACTTATGCTATGCAGAAAATACCTCCTTTTCCTGACAAGAATAGCATTTAGGGAAAAAGAATTCAATCTCTATATGATAAAGCCCATCTGTTAAATGCATTACATGTTTAAACTATTTCTTATAAAACTATTTTAAAATTCTATAGCTTTTTCTACTTCCTTTCCATTGGAATAGAGAATAACTCTGAATACTGTATCTTAGAAACATTTTCCCTTTTCTCTTTATGTTAGCAGCTTAGATTTAAATATCTTTTTATTTTCAGATAAAGGATTAGATGAGAAACCTATAGGAACAAGAGTACATATAAATTAAACATTGCATTTATAACTTAAATTTATAGCAATCCCCACTAGGCAAACCTTTTAAAAAACATTGATAATAAAAAAGCAGCATTCCCCTCAATACACTGTTGAATAATGAATTTAATCCCATACTGACTTTCCATCTCTCCCTTTACATGACAGACTACAATTTTACAGGCCCATCTTATTGCTTTCTTCTCATTAATGATTGATAAACTGGATACTTAACTATTGAACAACAGAAATTATTCCCCCAGAACTCCTCACCATCTTCTTTTTCAGTGCTGCCATCATAGAAGTAAATGTGTTGAGTAGTGATTTCTAATCTGCCAGGAATTACATCAATGATTGTAATGAGTTCACAGTCTTCTGCTAACACCAATTTTTCTTTTTGATTCTGTTCTTCTTTCTCATCACTGAAGGGGAAAAACAAACAAAAAAGATCCAACAGTGTATTCTGGATAAATGGAAAAGAACATCATATTCAAATTCAAATCTCATTTCTGTGAAATCACTATCCAAGAAAGGGTACTTGAATTTTCTACAAGAAACAGTCCACTGCATATTTCACCAACCTAACAGGTAATACTGCAATCCTTAAAGCTAAGCTAAAAAAAAATTAAGAATGTTTTCCTAAATAGTGAAATTCTAAAGTTCACAGTGATGAAATTGAGAAATAAGTGACATAAGGCAGTAGATAGTCTGTTGCTTATTTATATTCTATGAAAGAGCTCTGGTTTTTCATTTGAAAATGAATGAGACTGACATCCACTGAATTTACTACTCATTGAAGAAAGAAAATAAAACCCCATTAAAAGGATGACTAAAAAAATCTACCCAAATCAAAGAGCTCCCTAGACACCCAAGTCTACTCAGTTTGCTAAAAATAATCAAGGAAATATTTTAAAATTATTAATATTATATGAACAAAAGAACCTGCTTATGCCAACAAAAGATATCATTGAAACTGATCTGTTTGTAATATTAAAATAAGTTCTGAAGAAATATTTGCCATATTTTGCTTATAACCTAAATAGAGTGATGCTCAGAATAAATTATAAACTTGAGACTTAGCTACTCATTCTTGGCTGAATGTGAAGCTTTACAATCATAGTAAAAGTCAGGGTGGATGTGTAAATCACCAAATTTGAATGAATTCCCTGAACCACTTACAGATTCAGTGGCAAAGAGTGGCAGTATTACTGATCAAGGGGTTTAACACAAGCACAAACTAATTACTGTCTGACCACTAAGCTATGCTGATCCAGAGGCAACCCCCAACAAGCAGAGCTTTAAAAATAAAACAAAATAAAATAAAATAAAATAATAAAATAAAATAAAAATAAAACAAAACAAAAACCCAGTAAGTACAGACATCAATGGCATTCACTACAGGTAAAACAGACTCCACAGACTTAATCTACCAAAGTCATTAGACAAACAAAAATACAATAACAATAACCAAAAACAAGGGAGATCAGAATCCAAAGTGGATATAATTTTTTTTTTAATGTATGTGTTTCACAAAGATTACGAGACATAGCAAGAAACAGGAAACTATGGACCATGAACTCAAAAGAAGTAAAAAGAAACTATTTCTGGGAGGACCTCATAAGTTCAACTTAGCAGACAAAGACAAGAAGGCAGCTATCATAAAAATACATGAAAAGAACTAAAAAAAATAAAATACATGAAAAGAACTAAAAACTATGTTTAAAGAACCAAAGTGTATTATGGCAAAAAGGTCTAGTCATAGATTATAATAAAGAGATAGCAATTACACATATATTTATAAAAATGAACCAAATGAGAAATTCTGAAATTGAAAAATATAATAACTAAATGATAAATTCACCAGAAAGACTCAACAGCATGTCTGAACTTGCAAGAGAAAGAAGCAGAGCTCTTGAAGATAGATCAGAAAGAAATTGTCCAACCTGAAGAATAGAATGAAAAAAAGAATTAAGCAGAATGAAAGAAACTCAGAGGGTTCTATCATGCAAAACAACCTAAGTGCAAAGGCAGACCCAGAAGGAGAGAATAGAGAAAAAGGTCAAGATATATTTGAAAAAATAATGGTAGCAATTTCTCAAATATGAAAGAATTTAATCTACACATCCAAGAAACTCAGTGAACTCCAAGCAGGATAAACACAAAGATATCCATACATGGACAGAAGGTCAAGGTGATAAAAGCTAAGGACAAAAAGAATAACTTTAAAGTATCACAATACGGTATATAAATTGTCAACCGAGCATTCTATAACCAGCAAAACTACCCATCAAAGAGAAAGCAACAGTGCTCAGACAACTAGAGTCACATGCAAAAGAATTAATACAGATCTCTACATCATACCACATACAAAAATTAACACAAAATGCATCAAAGACCTAACATAAGAGATAAAATATAAAAGTCTTATTCATTTGAATCAGTTCTAATGAGGTGGATGAAACTGGAGCCCATTATACAGAGTGAAGTAAGCCAGAAAGAAAAACACCAATACAGTATACTAACGCATATATATGGAATTTAGAAAGATGGTAACAATAACTCTATATGCAAGACAGAAAAAGAGACACAGATGTATAGAACAGACTTTTGGACTCTATGGGTGAAGGCGAGGGTGGGATGATCTGAGAGAACAGCATCGAAACATGTATATTATCAAGTGTGAAACAGATCACCAGTCCAGGTTGGATGCATGAGACAAGTGCTGGGGGCTGGTGCACTGGGATGACCAGAGGGATGGGATGGGGAAGGAGGTGGAAGGGGGGTTCAGGATGGGGAACACATGTAAATCCATGGCTGATTCATGTCAATGTATGGCAAAAACCACTACAATACTGTAAAGTAATTAACCTCCAACTAATGAAAATAATTGGGAAATAAATAAAGGATATGAGACATGAAAAAAAAATGCTATGGACAGATTGAAAAGACCTCGAGTGATCAATAAAAAAAAAACTCTTAGAAAAAAATAGATAAAAGGAAATTCATCAAAATTAAAAATACCAACAAAAAAGTGAAAAACCCAACTTAATAGAACATTTTTGTAAATCCTATATTTAATAAAGAACTTGTTGCTAAAATATATAAAGAACACTTACAACTCAGTAACAAAAAGACAACTCAATTAAAAAGTGCAAAAAAGATCTTCATAAAGATTTCTCTAAAAAAGACATACAAATGGCCAACAAACATATGAAAAGATGCTCAGCATCACTGGTCATTAGGGAACTGCAGATTAAAACCACTAGATACCACCTTCTGAAAGTGAAGTTGCTCAGTCATGTCCAACTCTTTGAGACCCCATGGACTATAGCCTGTCAGGCTCCTCTGTCCATGGGATTTCCCAGGCAAGAATACTGGAGTGGGTTGCCATTTCCTCCTCCAGGGGATCTTCTTAGAGATCAAAGCCGTGTCTCCCGCATTGCAAGCAGACACTTTACCATCTGAGCCACCAGGGAAGCCCACCACCTTCAAGAATGATGTAATAAATTTTACAAAAACAACAGAGAGGGCTTCCCTGGTGGCTCAGTGGTAAAGAATCTGCCTGCGAATGCAGAAGATATGTGTTCAATTCCTGATCCGGGAAGATCCCACATGCTGCAGGGCATTAAGCCCATGTGCCACAACTACTGAGCCTGTGGTATGGGGCCTGGGAACTGCAACTGCATCCACATGCCACAAGTACTGAAGCTCTCGAGCTCTACAAACCATGCTCTGCAATGAAAGCAGCCACTGCAGAGAGAAGCCTGTGCACCACAACTAGAAAATAGCCCCCACACAGTGCAACTGGAAAAAAGCCTGTGCAGCAACAAAGATACCGAACAGCCAAAAATAATAAATAAAGTAATTTAGACTTAAAAAGAGAGAATAACAGACGCTTGAATGGATTGAATAATCTAATATGAAAATTAGAACTTTCATACATTGCTGAAATGTAAAATGGCATTGTGAAAACTGCTTCATAATTCCTCAAAAGGTTAAACATAGAATTAGCACATGGCCAACAAATACAAGTTTTTTTTTTATACTCAAGATAACTGAAAATATAAGTTGACACAAAAATGTATACATGAATATTCAAAGCAGTATTATTCATAATCATCAAAAAATAGAAACTACAGCAATGTCCATCAACTGATGAACAGATAAACAAAAATAATATACTCATATAATGGAATACTATTTAGCAAAAAAAAAACAAATTAAATATTGTTAGATGCAATGACTTGGATTAAACCCTGGAAATACCATGAAAAAAAAGTAAAAATGTTAGTCGCTCGGTCGTGTCTGACTCTTTGTGACCCCATGGTCTGTAGCCTGCCAGGCTCCTCTCTCCATGGAATTCTCCAGGTAAGAATACTGGAGTGGGTAACCATTCCCTTCTCCAGGGGATCTTTCCATCCCAGTGACTGAATCCGAGTCTTCTGCATTGCAGGAAAATTCTTTACCGCCTGAGTCACCTATACCGAAAGGCAACATATTATATGAAATACATGAGATGTTGAACACAGGCAAATCCATACTGAAAGAAAGCCAATAAGCCATTGCTAGCGGATGCAGGGAGGGAAAATTGGGACCGATTACTGAAAAGTATAAGATCTGCTTTTGGAGTGATGGAAATGTTCTTGGACTAGATAGTGGTGACACTGCACAACTCTGTGAATAGACTAAAAAGCCACTGAACTGTACACTTTAAAATGGTAAATTTTATACTAAGTGAATCTCAATTTTCAAAAAATATACCTGTTTTTAAAAAAGCAGCCAAAAATGAAGACAAAAATCTCCACAGGTGACAAAAGACTAAGATAATGTGTGGCTTACAGATCTTCTTTATAAGAAATACTGAAGAGAGTCCTCAGGCTTAAAGGAAATGCACCAGATGGTAATATGAATGTACACAAGGAAATAAAGTGTATAGATAGGTAATTATGCAGGCAAATATAAAGGAAAATAAAGGAAAACATAATTACATAGTTTTTTCTTCTCAACTGATTTTAAGACAAGTGCATAAAACACTAACAGCGTAAGCTGTGCTGTTGGGCTTAAAATATATAAAGGTTTAATATTACAGTAATAAAACAAAGCAGACATGAGAAATGAAAATGTTTTACATTTGCTCAGGGGAAGTTTTTGGGCTTCCCTGGTGGTTCAGATGGGAAAGAATCTGCCTGCAATGTGGGAGACCTGGTTTGATGCCTGGATTGGGAAGATCTCCTGGATGTGGGCATGGCAACCCACTCCAGTATCCTTGCCTTCGGAATACCCATGGACAGAGGAGCCTGGTGGGCTACAGTCCATGGGGTCACAAAGAGTTGGATACAACTGAGCAACAAAAGCACAGGGGAAGTTTTTAAACTACAAATTCAAAAATTTTAAATATATCTAAGGCTATTCAGGGTATATATTTTTTCCAGGTAGAGGTCTGATAAGTTATATTTTTCAAGGAATTTGTCCATTTCATTTAAATTGTCAAATTTATTGGCATAAAGCTGTCATTTTCTTTTAATTATTTTAATGTATTTCTTTTTAATCATTTTAATATCTGTAATGTTTTCTCCTCTTTCATTCCCGATACTGGTAATTTATGCTGTCTTTACCTCCTAAATAGTCTAACTAGAGGTTTATTGTTCACTTATCTGATTTTTAATGACCAGCTTTTTTTTACTTTTTCTTTTTCTTGTTTGATCTTTCTCTTTCATGGACTTCTGCTTTTATCTTTGTAATTTCTTCCTTTTGCTTAAGAGCTTATATTTTGTGCTATACTTACCATCTAAACACCTCACCGTCATCCTATAAATTTGGTAATGTTTTTATTATCATTCAGCTCAAAATATTTTCTAATCTCAAGGTCCAGCTCCAAATTAACCCAGTTCTAAGAAGCCTTCAATGGTTTCAGTTGACACTGATAGACTCCTAACAGTTGATATAGTATTAACTATTGGATCCTGGAAATGTATAGTATTACAATTTCAAGCAACTATTTTCCACAATTTTACAATCCCATTTCTCAGAATAAAGTAATCTCAAATTCTCTCAAGTACTGATACATACATATTTACTCTGGCTGTTATTTCCTCTTCAGGAAGATCCAATTTATCCTCCTCCATATCACTAACTTTTACTTGTTTCACCACTTCCAGAAGCAATGAATCACTGGAAGGCTGTGAGTGTTGGATACCTGTTTAAACATAAAATATCTGTTAAACACAAAGTAGAAAAATCATATCAGAGTCCTTTTGTAATTTCTGTTAATTATATGTAATAATGTGTATAATAAGAAGGTGCTTGAAATTTTCTAAGATAAAAAAGTGATTTACTACAGAAAAGCTGTTATACATGATTTAGAGTTATCTATGCTACTTAACTGATTTTTTAAAATTATTATACATATAACAAATGGAATAAATGTTTTTAAAATGGTATTTGTTTTTAATGATGGTATTTATGTTTCAGAAACAGGTCAAGTAATCTCTTTAACCATATTTACTTCTAAAGGATGCCAATAAGTAAGTGTTATTTTCACTACATTAATTCAATAGCATTATCCTTACTGTGCATTTGTACTATAGAAATATTATTTTTTTTTTTTACTAAAATTAATGAGTTTAATAATATTGCAGGATACAATAGAAAACTAAATTATGTAACAGCAATGATTAATCAGATATTGAAAAATTTCAAAATACCATAAAAATATTAACTACTTGGGGAGACATCTGACAAGGACATGTAGGACTTGCACATTGAAGACTACAGAGAAATGAAAATAAATCCCAAATAGAGACCTATATTATATTCATGGGTCAAAAGACTCAATACTAGTAAATGTCCATTCTCTACAAGTTGATCTACAAAATCAACATGATTCAAATCAAAATCTCAGTGGGCTTTTTTGGTGGAACAAGTTGATTCTAAAATCGAGATGGAAATGCAAAGATGGATAATGGCCAATGTAACATGGAAGAACAAAGTTGGAGGACTTAATAATACCTGATTCAAGACTTACTATAAAGCTCAAATAATAAAAGTAATGTGTTGGGCTTCCCTGATGGTCCAGTGGCCGTACTATAGAAATATTAAGAAAGAATGTGAAAAATTATTGTTAACTGCAAGATAATACATAGTCCATTCTGAAGTGTTCCTTTCTGGAATACATGGAAAAGATAATTCAGATACACATATATGCCACAAATGTAATGAACTATGCATTATGTAAGAAGGCTAGGCTAGTGCAATGGAAAGAACATGGGTTGTGAAGTGGTAAACCTAAATTCAAATTCCACTTATTAACCACATGACCCCTCTGAACCTATGTTTCTGTAACTGTGAAATGGAGATACATCACATTATACATAAAATAAATAGTAGCTATCCTTACTGTACATTTACCTCTCAATTATCTGAGTGGCATAAAAGTAGTAATGAAAATATATGCATAATTTATAGATAGGACTGGAAAAAGTTCATATGTTTAACTATGAATATAGACATTGCATATTTAGAAAACAAAAATAATTCATGCTAAATAACAAAACATTGTAAAGACAACAAAAACGCTCAATTTCTCAAATGGTATCTTTGCTCTGACACATAAACTGAATTAACCTAATGTACAGTTGCATTTTTCCTTTATAAATCTGCTTTGATCACATACAAGTCCAGATAATCTGATATAAATAGAATGATATTGATGCAAATACTTATAGACAAACATATGGAGTAGGTAAAACACTCTGCAGTTAAATCTGAAGTAAGCTTCAGGGAACTTTGTAAGTTTTAAAGACTGATACCACTGACTGGTTTTCTACTATTACCAATTTCACTTTGAAATGTATGATTTCTTACTTCTGTACAATTTTATTATCACCATTATACCTGGGATAACTTTGAAAACTAGGTAAAGAGAGAAAGAGATGGAAAAAGAGAAAGGACACTGGTCTTCCTGAACTTAAAACAACTGTGAACAAGAAGAAGAAACATAAAATTATATCTGTGTACATGTGTTAAGAGGGATGAAGAAGGAGAGGAAAGGAACAAGGAATTTCCTGGAGTGGTATTTCCTGACGGAAAAGAAGAAAAATAGAGAATACTACTCCTTAAGTGTTACTAAATTGAAGTCATTCACCAAAAGATGTTTTCTGAGTGACAAGTATAAAATTTCAAGAGGTAGAAAAGTATAATAGTCTCAGGACACAAACAGGGAGAACAAACTTGTATGCAAGTGACCATTCCTATGTAAGAGATTCTCAAAGTTAGTGTTTTTATCAGGGAAAAGGCCATTATTTTACATTAAGGAAAATTACTGAGTCTCATTTATTTCAGAATGTAAGATTCTAAATGGCAGGCATGATAGTTCTCTTATTTTTATGGCACTTACTGTACAGGCCAATTTATTATGGCAATTTTTTAAAAATAAGATTAAAAAATTGGTACTCATTTTATCTATAACTTAGTCATTAAACACAAGATGCACAACTAGCTTTGGTAAAGTAACTACAATTTAGTATACACATGACTCTTAATACTTTGGGGTATTTCAGAGACCCTTCTTCAAAAAGAAAAGGATTTGTCAAGTCAGATGGTTATAAAGGAAGGGCTTCCTAAAGAATTATAGACACTCTTTAAAATCTGTTTTAATATACCTCTAGGCTACGTGTTTTTAAACACTTTTTTTTCCTAGAAAAAAGGCAGTGACCCACCTAGATACTAAAATGTCTGGAGTTCTATAAGAAGAATAGGTCATAAAAGAAAGACCTAAAAAGTTCCTAAGGATTCGAGATATATTTAAGATTAGCCTCAGTTTTAGGAGGCAAAAGGCTCAGGTACTGTATTTTACTATACCATAATAGATACAGAGACAACACATTTCACACCAACTGCTGTGTAATTTTATGAGTTTATATTTTTCTTTGAAAAACTGCAATCAACTGAAACAGGAAGTCATTTTAGATTTGACTAAGATTTGACAAAGGCAACATAGACAGCCATTTAAATATCAATTATAAAACATCACCCTCTCTCAAGAACAAACAATTTTCAAACAATTAATAAAAACAATTACCAACCCCTACCACCACTCTCATTATCTTCAACAGATAATTAAACAGCCATTGGAACTCACCTAGATTATCTCTCAAAGCGCTAGCTTCTTCATGGGTTTTGAAATTATAATTTGGTACCAATTTAAGTCTCATGCGGGAATAATTTTCTACATTAGCTAGTTTCCAGTGAATTGGATTTTGTTTCCTATGAATATTCATAAGTAAACAAATAAAATTATTTTAGCTTAAAATTACAAAAGATCAGCTGATTGAAACAGAGTAAAAAAGTAACATGTATTTTACGTTTCTTTGGCATCATTTTATAAAAGCATTCACATTTGTATCTCATTTGACCCAAGCAATCCTGAGGGAAAAAAACTAATGTTAGTATGCGTATCAACAGTTTATACCTAAGGAATCTAAGACAGGCTAAATTACTTGCATAAGATGCCATGGAGTTTACAGACATCAGAAATAAGATTTGAACAGAAATCTTCAGACTTATAGCTTGATATATTTTACTCTTTCACTGTTAGAAGGAATTTCTTAACTAGCTATACATGAGTTTATTCCAAATACAGTTTTCAAAATAAAATAATAATTTTACTACAAATAAAGATAATATAATTACAAATGGATCAAAGATCTAAATATGAGTTAAAGCTCTCAGGGGAAACATAGGAGTAAATCTTCATTACTTTGGATTTGAAAATGGTTTCTTAAATACGATATCAATAACATAAGCAAAAAAAGAAACAGATAAACTTGAGTTAAACTTCAAGTCTTTTTGCACCAAAGGCCACTTATCAGGAAAGTGAAAAGACAACCTATGTATTTATAGACAATATATCCAATAAAGGCCTATTATTGAGAAAATAAAAGGAACTCTTATAATACAACCACAAAAAGTCAAACAATCCAAGTTAAAAATGGACAAGAAAAAAAAAGAAAGGACTTATACATTTCTCTAAAGAACACATACAGATGTTGGACAGATGGTGAACAAGTATATGAAAAGATACCAATGTCATTAGTCATTAGGGAAATGAAACAAAATGATAAAATACCACTGTATAACCAACAGATGACCATAATAAAAAAAAAATTTTTTAAAGACAAGTATTACAGTAAGGTTGCAGAGAAACTGCAACCTTCAAGCACTGCTGATAGGAATGGGGCAGCTGCTATGAAAAACTGTTACGCAGTTCTTCAGCAAGTTAAATACAGAATTACCACAGCAATGCTGCCTGCAGGTATATGACCAAGAAAACTAGACAAAGGCGTTGAAGCATATACTTGGTTTTGGTTTACAGCAACACTATTCACAATCTGTACATGCTCAGTCGTGTCCAACTCTTTGCAACCCCATAGACTAGAGTCCACCAGGCTTCTCGGTCCATGGGATTATCCTGGCAAGAATACTGCAGTGGGTTGCCATTTTCTCTTCCAGGGGATCTTCCCAACCCAGGGATCAAACCTGTATCCCCAGTGGCTCCTGCACTGGCAGGCAGATTCTTTACCACTGAGCCACTGGGAAGCCCACTATTCATAACAGCCACAAAGAAATCAGCCCAAATATCCATCACCCATTTCATACAATGGAATATTATTCAGTCATAAAAAGGAAAGAAAGTACTAACACATGCTACAACAGAGTGAAAACACTATGCTAAGTGAAAGAAGTGGCACAAAAGGCCACCTATTGTATGATTTCACTTATATGAAATACCCAGAATAGGTAAATCCATGGAGACAGAAAGCAGACAAGCAGTTACCAGGGATCAGGGCAAGAGTTAATAGGCAGTGACTATTACCAGTTCCAGGGTTTCTTTTTCAGGTGATGAAAAGGTTCTCAAGTTGGACAGTGCTCTCATCTCAAGCTGATTACACAACATTAGAAATGTACTTACTCTCACTAAATTATACACTTTAAAGCAGTTAAAAGAGCAAATTTTCTATTAAGTGTATTTTACTAGAATAAAAAAGGGCTGTTAAAAATATGTGTGTGTAATATAATTCAGTGAATTATATTACAGTCACAGAAGTGACTGATCAAGTAAAGAAATAGTATAATATTCAAACACACAGCATCACTAACCCTAGCTCAAAGAGGTCGTGTCAGGAAGACAGAAGTAAATGGATTCAAGACAAATTCTACAAAGAGTAAAGGAAACAACTCCACAGTGACAAACACATAAACACCAAGCTCTACACTCACCAAACCTATCATTCATAAAAGACAAGCAAATTAGTTAAAAGCAATCTTGTAAAAACTGGATTGGAGAGGTCAGTGGAGAGGTTCATGAAGTGCTAGATCAGAGTTCTAAAGCAGAGGGCATTTAATGAATGACAGCTAATCCTACCTTTTAGCCCAAGGTCCCCTTTCACATGTAAGATAAAGCTTGACTGCCTTCCAGCGTCTCAGAGTGGCTAACTGTTGACTGCTAAGTTGTTTCAGCATGTTATTATACCTCAAGTTCTCCTGGCGTGCTTTTCGATTAAATGGCTCCACAAAAAACTCCTGAAAGAAAGAGCAATAAATAAGAGCACCAAATCATGTATTGAGAGGTATGTTTAAATTTGAATGTCATAATTTTAGAAATCTGACTCAATAAAATCATAAAATGAAAGAAGCTGGCAACCAACAGGATTTTCTTATTCCATTAGAATCATTAATATGACTCTAGCTATAATACTTATTTTTTAATATAAGAAAATAACAAGCGAACAATAAAAATGTAAAGAACTTCAAAACTGTAAAGTGTCTCAAGGTCGGACTATTTAAGACTTAGAATTACTAACTGTATCTCATCAAGTAAAATGATTTTCTCTGGGGATCTTTTGATCTACAAGGCATCTGGAATCTGACTCAAGTCAAATAAAGTAAAAGGAAGAGGACCACATTCCACACTGCTACTGCTGGCCGGAAAGGCAGTGCGGAAGACAAAAGAAACCTATAGGAGTAAATCTCTCACAGTGAAAAATTCCATCATTGAGGAGTGCTTCTCTCAGAATAGCATCCTCTCTAGCAAATGAATTCACAGACCTATTCCAGTTTTCAGGATAAAATAAGATTCTGGTAATAACTTCTACCAAGATAAAACTCTAAACCCTGAAATTAAAATTCTAAAGTTTTCAGAAAGACAAGAGGTAAGCCTGGTTTAGGACTTCCCAGGTGGCGCAGTAGTGAAGAATCTGACTGCCAATACATGCGTTTGATCCCTGGGTGGGGAAGATCTCCTGGAGGAAGAAATGGCAACCCATTCCAGTATTCTTGCCTGGAAAACTCTATGGACAGAGGAGCCTGGCAGTCCATGGGGTTGGTTGCAAAGAGTCGGACACAACTGACCGACTGAGCATGGAAGCCTGGTTTACCGACCTCACACTGACATTGATTAATTAAGAAATATTAGGAACTAAAATAGTATTCAACTTGTTTCAAACAAATCAACAGTGAATTACATTAAAACGAATGGTTAAAGACATGGCTTTAAAAGACATCTTTTACTTATTTTTTTGGTAATGCTACACAACTTGTGGGATCTTAGTTCCCATGTGGCATCAAGCCTGAGCCTGTGCAGTGGAAGCACAGAGCCTAAACCACTGGACCATCAGGGAAGTCCCTACCAGACATCTTTTTAAAGAGTTAATACTGTACTATATGGTTGAGAATATAAGCTTTGGAGCTAGACCTCAGTACAAATCTTAGCTACTCAATTCTCTGAGGCTCAGTATCATCACTGCTAAGTTGAGGTTGACAATAATTGTCATGTGCTAAATACAGTGCTAGAAAAGTAGCAAGCTTTCAATAAATTAGTTATTATTATAATTACTACTGTAATTACTGCTAGATTTATAGGGTATCAATGATTTGGGATACAGTGTTATCAAATATTTAAAACAGATCATTGCTATGACAACTGAAGAAGTCATGAAAATTCCATAATAATTAAACATCAATTTCACAGCTTTAAAGTTTGAGCACATGAGGATATCAAGCACATAAATTAGGTTTTTCTAGAAGCTAAGGGTGAAATTACAGAGAAAAGAACAGTTGGAATAGTAACTGGTAGAACTTCTTTTTTTTTTTTTTTTTAGTAACTGGTAGAACTTCTATGAGGGAAATATAATAATAATTATTGTCATGATTGCTATATACCAGCAATTCCACTTATTCTAGGGAAGTCATTCTGAATAAACACAGACTACAGAGATGATCAATACTATCTATAATAAAGAAAAAACTGGTAAATTAGGTCTAAAACCAGGAAATAAGTTTAAATTTTCTAATATAAAACATTATGGAATATTAGCCATAAAATGGCATGAGAAAATACTCACAACACATTTTAAGTTAAAGTAGTAGCAAATGAAACTATCATTTCACTTAAACTAAATATATACATAAAAATACAGGAAAGATAATACAGCAAAATGTTAGTAGCAGTGGATTACAAATATCTTTTTACACTTAAGTTTTGAAATAAAGCTTTATTTTTATTTGATCTTGGTTTCATCTGTTTTGCAGTTTTTAGCATATATATTCTGTACATATTTTGTTAGATTGATATCTAGGTACCTCATTCTTTTTAGTCTTACTGTAAATAGTATTTTTTTTAAAAATTTCAGTTTCCAATTGCTCATTGCTACTGTAGAGACTTATGATTAAATTTTGTATATTAATCACAGATAATCATGTGATGTGTAAATAGTTTTATTTCTTCTTTCCCAATATGTCCTTTATTTCTTTTTCTATTCTTACTGAATTTGCTACATCTCACAGTACAATACAAAGAAGCATGAAAGTGAACATTCCACCCTAATGGGCAAAGCACTCAGTTTTTCACCATTAAATATGAAGCTAGTTGCAGGATTTTTGTAGAGATTTGGGTCTTCCCTTCTATTCCTAGTTTGCTAAAAACTTTGATCATAAATGGATGATGAATTTTGCCAAATGCTGCATCTACTGATATGATCATGTACCTTTTTTTGATAAGTTGATTAATATGACTGATTATCAAATGATTATCAAATGTTGAATCAGCCTTGCATTTATAAGATAAACTATCCCGGTTGTGATGAATTTTATTATACATTGCTAGATTTGGTTTATATCTACGTTCCCAAAGGGATACTGTCCTCAGTTTTCTTATCCTGTTTTGTATGGTTTCAATATGAAGGTAATATTGCTGTTATATAATGAGGTGGGAAGTTATGCCACTTTTCTATTTTCCAAACAGATTGTGAAGAACTAGTCTAATTTCTCTATTAAATATTTGGTGAAATTTGCCAGTGAAACCATGTGGGTCTAGAGTTTTCTGTTTTGGAAGGTGCAGTGAAGTGAAAGTCGCTCAGTCATGTCCAGCTCTTTGCGACTCCATGGACTACACAGTCCATGGAATACTTCAGGCCAGAATACTGGAGTGGATAGCCATTCCCTTCAGGGAATCTGCCCAACCCAGGGATCAAATCCAGGTCTCCTGCATTGCTGGCGGATTCTTTACCAGATGAGCCACAAGGGAAGCTATTTAACTGTAAATTCAATCTCTTTAAGAGATAGAGGACTATCCAGGTTATCTACTTATTATTAAATTATTTTTGGAAATTTGTATTTGTGAAGAAACTGATCAATTACATTTAAAGCATCTTATTTATGTGCACAGATTGGCCACAATAATCTAACTAGCATGTTGATGTCTGTGAGGTCAGTGGTGATTAACTTCTGGTAGGAGTATTTTTTCCCCCATTTTCCCCCCTCAATTTGGCTACAAGTCTATCATTTTTTATTGGTATTTTGAAGAAGCAGATTTTGATTTCACTGACTTTCTCTATTGCTTTTCTGATTTCATTTTCATTACTTTATGCTTTTTAATAATTTCTTATTTAAAAACTAATGTAGGGAATTCCTTGCCAGTCCAGTGGTTAGGACTCAGTGCTTTCACTGTGATGGCGGGGATTCAGTCCCTGGTGGGGCAACTGAGATCCTACAAAAGGTGCAGCACAGATGGAAAAAAAATAACAGTAGATTAGCTTACTTTTTCAAGTTTCTTAGGATGGAATGAACTTATTAATTTGAGGTCTTTCTTCTTTTTTAGTATAAGTACTTTGTGTTATAAATTACCCTCTAAGCACTGGCATATACACAGCCTCCTGCTTATCAGCTTAATAGACATTTTACATAATCACTGTGCATAGAACATTTTGATATTAATTTTTAAATTGCTACTTATCAGTTCTTTTCTTCTAATTCTGAAATAATTTTCTGACAAACAGTAAGAAATACTGTTTGTTTTCAAAGTTCAGGCTTGTTATTACTCTCATTTGAACATTAACTGCTTGAAACCAACATAAAAAACTAAATATTAAAACATCTAATAATTTTTACCTGAAACTTGAGCTTGCTTTCTCCCCCTTCCCGGTCTCGCTTATGCATATTCACCATTAAGGCTTCATAACAATCCTTCCAATAAAGTGCCATGCTCTCATGACCATCATAAAATGTATGGGTTTCATATTTCTTCATGTAAGGTACAATCTTATAAAAAATATAAACACACAAAATTTACTATATACTTCCATAAAAATGATACTTTAGTAGGAAAAAACCTCACTCAATAAAGATAAAACTTACATATTTTTCAATGTAAACTTGCCATTCATTTGAACTGCAATATTCTTGAAAATCTTCAAAAAATGAAGCACTACCATTTGTCAAAGGTAAAGAAGGCAGATGCAAGTTCATGAAGAGAAGCTCATAAATTTTAGAAACTAGGGTACGGACAAGGGGAATCAGAAATGAATATATTTCAGTCTGTTCCTTGATTGACTGACTCAGAACATGTTCCAGCTTCCCTAAAATGTAACATGCTTCATCCTGATTTTCAATCACTTTGGTCTGAAGAAGGGTGTTTAGCTTAGCAGATGCCACTGCACAAACCTGGAGGAAAATAGTAAAATAAAGCAGATATTTATAAAATAAATTTATAAAATAAAGCAAAGTTCTTTGGCTCTTCTTGAAATTGTTTTTTAAAATAAATTATAAAAGTAACCCATGGAATACACAGAAAAGTTAAAAGGTTGATAATTAATCACCCCAACATCCACTCTACTCCTTCTTATAATTTCCAAGAAGTGGGGGATGATTCCATCTCTAGTTCCAACTTAGGTCCTAAAAGATATAAGCCAAGCAGAATATCCAACCCCTTGCCACAGTGACTGGTTCAGGTAACTCATCTCTCAGTCAACTCATGTCATGGTATTTGTCACATGGATTCATTCAGGCCAAGTATAGTTTTATTAGTGCAATGTCAGAACTTTTATACAGTAACTATAAAGAACTGTGAAAGGGCTTGGATACTACCTCACCTTCAAGCTAATAACTTAGTTTACCATAGTTTCACAGATGCAGGCAGAAGAATGAGACTCCTGGATCAGAAACAAAGATCTACAGCATTAGCAATAACCAGAATATCAGGCAGAGAAGGCAATGGCAACCCACTCCAGTACTCTTGCCTGAAGAATCCCATGGATGGAGGAGCCTGGTAGGCTACAGTCCATGGGGTCGTGAAGAGTCAGACACAACTGAGCAACTTCACTTTCACTTTTTACTTTCATGCATTGGAGAAGGAAATGGTGACCCACTCCCATGTTCTTGCCTGGAGAATCCCAGGGACAGAGGAGCCTGGTGGGCTGCCGTCTATGGGGTCACACAGAGTTGGACACGACTGATGCGACTTAGCAGCAGCAGAATATCAGGATTTGCCCTGTTTCCCAAACTAATTCCATGGTGAGAAATGAAGAGGAGGAGATGATGCCTGCACATGCAATGGTTGCATTATAAGAGAGGAGCCCCAAGCAAAGGAAATCCAAGTCTTTTACCCTGGGTAGTAAAAGTGCCTGAACATTGCCTTGGAGGGAGATACTATCTTTATCACACTGGACAGTAAAACAAAACCTGCCTTTTAGTCTGGAGGGAGATATGATCTCTGTCTTCTCCAGTTGTTTACTATACATGCATCCTCAAAAAGACAGTTCATCACAAAGGCAACCACTGTCTGTATTCACAAGAGATCCATGAAGAAATGTCTACCAACAAGGACTATAGGAAGAAGGACTCTTTCTCTGAATATGAACAAGGAAGCATGCAGCCTCAGTTTTTGCTGCCAGCCATTCTGTGATGGTAAGGGCAGCCAGCTTAAGACAAGCTGGCACAGGGTGGAGAGCAATGCTACAAGAACAGCAAACAAATGGAACTGAAGCCTTGCCTGAACTGTGCCTTGAACTCATCTTAACTACGGAATTTTCAACTACATGCATCTTCTTAACTAAGTCATCTTGTATTGACATTTCTGTTATTTGGAATTACAAGCATTCTTACAGATAAAGAACAGTACATAGGAGACCACGTAAAGTTCCCAAAGAAAATACACATTTAGGACACATGCATGCATGCTCAGTCTCTAAGCTGTGTCCAACTCTTTGAGACTCCATGGACTGCAGTCCACCAGGCTCCTCTGTCAATGGGATTCTCCAAGCAAGAATATTGGAGTGGGTTGCCATTTCCCCCAGGGGATCTTCCCAACCCAGGGATCAAATCTCACACTCTTGGATCTGCTGCATCGGTAGGCAGATTCTTTACCATTGAGCCACCTTGGGAAGCAGAGTCCCCAAGGTAAATACACATTTAGGGCACAAACTCACACAGAGTAATACTCTATATTACTCTTAAGCTGTGGCTTCAAACTTCATTGTAGAAAGGCAAATTAGATCACAAAGGCGCCTCCTTTCATGGAGACTAGAGAAAGATATAAGTCTTAAAATCATAACAAGACAAATGATTAAAAAAAAAAAAAGCGCCTCCGTTTCCCTTCACCCATATCCCAATCTTGGATCATATTACTTTCAAAATAAAGAAAAGCAAGAGAAAAAAAAGGAATTATTAGAAACCAACATGACTTCAAAAATTAAGTGTGCCAAAAACTCATCTGAGCTGTATGCACAGGTCTTCGCGGGCCAAGGCAACAATAAGGGATCTCAGGCAGTCTTTCCATAAAAGAAGACTTAAAGAAGCAACCAGCATTTGAGGAAATAACCTCTAAGATGGTTCAAAATTTTAACTTTTCTATTTTTAACTTAAGCTTCCACTTGTGAAGCATCTCTACCCTCCTCAGGTTTTCCCCAAACCCCTTCACTTTACTCTTTGAATCTGACTAAAGCAGCGTAAACCCAATAGAAGGCAACAAATGTGAGACAAAAGGTCATAAAACCTCATTTTCTAGGAAACACTAACGCTAATATTCTAGACTTTTTTGCAACATGTTTTTAAAAACACTGTTTACATAAAAAGTTGAATATCCAGTGCTCTGCTTTTAACTAGTGTCCCAGTATTACATAACTATAAGTTTATATATATTTAAAAGTATAAAGACACTTTTAGTGAATACAATAATTTACATACCACTGTCCACCCCCCACACACATAGATATGATCCCCCGCCCTCACATTATAAAGAGTACTATATTATGGTCCCCTGAGAAATGAAAGAAACCCAATGCCCTAGTTCCCTGCTTAATTACTGAGTGATGCCCCACACAAAGCACGCAGAGGAATTTTTAGAAAGCTCCTCTAGGTGACTTCACGTGCAGCTAGTGAAGAGAACCATTAGATGAGCTAAGACCACTGAGGGAGCAGAAAGCCAGACACAATGGTGACCACATGCAGCATCTAAAGAAATGAACAGCTACTTGGTCCTACTTTAAAGATATGCTGGGAAATTCTGGCATTTATGTGAAATCTAATAATTAAAGGATGGGAACTAAATAATATAAATAGGCCAAATAAAACAAATTTGCTGGCCAGATTCATTTTGCAAACAATTTTGTTTAAACCCCTATGAGGGAAGGGGTTCCTTTCCCAATCCTTTAACATGCACGACCTCAGGGAAATCCGCTTTTAGCCTGAGAGAGTGAAATTAAACAAGTAGCTAGAGAGAAATGTTCTAGATCACTAACTACTGGTTGACAAAACCAAGTCTTAGCTGTAGGTGCTAAAACTCTTCATTTATTTTAATAGGTATTTATATAAAGTCCTACTATGGAACAGGCACTGGATATTAAATGGTGAACAAATTATAACAGACACGTCACTTCTCCGTGGAAATCTCACCAAGGAGAAAAACACTGAGGGTGAATATCAGTGGTAAAAAACAGAGTCCTAACATCTAAAACAATCAGCTACCCAGCATGCTGGCTCCAAGGGCTTTAACAGCCACCAGGCTCATTTCAGTGAAAAAGCCAAAAAAATTATCTTGTTCTATTCCGACATGGAGGAAAAAAGAAAACTACAATGAACATCTATGTGTACAAAGATTGCTTGATATTTTAGATTATTACCTCAGGATACAGTTTTAGAGTGGAATTACTAGACAAAGAATATAAAAATCTTTCTAAAAGTTCTTAGTTCATATATTTTCGAATTGTATTTAAAAGCTGTAGAATTCAAACATTCATCATTTACATATCAGAATGTCTAGTTTTGTTGAGCTTTTCTGCATTTCCATATTTTCTGCAAAGACACTGTATTACCTTTATGATTAGGGAAAAAGTCCACTATATTAAAACAGTTAATAACATGGGGAAATAAGTTTAATATAATTATAAGAAAAATAGAAAAGAACACAAAATTATCAAAATATATGATGGTTTCCATCACCCTCCCAAAAAATATACACACAGAAAAAAATATTAAAATGTTGAGTGATCGTTTCTTACGCTATAGAATAAAGCATGTTTTACCTATTTTTTTCTCTTTATGTTTTTTGTGTACTTTCTACAATGAGCATATTTTCTTTTCTAATTGGAAAAAAATACTTACTGAAAAGAATGGCCTTCTGTAAAATGAGCAGACATATGGTATTCTAACATCCTCATGCTCTTATCAATATTATAGAAAGTTTATATTATAAACCATCCATACCACAACTCCCATACACCAAGTACTTAAAATTCCAATATCAAAAATGAATGTATAGCCAGGTAAATAGCCATGACATAGACATAACTTAAGACAGCATATTAAAAAGCAGAGACATTACTTTGCCAACAAAGGTCCATATAGTCAAAGCTTTGGTTTTTCCAGTAGTCATGGGTGGAGGTGAGAGTCAGACTATAAAGAAAGCTGAGCGTCAAAGAATTGATGCTTCTGAACTGTGGTGTTGGAGAAGACTCTTGAGAGCCCCTTGGACAGCAAAGAGATTCAACCAGTCCATCCTAAAGGAGATCAGTCTTGAATGTTCATTGGAAGGACTGATGCTGAAGCTGAAACTCCAATTCTTTAGCCACCTGATGTGAAGAAGTCACTCATTGGGAAAGACCCTGATGCTGGGCAAGATTGAGGGCAGGAGGAGAAGGGAATGACAGAGGATGAGATGATTGGATGGCATCACTGATTTGATGGACATGAGTTTGAGCAAGCTCCAGGAGTTGTTGATGGACAGGGAAGCCTGGTGTGCTGCAATCCATGGGGTCACAAAGAGTCAGACTTAACTGAGTGACTTAACTGAACTGAACTGAAATAGCCATGGGACACATGTCATGACTAATTCAACCTAGATAATCACAAACAGCCAAGTAAACAGAAAGATGACAGACTAAAATCTGCATGGAACTTCTCTTAACTTTTAACATTTTAATTTAAAATAGAAACAATAAATATTCTGTGTGTTCATCTTTGATTTACCTTCATTACAGAAACCTAACACAAAGCTAACACTTGGGTCTTAACTAAGTGCTCAGTAAATGAAAAAAATGAGAAACATGTAAAACTGAAGTAGTGTTTTAGTATATAAAAAGATTTTGACAGGAGAAATTTAAAAAATAATTTTCTTAAAAATGCAAGCCCTAATTGAAAAAGACCCATGTATCCAATAGCTAGAACATGGAAGCAACTTAGATGTCCACTGACAAATGAATGAATAAAGAAGCTGTGGTACATATACACAACAGAATATTCAGCCATAAAAAGGAATGGGTTTGAGTCAGTTCTGATGAGGTCGATGAACCTAGAACCTATTATACAGAGTGAAGTGAGTCAGAAAGAGAAAGATAAATATCGTACTCTAATACACATATACACAATCTCAAAAAATGGTCCAGAAGAATTTACTTACAGGGCAACAATGGAGAAACAGACATAGAGAATAGACTTATGGACATGGGGAGAGGAGAGGAAAGGGTGAGATGTTTGCAAAGAGTAACACAGAAACTTACATGACCATATGTAAAATAGATAGCCAGCAGGAATTTGTTGTGTGGCTCAGGAAACTCAAACAGGGGCTCTGTATCAACCTAGCTGGGTGGGATGGGGAGGGAGATGAGAGGGAGGTTCAAAAGGGAGGGGATATATGTATACCTATGGCTGATTCATGTTGAGGTTTGACAGAAAACAAAATTCTGTAAAGCAACTATCCTTCAATTAAAAAATAAATTAAAAAGAAAAACAAAACAAAACAAACAAAAAAATGCAAGCCCTAAACTGCACATGTACAAAAGTCTATGCAGGCTATACAGCTCCTGCTGCTGCTGCTGCTGCTGCTGCTGCTTCTGCTGCTAAGTCACTTCAGTTGTGACCGACTCTGTGCGACCCCACAGACAGCAGCCCACCAGGCTCCCCTGTCCCTGGGATTCTCAAAGCAAGAACACTGGAGTGGGTTGCCATTTCCTACTCCAGTGCATGAAAGTGAAAAGTGAAAGTGAAGTCGCTCAGTCATGTCTGACTCTTAGCGACCCCATGGACTGCAGCCCACCAGGCTCTGCCGCCCATGGGGTTTTCTAGGCAAGAGTACTGGAGTGGGTTGCCATTGCCTTCTCCATACAGCTCCTAGCTATGCTAAATCCAGATAATTTGAGTAACACCCTCTAATATAAGCTATGCATTAATGTGCTAAAAGAATACCATAAATTACAGAGTCACAAACATCAGGGAAAAAAATAACTGACTACCTGCCTCTCAAGCTTGTTTCTAATCCTATAAAATTGAAAGCAGAGTTAAATCATGGTATTTTTGAAACTAAAAAATTAAAATGCTGAAACATAATTGCCATTCAGTTATTATACAAATTCATGTGCAAGTATATAAAATAATGTAAAAGAATTGAATTTAGAGAAGAGCTAACACCTATCTTATGCAAACTCTTCCAGAAAATTGCAGAAGAAGGTAAACTTCCAAACTCATTCTATGAGGCACCATCACCCTAATTCCAAAACCAGACAAAGATGCCACAAAAAAAGAAAACTACAGGCCAATATCACTGATGAACATAGACGCAAAAATCCTTAACAAAATTCTAGCAAACAGAATCCAACAACATATTAAAAAAATCATACACCATGACCAAGTGGGCTTTATCCCAGGAATGCAAGGATTCTTTAATATCTGCAAATCAATCAATGTAATACACCACATTAACAAACTGAAAGATAAAAACCATATGATTATCTCAATAGATGCAGAAAAAGCCTTTGACAAAATTCAACATCCACTTATGATAAAAACTCTCCAGAAAGCAGGAATAGAAGGAACATACCTCAACATAATAAAGGCTATATATGACAAACCCACAGCAAGCATTAGCCTCAATGGTCAAAAATTGAAAGCATTTCCCCTGAAATCAGGAACAAGACAAGGGTGCCCACTCTCACCACTACTATTCAACATAGTTTTGGAAGTTTTGGCCACAGCAATCAGAGCAGAAAAAGAAGTAAAAGGAATCCATATAGGAAAAGAAGTGAATATCTCGCTGTTTGCAGATGACATGATCCTCTAATAGAAAACCCTACAGACACTACCAGAAAATTACTAGAGCTAATCAACGAATACAGTAAAGTTGCAGGATATAAAATTAACACACAGAAATCCCTTGCATTCCTATACATTAACAATGAGAAAACAGAAAGAGAAATTAAGGAAACAATACCATTCACCATTGCAACAAAAAGAATAAAATACTTAGGAGTATATCTACCTAAAGAAACAAAAGACCTATACATAGAAAACTATAAAACACTGATGAAAGAAATCAAAGAGGACACAAACAGATGGAGAAATATACCGTGTTCATGGATTGGAAGAATCAATATTGTCAAAATGAGTATACTATTCAAAGCAATCTATAGATTCAATGCAATCCCTATCAAGCTACCAACAGTATTTTTCACAGAACTAGAACAAATGATTTCACAATTTGTATGGAAATACAGAAAATCTCAAATAGCCAAAGTAATCTTGAGAAAGAAGAATGGAACTGGAGGAATCAACCTGCCTGACTTCAGATTCTACTACAAAGCCACAGTCATCAAGACAGTATGGTACTGGCATAAAGACAAAAATATAGATCAATGGAACAGAATAGAAAGCCCAGAGATAAATCCACAAACCTATGAACACCTTATCTTCGACAAAGGAGCCAAGAATATACAATGGAAAAAAGACAACCTCTTTAACAAGTGGTGATGGGAAAACTGGTCAACCACTTGTAAAAGAATGACACTAGAATACTCTCTAACACCACACACAAAAATAAACTCAAAATGGATTAAAGATCTAAATGTAAGACCAGAAACTATAAAACTCCTAGAGAAGAACATAGGCAAAACACTCTCCGACATAAACTACAGCAGGATCCTCTATGACCCACCTCCCAGAATATTGGAAATAAAAGCAAAAATAAACAAATGGGACCTAATGAAACTTAAAAGCTTTTGCACAACAAAGGAAACTATAAGCAAGGTGAAAAGACAGCCCTCAGATTGGGAGAAAATAATAGCAAACGAAGCAACAGACAAAGGATTAATCTCAAAAATATACAAGCAACTCCTCCAGCTCAACTCCAGAAAAATAAATGACCCAATCAAAAAATGGGCCAAAGAACTAAACAGACATTTCTCCAAAGAAGACATACAGATGGCTAACAAACACATGAAAAGATGCTCAACATCACTCATTGTCAGAGAAATGCAAATCAAAACCACAATGAGGTACCATTACACGCCAGTCAGGATGGCTGCTATCCAAAAGTCTACAAGCAATAAATGCTGGAGAGGGTGTGGAGAAAAGGGAACCCTCTTACACTGTTGGTGGGAATGCAAACTAGTACAGCCACTATGGAGAACAGTGTGGAGATTTCTTAAAAAGCTGGAAATAGAACTGCCATATGACCCAGCAATCCCACTTCTGGGCATACACACCGAGGAAACCAGATCTGAAAGAGACACGTGCACCCCAATGTTCATCGCAGCACCGTTTATAATAGCCAGGACATGGAAGCAACCTAGATGCCCATCAGCAGACGAGTGGATAAGGAAGCTGTGGTACATATACACTATGGAATATTACTCAGCCATTAAAAAGAATTCATTTGAATCAGTTCTAATGAGATGGATGAAACTGGAGCCCATTATACAGAGTGAAGTAAGCCAGAAAGATAAAGACCAATAAGGTATACTAACACATATATATGGAATTTAGAAAGATGGAAACGATAGCCTTAGATGCAAAACAGAAAAAGAGACACAGATGTACAGAACAGACTTTTAGACTCTGTGGGAGAAGGCGAGGGTGGGATGTTTCGAGAGAACAGCATCGAAACATGTATATTATCTAGAGTGAAACAGATCACCAGCCCAGGTTGGATGCATGAGACAAGTGCTCGGGGCTGGGGCACTGGGAAGACCCAGAGGGATCGGGTAGAGAGGGAGGTGGGAGGGGGGATAGGGATGGGGAATACATGTAAATCCATGGCTGACTCATGTCAATGTATGACAAAAACCACTACAATACTGTAAAGTAATTAGCCTCTAACTAATAAAAATAAATGGAAAAAAATAATAATAATGTAAAAGAATTGACAAACCTGCAAATTACCCCTTCCAATGAAGCCAAGCAGCAACTGGATTTGAATCTGAGAGAGTTTCACCCATACTGGACTTTCAGAATACCAAACTGACAGACTGTCGAAGAGCAGCATCAAATCCTCTAAAAGCTAACACAAAGGAAAAATTGAGAAATAAAAATATTCCCATTTTTAAATCTACCTATGATGAGCTTCCCCCAACAGTAATATAAATCATAACTATTTCAAGGCTAATTCAATATTCAGCTGGTAAAAAACAAAAGAATTATCCTAGCAACAGTTAACAAAATCTGTAACTATCACATCTTATCCATTTTTTATTGCATCTGATTAAATATTAATGCTCTGAAAAGAGAGGATATAAAATTACTTTCTTTGAATAAAGTCTCTGACTACCAAAAAAAAAATGATTTCAAAGAGATGTTCGCACCTTTTCAGTCCAGATGTTCGAATTGACTAGTCCCTCTGACTGCAGGAAGTCCTGTGTGATCAGTGTGAGGCGGAAAGCATTTTCAGCAGTTACTGGATTCATTTTTGCTTCTCTGTTTTCTGTGACGGCCCATTCTAACATCTTCTGTAGCAAACTAGGTATAAAGCAAAGCAAAACCACTTTACGCTTATAAAAATAACAGGTCATTAAAAAATGAAAAGATAACAGCAACAGCAAAGCCAGCTATTTATTAACAGGAGTGTATTTCCAAAGATACACTCTCACTGGCAGGTATCATAAGACATTGTAGATGAATTTTAGTAACAATGAAACCACTTTTTCATCTCTGGAGTATCTATCTTTAATATAACCTAATACTAAAAGGCAGAGTAAAAGTTACCTGTTTGACTTGACCTTTAAAAAAAAAAAAAGCTATGAAAATAATTCACATTCTGGCCATGAGATAGATATTTAAAAGTTTCTTTTAAAACTGAAGCTGGAAATGTTAGGGAAGAAAGCCTTATGCCTTACACAGAGTCTAGCTCTGTGGAAAAACAAGAAAGTAATTCTGTGGTAGTGTGCTGCTGTTATGATGTCTACCACATGCCTGGAACTCAAAGCTTTAGAGGAGCAATTTTCATGAAAACACTACTTCTTTCCTTTAGTATGGAAGCGCTCAAACCTGGGCTAGACTATATAGAACACAATGCACCAAGTCCTTAGATACCCCAAGAAACAATTGAAACAATGAGTATATAATCACCTCAAACCCAAATTAATGTAAGATTTAAATCTCTCCACATTGGAATTAGCTTTGTATTTCTCTCTAGATTCCACTAGAATGGCAACAGATAGGAAAAGTGCTGAGCACAAAGCTTCCCCTTTTCTCTCTCCCCACCCAGTGAATATGGAATAAATGTTCAATAACAAATATTTTAGACTCCTGCCCACTTCCAAAAGGAGAGGGGATATCACTAACAGAATGCTTACATTAGTTTTATTTCATCTGATGGTCGAAGTAGCTCACTGGATATTCCTGGTTTAGTTAGTGCTGAAAACACTTGTCCCCGTTCAATCCAAGTATCGTCATCAGACTTTTCGAGTCCCTTACACATTATACAGCTCAAAATATTGGTCAGTAACTGAATAAGCTCCTCCTCACATCTCTATAAAAAAGATAAAAATAATATGAAATTATTGGAGGGAAGGGGTGTTAAAAACATATAAACAGAACCATCGGGTACATAGATCATAATCATTTAACATATTTTTAAGGTGTCTGGATGAACCTAGAACTTTACTAGGAAGGCCCCAGAGATGTAAAGAGGATAAGACTCTGGCTTTGCTCTCAAGACACTCACCACTGTGGGACTTCTAGGTGTCTAATAGCTTCAATCATGAGACTTGGAACATGAATAATATATGAAGTGATTAACAATTACACATTTCTGAGGTTAGACATATGAAAATAAAAACACATTTGGACAAATAAGGCATCTTACCTCTTTGTTTTCAAGTAAAGAGAAGTCATCACTAAAACCCACATCATTTGTGACACTGCTTTCTTTGTCGGTCTGCGCAGGAAATGGCTTCATGGACTCTACTGGGGAAGGTGTGCTGGGCAGGCTGTCCGGCATCCGACTTCCGCCATCACTTGGTTCACATGAGTCAATGCCACTGAGATCCAAACTCAGAGGTGAAGGGTTATTATGCCAGAATTCTTCTTGATTCTCTGACTTGAAAGATAATTCTCCCATCGAGCTATCTTCTTGAAATAATGGCATGTTTGAGTCCAGAGACTGTCTATCCTCCAAACTCCACTCATCTGAAGACACAGGAGCTGAGGCAAAAGAGGCAATTTTTTCTTCATCTGTCTTTTCGTCAAAGTTACTCTTCATATCTTCCACTGATATATTTTTATCATTGTCTTTCATTATACAAGCCCTATTGTGCTTATGAAGAGTATTTCCATTTTCAAAATTTGCTTTTAAAAAAAGCCTAACTAAGGTGTCTTGCCAGCCCACTTGTTGAGATAACTGATGTGCTGCATCTGGCTGGGACTGCAAAATCTGTAGAATCTGCAAAGAGATTAAGAATGCAAAAATTTGTCAAAAGGTAAATGGTACTTTACATCGGAAAGAGTTTCAGTTATTTCACAACAAAGTAATTTAATAAGAAACTTTGGAAGATACATTTTCAACAGATTATGTTCTTAACTAGATTAGAAACTATTTGGAGGGCAGACACTGGGTTCGCAACTAATCTGAGTATTACTCATTGTATATCTAGAGTAGGGATATATTCAAATATTTGCTGAAAGATAAAAAAGGAAAAAACATAAAATAATCCTCCGCATACCAACATACTCATGTTACTAACTTAATTTGGTCAGAGAAAAAATATAAACTGATTTAAGGTATATATAAAATGTAATAAAGTTATATCCTCTCAACTAAATACTCTCCATGAGCCTACTACATTTGTTTAGCAAATATTGAACATCAGCTATGTGCCAAAGTATTGGATAGTTCTGAGACTCTGGCTACCTGTTGCCAAGAGCTGACTCGTTGGAAAAGACCCTGATGCTGGGAAAGACTGAACGCAGGAGGAGAAGGAGACAACAGAGGATGAGATGGTTGGATGGCATCACTGACTCAATGGACATGAGTTTGAGCAAACTCCTTGGATACGGTGAAGGACAGGGAAGCCTGGCATGCTGCAGTCCCCAGAGTCACAAAGAGTTGGACATGACTTAGAAATGAACAACAGCCATGTGCCACGCACAGTCCTGACACTAGGGTGTGGGGAGTCATTAGAACACATAAGAAACTTAGAAAGACCCTAAGGACACCAAGAATAATGTCCCATATCATTCCCCCCAGCAAGCAAAGTTAATGGGTTGCTTTTGCAAAACCATTTTTTTTCATTAACTCTATATGGTGCAAACAAACAAAAACTGAACTTTTAATTCCAGAAAACTATTTCCAGTGAGATGGATGCAGCTATTTAGCTAGAATAAGAAACTGAAATTAAAGAGTAGGTATTGACGTGACAATGTGTATGATCTCTAGAATCCCAAATGACTTCATTTTTTTTGGATAAAAACAAATTTTCAAACACTGTATCAGAAATGCTGTTAAAAGTGGTCTGGCCCCAGAACCCAAGTTCTCCCCACTACACCACACTGCCTTCCGGTAGAGAACAGGAAGGGTCTTGGGGAAGAGTAAAGCCCAACCGTATAGCACAAAGAACTCTGCTCAGTACTCTGTAATGATCCACATGGGAAAAGAATCTTTAAAAGCGGGTATATGTATATGTACAACTGATTCACTTTGCTGCATAGCAGAAACTAACACAAGACTGTAAACCAACTGTATTCCAAAAAAATTATTGAAAAAATAAAAAAAAATTTATAAGAAATGCTGTTAGGATCTCTAAGATTTAAATCACAAAGCCAACTAACTTCTAAGTAGATGGAAAGAACTTCGACTCCCAGGGTTTACAGAGTATCTCTTTATCAGAATTTCTAACTCTGACAAATTTCATAACAGGAGTTGAATTATGTCAGTGTGGACTTCAAAACTAATGGTTCTTATGTACACTGACACTGGTACAGAAAGCAGTTGAGCAAAGTGAGTTACAGTGACATGTTAAGTGTCTTTCCTCACTTAATGCCATCAATCAGTGAGCTACTATGCCTCTCTCAGTGCAGAATATCAGCTTTAAGCATATTAAATCTTGGTAGGCAAAGAAACTTTTCATGATTTTAAAGTTTCCATGAAATAAGACTTGCAGCTATTTTATAAACACATAATGAATAAAAACTAGGCTGCACTGGGAGAGGTTTCTAATTGCACACTGAGAGGAAAAAGATAAATTTACATGACTTACTTCAAGAAAAATATAGCAAAATCCATTAATATGTAAAATGTGAAAACTCCTTGAAGAGCTATTGCATTTCATAAATTATGTCCTACATATGTATCACCACAGACAGGTAAATATCCGTGTTAAAAAAAAAAGCTCCCAACAGAAGTCTGTTGAAATGGTAAAACAGGAAACAATCTAAAATGTCCATCAATAGGAAACCACATTATACTTTATAGAACAAGTCATAGAATAAAAAACCATGTGCCTGTTAAAGAGAAAACATGGGAACTTTCCTGTGGTACAGTGGATAAGAATCCACCTGCCAATGCAGAAGGCACGGGTTTGATCCCTAGTCCAGGAAGGGTCCACATGCTGCAGGGCAACTAAGCCCGTGTACCACACTACTGAGCCCATCATGTCTAGAGCCCGTGAGCTACAACTGCTGAGCCTGCATGCTGCAACTACTGAACCCCAAGCACCTAGAGCCCGTGCTCTACAACAAGAGAAGCCACTGTAATGAGAAGCCTGTGCACCACAACAAGTGAAGCCTTTTGCTCACCAAAGCGAGAGAAAGCCTGCGTGCAGCAACAGAGATCCAGTGCAATCAATCAATAAGTAATAAATAAAATAAAAATTAAAGAAAAAAGGAGAAATATATATCCAGATTTACTGATGGAAAAGTACTGTGACATAATTAGCAAACAAAATGAAAAAGAAAAGCAAGGAAGCAAATTAAATACCAGATTGGTCATTGGTTGCCAGCAGAAAAGGTTTTGAGCAGGAAGAAGCACATGGGATAACCATTCATCAACTTAGTTAAAGGTGAAATGAGTGGACTGAAGGCAAATAATTGTTGGAATACACTCATAAACTACAGAAAACCCTTTCCATAAAGGTCAAAAGACTCAGAAACTCTAAAACATGGTATATGAATTAGAAAAGGTTACAACTGAAGGATCTTTTTTTTTTTGAAGGATCTTTATAAAGAAAATAGTCTCTGGGAATATATTTTTGACTCTGAGAAGGGCATTATTTCCAGGAGCTCAGGTATGGTGAAGAAGAACAAATTTGTATGCTATATTTCCTATTATTACATAAAGTTAATTCACCTCAAAAAGTAAACTATAACATTATGTCATATAAAAGATATTAGAACTTATATCTGGTGAAAAATACTTAATCTAAAGGTTATTCACAATACAATAATACTGCAATTCTTAGAGTATATTTTTAAAGTTTACTAACCTTTCTGCAGATGACCACCCTGACATTTATATAGGCTCTGTGAGATATATATACCACAGATAACAGATCTTTGAAATTAATAGCAGGATCTATGATAGAAAAAAAAAAAAGACAGTTAAAATTAAGTATTAGAGGAAAAAACAGAAAGAAATGTGTTAATAGTTATTTATAAGCTGACATATTATTTCATTTATACTTTTTTCGTGCTGTCAACAAAGATGCCTTTTCCCTCAACTTTATTAAGATATAACGGACATAAAAACATTGTTTAAGGTGCAAAACACAATGATTTTATATATACACATAGTGAAATGATTATACAATAAAGTTATTAAACACATCCATTATCTCACATAGTTACCATAATTCTTTTTGTGGTGAGGACATTTAAGGTCTGCTCTCATAGCAACTTACAAATATACAACACAGTATTGTTAACAACAGTCACCATGTTATAACTTAGATCCACAAAACATACTTATTTTACAACCGAAAGTTTTCACTCTTTGTACCTTTACCGGTTGCCCTCACTGCCCTAGCTCTGGCAACCACCCATCTACCCTGTTTCTCACTTTTTCCCCCAACAGGTTAAGTGAGATCACATGGCATTTGTCCTTCTTTGCCTGACTTACGTCACTTACCAGATTGCCTTGTAGGCTTTTCCATGTTGTTGCAAATGGCAGGACTTCCTTCTTTTATATGGCCAATATTCCATTTTGTGTGTGTGTGTGTGTATGTATATATATATACACACACACACATATATACATGCCTGACTTTTGTTACTCATTTATCTGTCAATGGACACTTAGGTTGTTTCTGTATCTTGACCATCAAGAATGATGGTATAATAAACATAGCAGTGCAGATCATACCTCTTTGAGATATGAGTTCATGTCCTTTAGATATATATATATAGTCCCAGAAGAGGGACTGCTGAATCATGTGGTAGTTCTATTTTTAATTTTTTAAGTGGCTGCAAATTCATATCCATTGAATCTGAGCTGACTAGACATGAATTCAATGGACAGTCAGCTCAAATTTAATGAACTCATGTCCACTGGCATGAACTTGAGCAAAATCCAGGAGACAGTGGGCAGAGGTGCCTGGCATGCTGCAGTCTATGGGGTTGCAAGGAGTTAGACACAACTTGAGCGACTGAAAAACAGTAGTGGCTGCACCAACTTATAATACATTCCCACCAACAGCACACAAGGGTTCCCTTTTCTCTGCATCCTCACCACCAGCACTTTTTCTCTCCTCTCTCTTTGGTAACAGCCAAGCTAACAGATGGGAGGTGATAACCCACTGTGTTTTTTATTTTCATTTCCCTTATAATTAAGGATGCTGAGCTTATTTTCATGTACTTGTTGGCCATTTGTACATCTTCTTTGGAAAAATGTCTATTCACATCCTTTGCTCATAATTGGATTTTTTGCTATTGAGTTGTAGGATTTCCTTATATATTTTAGATATTAACTCCTTATAAGATTTGATTTATAAACATTTTCTCCCATACTATAGACTGCCTTTTCCTTTTGTTGATGGTTCCTTTTGCTATGTAGTTTTCTGGTCTGAGCTAATCCCCTGGTTTATTCTGATTTTTGTTGCTTCTGCTGTCATATGTAAAAAATCATTGCCAAGACCAAGGTCAGACAGCTTTTCCCCTGTGTTTTCTTCTAGGGTTTTTACAGTTCAATTCTCACACTTAAATCTTCAATCTGTATGAGCTAATTTTTGTGGGTGGTGTATGGGTCCATTCTCATTCTTTTACAAGTGGATATTCAGTTTTCCCAACCATGTTTATTGAAGAGACTATCTTCCCTCCATTGAGTTCAGGGATCCCTTATCAAATACTAGTTTACTGTACATGCATAGTTTTATTTCTGGGCTCTTGATTCTGTTTCACTTTTTTGTGTGACTATTTTTATGTATACTGGAGCACACTCTTTTGATTACTATAACTTTGTAGTGTAATTTGAAACCCCGAAGTATGATGCCTCCAGCTTTCTGCTTTCTCAAAAAAAGAATGATACATAATAGTCACATAAATGCTGAAACAACTGTTTCATTTTACGAATCACAGATCTGTTTAAATTTCACAAAGACAATAGGTTTAGAATGTTTAACATCTTCCTCAGTAAACCATAAATAGCTGTTCTTTGATTGCCTAAACATACTGCTTGGATCTTATACTGGTATTACCTTCTTATGTATATGTCTTATCAATAAGATGATAAACCACTCACAAAGAAGCTTATCTTAGGTCTTTCTGAATCTCTAGCATCTGATATAAATTCTATAGTTCATAGTGAGTACTAACAAAAAGGTTTATAAAAGCAAAATTAGAAACAAAAAAGAATATCTAAAATTAGTCATTTTTCTGTAAAAAAAAGCAATATCTTGTACATATTTTCTCTAGTGTCCTTTTCTTTTTACATAGTCAGTTATTTGCTTATCACTCAGTCAATAAACATCTACCAAAGGCATGCCAAGTAAGGTTCTATGCTATGCTCTGAGGAGACAAAAACAACAAAGGTATATTTGAAACAGTATCTGTTGAAAGCCCTGCTGAATCAAGTAACAGGTAATTTTTAAAGCAACCTGAGGAAAGCGGGGGAAAGAACCTTCAAAAGAAAAAAAAATTAGAGCCATCAAGTAGCATCGTATGATGATGAAGAACATTTCTATGCATCAGTATTTTTAGCCTCGGTCATACCTGTATTTATAATTTGATTGGTGAGACTTTTAATCAGAGAAGTATTAACAGGTGCTTCATTAAGAAGGAGTCCAAATCCTGAGTAGCCAACTTCTCTGAGTCGAATACGTTGTTTACTTCGTTCATAAACATTTGTGCACTTCAACATCTGTTCCATAACCTGGTCACAATGGTAATAGATTCATCTCAATACAGAAAACTAAGAACAGTTGTCACTTAGGTTAATATTGAATAAATATTAGTGTACAATGTTTTTGGAGCATTTTATTCCTTGAGAATTAAAACAAAAACAGCACTAATAGGGAAGACTATTCCATATCTTGCTCTCATTAAAAAATGAACTTAAAAATAAACTGGACTGAAATGCAACTGCATTTGAATAATTAATATGTTTCAAACCTCAATTTATATCAATTTCTTGGTAGATAAAAGAAATAATTTAAAATAGCAATTTAAAATAATTTAAAAATTATTTAAAAGAAATAATTTTCTTTTAATGGCTTAAAGTGTAGAGGGAAAAAATCCTGTAGCTTGCAAGAACAAAAGTGTGCTCTGAAAGATAAGAAAGATACTTCTAGATCAATCTAGTAATCTATTTATGTGATAGTTGTCAAAATAATTTTCAACAACAAGGAAATACTGTGAAACACCTCATCCATATGTTAAAATGGAAGAATGAATTAGCAACCTCAAACATCTTGAAGTTAAATCATTAATTTTAAGAAGTGACATACAGAAAGCATTTATGGAAAGGGTAATCTTGGCAAAATAGGGCCATTTTTAAAGAAATGACATTAAATCTCCATATAAGTACCCTGTATGGCTTTAAAGAATAGCTTCAGGGGTCACCATAACCAATACTCAGGAGGGACTATGTCAGACCATCATTAATGTACTTTTGTTTTCCAAAATTTAGGAATTCCAAATAGAGGCAATCCAAACATAACCCATGAGTAGATTTTATGTCACACTAATGATGTAGGGGGAAACAACACCCACAGGCAATTTGGCATAACAAAGGAGAATAAATGATGAAAAAAATGCATTTGCAGTAGAAATATGACTGACTTTTAAAATTTTAGTTAACCAAAAAGGTGGAGGGGGTGGCTTCAGTCAAAGTTCAAAGTCTGGGATATTCTGGAAAGCTTAATAAAACATGTCCTACCATCCTTTAACAAGTTACTAATTTCCCCACTTCAGTTTCATCTGTAACATGATGATAATAAAAATATCCACTTCATAAAGTTGCTGCAAGGACTATATAAATTATACATAAAATGGGTTTAGAGAAATGAAAGTGAAGTTGCTCACTTGTGTCCGACTATGTGCGACCCCATGGACTGTAGCATACCAGGCTCCTCCGTCCATGGGATTTTCCAGGCAAGAATACTGGAGTGGGTTGCCATTTCCTTCTCCAGGAGATCTTCCTGACCCAGGGATTCAACCTGGGTCTCCCACATTGTAGGCAGATGCTTTACCATCTGAGCCACAAAATGGGCTTAGTGCTTGATAAATAGTGGGTGCTAAATAAGCTTAGTATGATGGGCCACAAAGACCCACGGGAAGTCAAAAGGAGGTAAGAGTTTTTCTATTGAGTGTGACAAAATGGATTTTCCACTGAAATTACTAATTAGATTATAATAATACAGTTTTTAAATACACAAACAGCAAAAACATGAAAAATATATATCAAAACAAACCGAACAATTTAAAATTAGAAGTAGGAACATGAAAAAGGAATTAACATTCATAGAATGGATATGCTCCAAGTAAATTCAAATACCCACAAATGTCCCCAGATATAAAGATGCTTAAGACATTTCTGTACCTTAAAAATGGTTTCTCTTAGTTTGTCAGAGTACTTGTGATTTAAGAGCAAGGCATAAAGTATGTCAGCATTTCCAGGTTCAAACAGTAGTAAGAAAAGCTGACCTCTAGTTGGGCTGGTACGTAGGAGACTGAAGAGTATGTCCAAAATTCCAAGAAGCTTTTAAAATTAAGCAACACAAAACAAATAACCACACTCATGTACAGAAGCACAAATAAAAGTCATAAACTGCAGACAGTTACTTAACTAAACCCAACATCCCCTAATGTTTTAGCTTAACTAGATTATCAGAAGTCTTCTGAACCTGCCTTGCCTTTTCCTTCATTATGCTTTTGTCTTATTCCATTTCCTTCTGCACAGCCTCTCACTACCCACATTCCCTGCTGAACCATTCTCTTCCATAAAGTCCTTCTCTTCCATACATCCATCTCTTCCATAAAGTCTTTCCTGGTTCCTCAACATCTAACACTCTCCAGTGGAAATCTCATGTTACTTCATATTTCTCTTACAGATATTATCATGCTTTTTTTAGTTTCATAATTACTTATAAACCTTTCTTATCAACCCCTGCCTTCATTAGGCTAAAAACAAGAATGATAATTCTTTCATCATTAAATATCTACAATATCTAGTATTATTCTATGTATATGTATAGTAAGTAGTCAATAAACATATAGTTAAGTATTTAATAAATGTTTGACTAAATTGATCAAGAAAATGTTATTAGCAATGAATCACAGCATAGGTGACAATACAGCAATCATGAAATAAGATGGTTATTCATTATTCTAATTAATGAGAAGCTTTTGAAGTAGTTCTACCTTGTAAGGAAATAGCCTAAGTTAATCTATCTATATAATACCAGTTATGAAGTCATATTACCACTGAGTACGCAACGCATATTTCATGATAGAGGACAAAAGTCTTCAGTCAACATAAATTAAGGCTGCTCAGATTTGGTGTTGAGAGTGGTACACCAAAAGAATACAGAAACAGCAACAAAAACGCCCGGGCTATATAGTTCCAGGTTTATCAGCTGTGTGACTTTTCAAGTTATGTCACCTAATCTCTCTGAGCACATATTTTCGAATGTACACATGGGAAGAGTAATCCCTGGTCTATATATTTTATGTCAGTGGTCAAATTCTACCATACGTCAGAATCACCTTGAGGGCTTGATTTGGACATGTATTTGGATTTCTAAAAAATTCTCAGGTAAGTGGGTCCATACATTGAGAACCACTGTCTTAAAGGGTAGTTCTGAGGTATAAATGAATAGTGTATGTGAAAGAATTTAAAAATAGAAATAGTTATAATTTACTCTTTATGTAAAATTTTTATGAACCTATTAAATACTTAAATTTATGTCAGAAATCTACCTAGTAACTTTTGTTAAACATACAATACATGGCCTATGAAAATAGGCTTCATAATTGCCAGAGCAACTATTTCCATGCTCTGCTTTCTAGCTAATTAAAATATTTTATTATACTGCCATTTAGTTTATTAAACTTTCAGTTATGAGATAAAATTTACTTTTTTAACTGTACAATATTATGTGAAACTATAAACATCTCTTAAAATATGTTGTATATACATATAAGTTTAAAAGACTATGATATAGCAACATAATTATTAAAATGAACAGGTTTATCAAGAGCATAATACCTGTTCTTCTTCACTGATAGCAGCTATGTAACCCATAATACTTTGTATCTCTTCATGAGTTCCGCCTTTGCTCAGAAAATATTTAATTAGTCCATACAAAGAAGTCCTTATTGTTCGAATATCATCGGGAGACAGCTCACTATATTTACAATCACTCCTAAAACAGAAAGTAAACAAGAAATAATTGAAATTTTAAACTTTTACATCTTTGAAAAAAAATAAATAAACTTTTACATCTTTGAATTTTTATATATAAAAGAATTCATAGTTTAAAAAAAGATGTTTGCATGTAACTATTAGAATTTCATAGCATCTTTGACTTCTTTTTCTTTTAAGAAAAACCTTTTTAAGTTAGGAGTTGCAATAATAAAGATATAAATTGTTAAAAACAGTTTATGTACTATGTAGCAGACACAATTTTAAGTGCTTTACACATTATTATTTCATTTAATTTAATCCTCAAAATAAAGACAGGAAATCATACAGTTGTCCTTGTCACAAAGCAGAAAACCTTGGCACAGAAAAGTTGAGTAAGTTGCCCTTGTATGTGATCCCTTGTTCATCATTTTAACCTTCACAACATCCTGGCTCTCTGAAGTTAAAGGTATCAGAATTGCTAGAAAATATAACAATCTACGTGCTCCAATCAAGTAACAGACACATTATAAAACTGAGAAGAAGGACATCGTACCCATAATAAATCCTAAGTGTATCCAGGAGAAACTGCACACCAAACTTCTTTCGGAAAACTCTCCTGCTATCTTTGATGATGGTGGAAAGATACTGTATGTGACCTAAAATAGAAAGTTTACTCTTAAATTATATACCTAAAATAAAAGTCACATAGGTGGTAATAAATTTCTAAAGCAACTATAAAATTTTATCCAACAGCCTGAGCTCACCAATTCGAAAGGGAAAATCTCCACGGTTCCAAATACGGAAGTCAAAGAGTAAATATTGATACATTTGTTGCAGGAGCTGCATATTTTTCTCTAATGATACCTGTTCAATGAGTAACTGAATTGCCATCAATACATTAACATCCATCAAAGCACTAGGCACCTGAAATCCAAATAGAAGGTTCTTATAAAGTTCAGTTTAAACAACTGTCATTAAGCTGTAAGTTGGAATGATTAATTCAGAACATCTACTAAATATAAAAATCTTGGTTAGAAAAATATTAACAACTTAAACATTAATTTTTCTGATATAACTCTAGAGCATATTCCTAAAATAGAGTCTTTAAGTGATCAAATAACCCAAATATCAAAGTTAACACATAAGGTCCTGAATATATACACTGTCATGTAAGATAAGTAGTTCTTATATAAGGTGATTTCATAGAAAGTTTTAAAAGCTGCTTGTGAAATAAATTATATTCACTAATATAACTAAAGTTATGATAGTATAATTTTTAAAACATATTTAACTACTGGAAAGAAAAAGTCTCAATACTAACTGGTAATTATAATCATCAGAAATATCTGCAGAATGTTAGACTAGCTCACCTTCTGAAGTAAGGCTCCAAGAACGGCAACTCCATGGGAGTGAGTAAGGTTGTCCTGGTTAATAGGATGTCTTTGAATAAAGTGTTTCACAATCAAGATAAATGTTGCAATTAAATTTCTCTCGAGTCTTGACTCTGTGGGATTGTGAACAAGTCATTAATTATCATAATTACTCTAATCACTTTTATATCAGATGCTCTACATCATAATGCATATTGTAACAAACAAGGAATTGGGCTCAGGAATTTGCATCCTAAAGGTCACTTGCAGAACATAAGTATCAAAGAAAACAGTGACTGCATATTATATATTTATACATACATGTGACTATTTTCTCTACCATAAATTTAATAGTGTTGTCAGATTTCTGCTAACAGTACAAACTAAGGATAGTCAAGGGTACAGTCAACATCATAAGTGTTTTGGACGAAGTATTATGAATTTTCTGAACTCCATTAGGAAAACGAGGAATGGACCACTTTAGCTACAAATGGCAGCAAGACATTTCCAATTAATTCTCACATTTCTCAATGACCATTTCATATTAATTCAGCTAAATACCTGATGCCTTTGTGGAGGTCAATACCACCCACTCTCCTTCTACAGGTGTTATCAATTCAGAAACTGTGCTTTCATTCAATCCTTCAGGAATCTGACCTTCAGCAAAGTGGCTGATTTGTTCCAATAGAGGAAAGAGTACATTTAATCCACCTGTGCAGTTTATAACGTCCTGAAAGAGGAAACCACAGTTGACTAATCTCATGATGTATGGGCAATTTTATCATTTAATATCTATACAGCATGTATGAGGTCATAATTTGCTAAGGTTTTAAGCAAGGTATATAACAGCCTAAGCTAAAGGAACCCTTGTATGGGCATACGCTTTAAGGGTAGTCTCAAGGGTCACCATAATGAATACTCAAGAGAGACAAGGCCAGACCATTTTTTAAAATTTATTTTTAACTGAAGAATAATTGCTTTTCAATATTGCATTGCTTTCTGCCATGCATCAACATTAATCTGTCTTAGGTACACATTTGCCCCTCCTTCTTGAACACCCCTCCCACCTCCCACACCTTGCCACCCCTCTAGGTTGTTACACACCCCTGGTTTGAGTTCCCCGTTTCATACAGGAAATTCCCATTGGCTCTCTATTTTACATATGGTGGTGTATACGTCTGCATGCTACTCTCTGCATTCAGCCATCTCTCCTTCCTCTCCCACTTCGTGTCCTTAAGTCTGTTCTCTGTGTCTGCGTCTCCACTGCTGCCCTGCAAACAGGTCATCACCCATCTTTCTAGATTCCATATATATGCATTAACACATGATATTTGTTTTTCTCTTTCTAACACTTCACTCTGTATAATAGACTCTAGTTCATCCATCTCATTAGAACTGACTCAAACGTGTTCTTTTTTATGTCTAAGTAACATTCCAGCAGCGTCTTTATCCACTCATCTGTCAATGCGCATCTAGGTTGCTTCCATGTCCTAGATACTGGAAACAGAGCTGCCATGAGCACTGGAGTGTATGTGTCTTTTTCAATTTTGGTTTCCTTAGGGTATATGCCAGTGGTAGGATTGCTGGGTTGTATGACAGTTTTATTTCTAGTTTTTTAAGGAATCTCCATACTGTTTTCCATACTGGCTATATCCATTTACATTCTACCAACAATGCAAGGAAGTTCCCTTTTCTCCACAGCCTCTCTAGCACTTGTTTCTGGGTTTTTTGATGATGGCCATTCTGACTGGTGTGAGGTGATATTTCATTTTAGTTTTGATTTGCTTTTCTCTTAACACAAAGTGATATTGAGCATCTTTTCCTGTGTTTATTAGCCAGGCCAGATCATTTTTAATGCACCTCTGTTTTCCAAAGTTTACAAATTCAAAAGATAGGAAATCCAAACATCACCCTCTAAGTAGATATCATTATCATTAATAATGTAGAAATAACAACTGTCACAAGGCAATAAGACATAACAAACAGGAGAACAAGTCATGAAAAAACAAAATGTATTTGCATTACGAATATGACCGACTCCTCTAAGTTTACAAAAAAGTGGAGTCAATGGCTTCAACCTAAATTCAAAGTGACTATTGTGGATAGCAAAATATATTCAGATACATTCAATATCTTAGACAAGTTATTTCCCAGGCCTCGGTTTCCACATCTGTAAGATAAAGATAATATTAATTTCCACTCTGTAAAGCTGTTACAAGGATGAGGATAAAGTTGTTACAAGGATAAACTAACACTCAAGGATGAGTTGTTACAAGGATAAACTAACACAAGAAAAGTGCCTAGTGCCTGACATGCAGTGGGTGCTATATAAGATTAGACTGCTAAAATGTTCTGAACTGCCATGTATATTTAGCTTAAGTCTGTAAGCAACCTCTTCCTAGTCTTTGCCTGTTTTTCATATTGATTTTTCAGGGCTTTGTAATCAGTAAACTAGAATTGTGGATGGAAAGCATTTTCTTCCAGTTGTCATTTAAATTTTTTGTCTTTGATTTTGCTGCAGTATAAAAAAGCAAGTCTTTTTCTTGATAATTGTTTCTTTTTGACTTCTGCATAGCTATATTCAAGGCAACAAAGACTGCTTTGAATTTCAAGTATAATGTATGACAAATAATCAGCTTTCTCTATATAAGTAATGCATAGAACTGGCCTTATAAAATCAATCTTATAGGCCATCAAAAGTTAACTTATAAACTGGCACACTGTCATAAATCTTACTATGTTAACAGGTAAGAATAAGTGTTATCTCAAAGTCAAAGAGAAAAAAGCTTTATATTACATGAATAACATGAGAATAATACAAATTGATGCATTCATTTTAGCCCAGGCAGAATTATCCTAATGATTTCTGATCACTGAAACAATAAGCTTATTGAGTGGTATTAAATGACTAGAAGATAAAAGGGTTTTGTTTTCTTTGCTGATTTACCAGCAAGTTCCAATATAACTGTCTTTTATTTTTAATTTACTTAGGCTATAGTGTCTATTTAATGTATCTTTTAAAGAAATTCTATATTTTAGAAATAGGATGTCTCCGACTTTCACATTAGCCCAAATAACCTTCACTAGTTTATAATCACTCAGTCAATGATCTTCTTGTATATCCCAGGTGTCAGGCACTGGTAGAAAAAGCAGTGGTCCTTCCTTCGAAGTTATTAAGGACTACTGGAGAATCAAGCAAGCAAATAGTTAACTATTCACCATGACGAGTGAAATAATAAAAACTGCTATAAGTACTCATGAGAAGAGTCAACTCAATCTTGGAAAATAAGTAGAGGCCTTTAAACAGAAGCAAAGATAACATATACAGCTGAGACATAAATATGAGGCACACGAAAAAGGCAAACCAGATGTGACGGCTAGACGGTGTGTTGAAGAAGAGGAAAAATCACTCTTTAACCTCAGAGAGGAAAGATCTAAGTTTGTTTAAAGCTGATGGACAGGAGACTAGACAAGGATAAGTGTATGATGTAGAAGAAAAGGAAAATCAATGAAGTGTCTGAGGGGTTGAAATCTGTTACATAGTTTTAGGGATTAAATACCTTACAAGTGGAGCAATTAATGAGGGCAGCATATTTTTCTTATGAAAACTGACAGCATAACTTAAAAAGATAACTAAGTTATAAAAAAATTAAATAGTCATTCAACTACTTATTTGTTTATCCTTCAAACTGTTCACCTGCAGATATTTTAAACTGGACTTACTCAGATCAATCTGGGGCTGCTCAAAAGACAAATGCTCTTAAAGGATCAGTCAACTTAGATAATATGATGCCCAGTGTTCACCATTAACTTACCTTAATGTCCCAGTTTACTACTTTGTTTCCTGTTAACCTTCCATGGAAACAATTAGTAGATAAATCAAGACAGATCGAATTTTTGCAGGCCTAAAAATAAAAGAAAAATAATGGCAAACAGCTAAGCACAATTAAGACAAAACATAACTTTATATATGGAACATTTCATCATAATTTTAAAAGGTATATAGTATACTCAATGATAAGATGCCTACAATATTAAGTTTAGTATTACTATTCTCTTTTAAAAGAATCAAGGACTAGATTCTAACACACTCACTCATAAAATGCAGGTCATTTCTGCTTGTCAACTGACAGGTAAGTGTGAGCTAGAACTTACCATTCACTAACCATATAATTTAAAATTCTTTCTATTCTAAACCAGTATGTGCAAAAGAGATATTTTACTTTTTTAAAAATTCAATGTCTTAGTCCCATTAGTACAAAAATTATAACGAGAGAAAAATTAAGCCACTGACGTAAGACGCTATTTTCCCTTATATCACCAACAATTTTAGTTATATTCAAATTAGCTTTTTCTGCTACTCTCGAAATTTCTAAAGTTATCTGTTAACTTCCATTAAGGTTTATAAAGCAGGGAACTTCACATTTAAGTTGATTCATTAGTGCAAATTCCCACTACAAGCATTCCCATTTATAATATTGGAATGATATAACATCTGAATCCTAGTGGAGAGCTACAATGTAATTTTTACTGCTCCCCATTTTCTTATTTTCGTTTAAAAATTAACAATTTTTAATGATAATTCAAGCCCATCCTCCTCAATTACCGACTGAAATGACAAAAGGAATAAAAATGGAATTTTAGGTCACAACATAGTTATAGCTGGGTGAACGGTCCGCACATTTACTCTGACCTTTGCAGTGTAGTGAAGGAGGACGTTACCAGGCAGGTCAGCCATGTCAGACTCTTGAAATTTCCAAGGGCTTAAACAGTTTGGACCTAAAAATTATTTACAGACACACACAAACACACACGCATCATTGAATATATATGGCCTCCTCAGTTCTGTGTAATCAGAAAGAAAGTTTTAATTAGCTGTTTCAAACTTCTTATATAATACATTTAAAACATAGTAGCCAAAATGTACTTTATTTTTATATCACCTCCAATTTATCCATCACAAGTAAAGTTGCGGGAGAGGATTGATCTATGTCTACTACAGAAAAGAAATTTTATGTACCACCAAAAACTAACAAAAAATATAACAAAGCTTATATATTTATTGAAAGTAAAACAATTCAAAACTGTACAATAAAATGGCAAAACAACCAATCAATAATGTGAATAGTTGTAATAGAAATGGAGTGACAAATGAGTGGAATGACAAATAGAAAAAGATTACTGACCTTACTAACAAAATTTAAAAAAAAAAAAACAAGTTAAAACAAGGTTCCAAAGCCAGCACAACACTGTAAAGCAATTTTTCTCCGATTAAAAAATAAAAAAGAAGGTTCCATTTTACACAAAAAATAGAGGAAACAATATTAATCATTCTATCTTAATGCAGCAGTGGTGAGTCTGGTTTACTTATCTGTTACTGGTAGACACTGTCAATTGGTATATTCCTTATGGAAACTGATTAGGTAAAATGTAATTAAGAGCCATAAAAATAGTCACCCACTTTAAATATTTATCCTGGGAACTTATCATAAGCAAATCCATCAAAACATGAAAAAAAATTGGTATAATAGTTCATCATATTTAATATTTGATGTTTTTATCAATATTAAAATTATAAACAATCTAAATTATACATAGTGAATCCAGTGAAATATCATGTAGCCATTAAAAATAATCATTATGAATACTATAAAACAATTATTATTCATAGGAGTAAAATTTTATGTAGGAAAAACTAAGAGCAAAATCTAAGCTATATAGCTGCAATGACTACACTAAATGATTTATTATTAACTTGGAATTTATTGAAATTAAAGATCAACTTCAAATGTTTTGATGAGTTTTAAAATAATGACAAGGTTCTAATAAAAACTGTTAAAGTATGGACAGAGACATTCATCTCAAAATCCCATGTAATCTAAAAAGATATTTTGACAAATACTAAGCTAATTTGTAGATTTAATACACATAACTAGTTGTAGGCTTAACCCATAAACATTCTACAAAAATACAGATATAATTTTGAAAACAGTTATGATCCAACAACAACCAGAACCTATCTTTAAAATCAGAGACAAAAGAAAAAAAAGGCCAAAACATAAACAGCTTGTAATTTTATCAAAGGACTCCTTATTCTAATGCCTTCATGAATTCTTCAGATCACTGTATAAATTATAAAAAATGACAAGTCTTGAATAAGACTCATGATTTTAGAATCAATTATGTGATTTCCTATATAGACAGACTTATATTTTGTTTCATCAATGTACTAAAATCTGTCAAAAGTACTGGCAGTATCATAGATTGTATTATGTGCCTCCTGCCCAAAACTCCACAATGTGACCGCATTTGAAGATAGGGACTTAAAGGGGTAACTAAGGCCAAATGATGTCATAAGAGTCAGACCCTAATTTAACAGGGCCCCTTATAAAAAGAGGAAATACTCCCTGTGAGGATACAGCAAGAAGGCAGATACCTACAAGCCAGGAATAGAGGCTTCACAGGAAACCAAGCCTGACGAAAACCTGATCTTAGAATTCCAGCTTTCAGAAATGTGAGAAAACAGTGTTTAAGCATCAAGTCTGTGGTATTTTGTTATGGCAGACTTAACAGAATAACACAAAGAGTATTACTGATGATCTTTGAAATATTTCCCAACGGTTGCTTTATTTATGCCTACCAAGAAAGGTACGTACATGCTAAGTCGCTTCAGTCATGGCTGACTCTTTGTGACCCCATGGACTGTAGACTGCCAGGCTCCTCTGTCCATTGGATTTTCAAGGCAAGAATACTGGAGTGGGTTGCCATGCCCTCCTCCAAGGGATCTTCCGGTTCCAGGTATCGAACCCGCTTATCTTAGGTCTCCTGCATTGGCAGGCGGGTTCTTTACCACTGCTGCTGCTGCTGCTGCTGCTAAGTCACTTCAGTCGTGTCTGGCTCTGCGCGACCCCATGGATGGCAGCCCACCAGGCTCCCCCATCCCTGGGATTCTCCAGGCAAGAACACTGGAGTGGGTTGCCATTTCCTTCTCCAATGCATGAAAGTGAAGTCGCTCAGTCGTGTCCAACTCAGCAATCCCATGGACTGCAGCCTACCAGGCTCCTCTGTCCATGGGATTTTCCAGGCAAGAGTACTGGAGTCGGTTGCCATTGCTTTCTCCATCTTTACCACTAGTGTACTATAATTAATTATGATGTACAATATACTTTAAAGTTGTTAAGAGAGTAAATCTTAAATATTATTAACACACACATTAAAAAATTATAATTATGGAAGGAGATGAAGATGTTAACTAACTTTACTATGGTTATCATTTTGCAATGTACATGTGTATCAGATCAGCACATTGCATTACCTTAACCTTATGTTATTTTGTCAAAATCACAATATAGCCAAAGGGAGTGAATGTATGGTGTGTGATTGGCTTCTCTTTCCCTTTCAGCTTTAATCAAAACAAGTACAATTGACCCTTAAATAATATGGGTTTGAACACGATTGTTTTCAATAGTTAACACTACAGTACTACAATTCTGTTTCTACAATACAAAGCCACACATACAAAGAAACCACATATACAGAGGACCAATTCTAAGTTATACCTGGATTTCTAACTGCATCGGCACCCCTAATCCTAGAGTTGTTCAAGGGCCAACTCTACACTCTTCAGATCAAATATGTTCTCCAGAATAAATTTAGGCAACAGAAAAAAACTATTTCAATTTAATTAGGCAGTATGACGGTGCATACTCACCTGCTAAGTACAATGCCTTCACCTGAGGAGGCTGCAGTGCTTCACAGAAGATGATAACGGACCCCAGCTGGCCCTCCAGAGATGTGGGGCATCCCCACTCACTGTCTTGGGTTCCAGCTGATATCAGTTTGGTAATCAATTTTGATTTTTCAGTTGTCCCTCCCCAGGAGGCTGAAGACAAAATCCCACCAAATGACGTCCGATGAGGAGTAACAGGAGAAGAAAAAGGTGGATCTGGGATTTGGGATGGTGGGGGCGTGGTGGTTCTTTGTCCAGCCGAACCAATGCAGCAAGAAATAAAAGGCTAAAATATTAAAAAGCAAACAAACTTAATAAATTACACATTTTAAGAAAAACTTCATCTTCATATTTAAAATGAAACTACATAAAATTTAGCACCACACTAAAAAAACGAAGGTTTATTTTTACTGGATCATGATGTGTGCGTTTGTGTGTACACATAAGACAACATTACAGAGGTTACATTTGGCCTATGGAATTTGGATGCATTACTTTTAAAACTCACTTTACATCCTTTTGTAAATTTTGAATGTTAATGAATGTATTTTTTAAAGATTTTTTTACTGTATTCTAAAATAGAGAAAACCACCTTTCTCCCTTAAAATTTATAAACAAAGAATTACACACCAGTATAATACTGCTAATTACAGGTTATCCTGAAGTGATCACTGACATGAACAACAAGAAATTACTGAAATTCTAGAAGGACTTGGAAAATAATCTAATCCATTCCACTATCTTCAGAAAAGGCCCTTTTCAAAAATATCCAAAGATTCTCAAATAACTTTTATAATGTTCTATAAGAATCTCCTCAGTAAATAAATTCTACCTAATTACAATATAAAAATCTAAAGTTTCTTCACTATTTTAAATTCATTGATGGCAAAGAGTCCATCATAACCATCTAAATATTTCATATATTTGGAAAGCTTTATTAAATGATCATTCAGCCTGGTCTAGTCAATTTCTTTGGTTTTCCTGTCATGAGCCTTTTTTCTTCTAAGCATTAATTACATTTGTTTCTTCTTTGAATTGTTTTTCTTTATTATACATTAGTCTGACTTCATCTACTGATGACAGGCAAACAGAATTATTACTTATTGTATCTTAGTATATAGAAAATACTAAAACTTAGAAGCACATATTTAGGATAAATAGAACCTTACATATTAAATTGGAAAAATGTTCAAGAGTTCACAATCAACTGGTTGCATAAAGAGTAGGTTAGATGTGCTTACTTCATTCATGGCAGGAAATCTCAGCGGGGCAGAGACCTTCTGCTGTCCATTGTCGTAAATATAGACAAGGCTCTGACCAAAGGGCCTTTTTCCAGGCATGTGAACAATGGTTATATTGTGCTGGTAAAGTAAAACATATACTTAAAAAGTAAAAATTGCATTAAGTCCTTGGGATGACAAATATTTTCAGAGTATTACTACATAACTAGTTTGTGTGAACAGTAGAAGAGTAAGTTTAAGCATAACTAAACTTTGATTAAAATGATGTTGTTACAGTAAATAACAATTTTGCTTGCAGTTCTATAAAAGCACTTCTCAATATTCTAAAATATATATACATAACTATAACATAGTACCTTTCCTGCATTTTCCAAGTCTGTGTGTATTTTTTAGGAAAATTTTTTCTAACGAAAAGCATTTTATTTTTTAAGAAAAGCAATGGAAATGCATTGTTTTTAACAACCTCTGTTCTCATTTAAAATTGAAATTCAAAATCAAATTTGATTCTAGAAAACTTGAAAGAAATCATAACATTTCAATGTAATTTTTTAGCAGAAAAATTATTACTGCTGAAATTACAATTATTATCACAAATGGTATTAACTCCTTTATAAGTAAAATTTAACATGAACTCTCAAAAACTAGATGACAACACCTGATGTACATGCACCAAACTTTTTTTTTAAAGGAAAGAACCAAGAAGTTAAATGTGATGCCCTAAAGTCTTACCCAGAGGGAATCACAGAAACTGTGGTCAGGAAGCATAACTGTTGCATATTCTCTTTTCGTGCACACTGCCACAACCAACATACCTGAATGGGTAATAAAAGCTTCAAAACCCATACCACTTCCTGTAAAAAAGCTAACAAAAATACGTATTATCAGAACTTTTGAAGTCAGCTGTCCAGTTTTATCATCACTGGGGTACACAAAACCATAACTTCATCATGAATATCTTTATCAAACACATGTGGCCTATATTCTATTGTCATACCTCATCAATTCCACCTTGCCTCAGATTTTTAAATCTTTCTTAGGCACAGGTTTAGTTTAGTTAATTATAAAAAGTAGCCTTAGACACAGAATGCCATTAGCAATTGTTAACAAAACTATAAACTTAAAAATCTTCAAAATTCTCCCAAATAAGATTCAGAAAGCATGAATCAAAGTCTTTAAAAACAATCACAAGGCAAGGGAGAAGAATCAAATCAATAAAACTAGAAATGAAAATGGAGAAATCACAACAGACAACAGAGAAATACAAAAGATGGTAAGAGACTACTATGACCAATTACATGCCAATAAAAGGATAACTTGGAAGAAATGGACAAATTCTTAGAAAAGTATAACCTTCCAAAAAAATCACAAGGCATAGTAAAAATTATTAGTTACTGAAGTAACAAGTTTGGAAGCACACAGGTTTTCAGGTCCTTCATATAAAGGTATAGTAGCATCCTCAATTGAACAGAGAAATCACTAATCACTTTCAAGTTTACTATTACTTTTTCCTCCACTTTTACAATAATTTTAAGAAGGAACTTTGTGTCCAAATTAGCTTCAGAACTAGCAAAATGTTTGAATGTACAACTATTACTATGAAAGCTTAAAATTAAACTGTGTACATCCTGAGGAGAGCCTTCAGATAAATTGTTGTACATATAAAAAGCAAGAGCTTTGAAAAGCATTTTCCTGTTGAAGAATTACAGCAGATATTGTTAGGACAGGATCCCTTTATATTCCATAACTTTTACCAGTACCTGTATAATTGTTTTCTTTTTCCTCCTTTGTTAGCGTTGCTAAGAGTCAACTGATCCTGATCTAAGCAAAACCAAGCATTGAAAGAAAAGGCAGACCCTGGCCATTTCTGTATGGAAGGCACAGAAATTCCTGCCATACTATGTGACAAATTAAAATACTGAAGGGCGCTCTCTAGACTTTGTTTTCGGGCCATTGTCAGGATTGCTCGAGTTACAGGAGTGGTGTAGGGGTGAGCAAACTCAGAGTCATCCACCCTGAGCAATCTCAGTAGTTGACGGATTTCTTCTGAGCTGACTGACTGACTCCCCAAGGAACCATGGAGCGCGATCAAGTTCTCAGCACAAGTTCGATGGAGGGAAGAATGGGAATTAAGGGCTTCAGTGATTCTAATTCCCATGTTTGCATTGACACAAGTAGTTCGACTCTGCCTGTTAATACAACAAATTTTTTTCAGCCAGTCTGAGATGAAGATTTGCAGGTCATGGGATTCTAGCTCTGGAAGCCACTGGATAAGAAGCAAGAGAGGCTGGACATTACTAATGCCCAAAATACCCACTGAAGTGTGGTCACCCTCCACAGCCTGTAAAGCAACATAAGAAACAAAAAATTAGACACCATCTTTGATACAAATAAAACGGAACTTCTTTTAATAAAGCTAAAAAAACCTCACCATATTCATAAGTTCTTTAAGTAGTTCCAGTGGTGGCTGACCCAGTGATTTTAATACTTCAAACATATGTGTATAACCAATTCGCTCTTTAAATACTTCCTAAGGGAGAAGAAATTAATACATCAAAGCAGATTTTCTAAGACTGAATTTGTTAAAATATTAAAGATGTTGAACAATATTCATTTAAGTTAATTAACAATATTAAAAAGATCATGAGTTCAATATTTCTGTTTTCTTAAGTCAGATGCCTTCATCTTAAATATCAAGATTTCATATACCTTCTGGAATACAATGCTATAAAATATGTAAAACAATTGGAATTGAAAAAAATTGTGTTATAAAACTGTTCTATTACTTGCAGATTCCTTTACTTTCCTCACTTGCTCTGTTATTAGTACAGTACTACTTGAAGTCAAAATAAAAATGGAGAAAAAAATAAGGAGATTTTAGGGATAACAGGAGTCAGCAGCCTAAAAGAACTAGATTAAAGATTCCTGGCAATTTTGAGTAGTGGCCAGAAAAACACTGGGTATGGTTTTCTCTCTGTTCTTTGTATCTAAATGGTCTGAAATATCTGGAGCACGAAGTTCAATTTAATAAGCTCTAAGTCACATGCATTTTTGAACTAGTGGGCACCCAAAGTCATAAAGTAAAATGTAAAGACAACCAAAAAAACCTATCAATAATAAATTGGTTCAGTAAGTTAGGCAAAAATACATACACTTATCATAAAATCAAAAGATTTTCAACAAAACAAGCATGACTGGTTAGTTGTTTCTAGAAAAGAGAATTCGTTGACTGTGGGCCAAAGACCAGGAGAAAATCTCTTTTCCAAAGGCATTTAAAAAAATAATCTTTCAATTTTAAACCATGCAATGCATAATATAGTTTTAAAAATTATATTAAAAAAAAACTTTGACATCATTTCAGATTTAAATTTTATAACACAGTATAGGCAATCCATTATACTCATAAACCAATTACTTAGAACTTAAAAATAATTCTTCCCTTAAGTAACTATTATAAATGGAGATTAGATTCCTATGCCAGCCTATAATACTTGCCAAAACCTATTCAGGAGTAATTTAACCATGAGTTATTTATAGTAACACTTATAGGACAAAGTTAGTCTTCTAACAAAAACCAATGGAATGCAAGAAATATGACTCAAAGCATGGCTTAGGGAACAAGGGATCACTCATTTCTGATTCTAAGAAGAATGAAATATATAAGAGGTGGTAGATAAGAAAGCAAAATGGTAAAAATAATAATAGACATTTATACTTATTCAGCACTTGCCATGTGCCTGGCACTCTGCTTACCAGTTTACATAGAAGATGTCACTAATCCTTAAAAGTACTCAGTGGGAAAACTACTAGCACAAAATCAGGCTAAGTGGACTGCAGGGCAGAGTCAGTGGTAGCGAATGAGAAAGGAAAGAAAATCCTGAGGATCACTGACTACAAACAAAGAAGTATAATTTCCAAGCCATCGGGAAAAACAAGCCCCAGATTGATAGGTCTATTCACGTATGAAAAATGTTCAAATTGTAGGCTGTCACAAACTGACCAAATAATGAAAGGGTGATTACTTTATTAATGAAGAAAAATTAGAATATAAATTCTAAGTCTGTAAATGCATTAATCAAATAATCAACTAAAATGATGCTTTCAACATTATAACCCCACTGCTCTCTTCCCAATCACTGACTGATGTTGTAAAGCTCCAGAGCTTGCAGTGAGTCCTCAGTGAATAAAAGCACTGCCCATAGGTATCTGTCTTTTAAATTATCAGCAAAGTGATTCTTATGCAAAAATGAGATATTTTGTGAACTATTTCATTTTATATGTGAAACTATATGTATTATATACTTCATATATTACTTTGGGAATCACATAGTGAAAACTGGTATATCTAAGATAAACTTTTAGAGCTTGAGGACTTATGTTTTACCTTAGCAGCTGGAGATTTGTTCATTACTGCTGTCAAAGCCTGAATAGCTGATACAGCCAAACAGTCCAACTGTCCCTGAAACACCTACCAGAAAAGGAGAAAAAAAAGACATTAACAAATGTATTCAAGGTTTATATTCAGTTAGGAAACCTTTTCTCTGAAAACCTGAAAAAAAATAATTATTTAACATGCAATACATTCCTCTTCCAATGAAATGGATTTCTGAAACAGCAAAACCTGTAAGACAAGTTACATACTTGACAGAAAATAAGCCATATGTCAAAGAGAATAAGGCTACATTCACTCATTACATTAAAATGCTTTGGAAGGGGGAAAAAAAAACACCAAGCTTAATACATGCTTTTTAAGTAATGGACAATCTCAAAAGGAAGGGAGGGAAGGCTATCATGATATGCTTTAATTTTCCTTCAAAAATACACTTGAAATTTTCTAGGTTAAAATTTCATTAGCATGTAGAATAAGGTGTATGAAACAGTCTTGTCCCCATATTTTCCAAACCCTACTTATAAATGAATTGGTATGTGCCTATACCAATCTATCAATCACATTTGCAAACAACGTACATCTATTTGTACATAAAATGCAGAATTTGAGGCAGAACAGAAAATGAAGTGTGTATCTATAAGCACTGTCATGTTTTTAGATGACAATCTTTAATGCCAAAAGCTGTAAGAAAAAATAAATACCATCTCCATTTTGTCTGTTTAAGCTTCATCAAAAAGAAGAAAGTGAAAGTCACTCAATCAGGTACAACTCTTTGCAAGATCCCATGGACTGTACAGTCCATGGAACTCTCCAGGCCAGAATACTGGAGTGAGTAGCCTTTCCCTTCTCCACCAACCCAGGGATCGAACCCAGGCCTCCTGCACTGCAGGCAGATTCTTTACGAGCTGAGCCACAAGAGAAGCCCAAGAATACTGGAGTGGGTAGACTATCCCTTCTCCAGGGGATCTTCCCGACCAGGAATCGAACCACGGTCTCCTGCACTGCAGATGGATTCTTTACCAACTGAGCTATCAGGGAAGCCTCTATAAGAAGAGATGTGTTAAATTTCAGGGTAGTGCATTCAGAGAAAAATGAAAACAAAACCAAAATGGAATATCAATGATATAAAAAAAACTGAACATGAATGTTAATCATTGGACTTAGTCGACCACGAAAGCACAGTTTGAGGACTAGAAAGTTGTAAAAATTACCAGTCCACGAAATCTACTTTTGGGTAACATATTACTATGACTGGAAACTCATTATCCCACATATAGAATTCCCCTTTTTCCTTCCACTAAAAATGATGTGCGTTAAAAGGGCAATGATTAAATCTTTGTCATTGTAAGCTAACCTCTACCACTTTCAGGCAAGCTATTTAAAGCTACTGTCTTGACTTTTGTGGATGTTGTTTGTTCATTAAGCACTATTGCATAAAATAAACATGTAACAGGTGTAATAAATATCATATTCATTAAACATTCTGCATACAACTAAGTGTGAAAACTACTAGCACAAAGAATTTCATACAACTAAGATTTTTTTTCTAGACTCTACAGAAGAGAACTAGGTACACAGTGCCTTAATCAGGAATACTAACGTAAACCTCTAAAAAGATAATTTTAACTGATAGAGAAATACAGAAGAGTAGTTTGTAATTGATATTTCACATCCAGAAGAGAAAATAATAGATTTTCATGGCTCTTTTTATACCGCAGATCTATGTATACATCTGGTCAGTAAGATAATGTTAATAAAAGACATCAGGTATGTAAGCTCTCTCAGACATTCTAGGAAAGACAAAAAAAGCAATTTTTATAGGTAGATTTTTCCAAACTATATTACCTAATGCATAATGAAAACCAGGATAAATTTTATATTTCTGCCTGATACCTATATAGAGTTGAATTTTTAGAAAAGAAAAACATGCTAAATTAAGACTCAAAGAGTTCGGCATCTTCTTCCCTTCCTCCAAGATTTGGGTTGTCCATTGAATTATAACCATTATTTGTCAACAAGAGGCAAAGAATCAAGATATTAAAATTGATCAAACATATTCACGAACAAAGCCCTAGATCCCAAAACACCACAATGCTTAGAAAACGAAGCCCCCAAAATATGAAGTCATCACCAGGTGGATAGCATTGAAACTGGGATCCCATTCCTGTACTTTATGTCTCAAATTGAAAAGAACACACACAAACATACATGGTATACTGTTGACTGTTTATATCCCTCAGCAAGATTTCAATATGTTTATCTTTTAGATAAAATCAATTTTTAATTTTTAAAATAATTTTCAAAAATAATTACTCAAGATTAGAAATAGATAAGGTTTGTGGACCTTAAAACATAAGAGAAAAAGTACAGGAACATGTGCTCCCATTGACTGATTTTGGTCTTCAGCCGAAACAAGGTGCAGGCTTGGTAGATACCTGGTCCTCATTCATTTCTGTCAGTAATTTGTTGGCAAGGTCTTTCTCGTTCTTGTCTGCCACCTTATTGTTAGCATTTAAAAATAGCTGTTAAAAACAGAGATAAGAATAATGGAGAAAGAAAATTAAATTGTTACCTACAAGTAGAAGTGAAGCTTAAATGGATTTCCACGTCTCTTGAAAATAAATCCAGGAAGCCACTCATGAAGTATACCACTTTAAAATGACAATCAACTATCCATTTTTTCAATGACCAACTAACATATGCTACATAATTATTATTTATTCCTCTCTGAAACTCAAAGTTACTAAAATAAGAAATAATAGCAATAATTAAATAATTATTAGGAATACTTAGTTAATATTCTTGAATTCTTCAAGAATCAGCAGAGAATGACTCAGAAAAGAAGGAAACTGCTACTGAGATAGACTAAAGATACTGTAGTAAATAATGTATGGTATTGGTTCTGTAGCCATGCATGCCTGTGAATTACTATTTAACTTTAAAAAAGGGGTCTTTCTGGCAATACTTCTCAGAGTCTCAAAGATGCTACTATGTACTTTGACAAGGGAGGTCAGTGAGTAGCATTTCCCAAATTTATATGACTACATATTTTGTTAAAAATTTTATAGCAATATTCTCAAAAATCAGGGTTAATTCAAGTTGATGTATGGCAGAAATCAACATTAACACTGTAAAAGCAATTATCCTCCATTAAAGATAAATTTTTAACAATTTCCAGCAGTACTCTCCAAAATTCTCAAGAGTTGATCATAATTTATACTATCTTGTATATTAGAAAGAGGAATTAGGAGTATCTATAAATTACATATTTATGAAAAATAACTGTGTTTTCCAAAATATACCTTAATAAGGATGGCACTGCTTTTACATTTTTTGCACATTTTTTAAATGTCTGGCTTAAGAGAAAACAAATGAACTCTCCTATCTGCTTCCACATTCAGACATTTATAATGTTGTTTTGGTTAAAGTTCAATAAGAAAATTAGCCTGAAAAAGAAACTTTGTTAAGATCAGACTTCAAAGACTCCCTAAAATGATCTTGGGGATCTCATAATTTGAGAACTGCTGGGTTGAAATACTTACAGTCATTAAAAGTAATCTTTCAAAAAATACATGATGGCCTATGGAAAGACTCATGATATAAAATACTTAAAAGCAGAATAAAATAACACTCAGGAAAATACATCTACATTAAAAATATACACATAAATATTGTTATTATATTTTGTAGTAATCTAAATATTATGCACATATATATGCATTGTAAAAATATTTAAAATATATTTTTATATTTCTTTTTCCTCTGAAACCTCCACACTCTATTTTTCTACAACGTAAATAAAACTCTATATTTTAAAAATAAAAAGAAACTTGTTAAATGTTAAAAGTCACTATGGCAATGTGTGTCCAGAGGTGTGCTTCCCAAAGTCAGGCTTTCAACTTTACCATCTGTCTATTCACTCCTAACACTCTTTTCCATAAAGTATTCTTTCGTTGTTCCTCTTCTAAATTCTCATTTCTACTAAAACTGTCATGATGATGAATTTCTACAGTAGTTGATATTAAAGAGTAGATGTGAAGAAGAAAGAGAAGAAAGTAAAGAAAACAAATTAGATGAGCAAGGCCACAACATCAAAAGCTTTCCAGAACCTTAAGTCCTCAAATGAAATTTTATATTTTTAAAAAATGATTTCAACTAGCAAAGTACTAATGTCAACATAATGGTTTTGAATCCTTCTCTTTGCTGCTAGAAATTTGCTGTTATTTTCTTTACATTAAATATTTTTGGACAGCTTTAAAAATCTTTTCATTAACTCATATCTCCCCTTTCAAAATTCAATATAGTAAAATAAAATAATGCTTAAATATTTAAAGTTCATCATAAAAAAAAAAGTTCATCATACCTATCATAAAAGTTAAATAAACAATTCCTTGGAACTATATTTAAAATATGCTATTGTATGATGAAACTCAGAAGTTTTTACACAAATATTCAAGGAAATTAATGTGTATTTAAACTGGCTGGTGAATGTCATGCAAGAAGAGCAAAAAGCAAGCATAGAAACTGCAGCAGAAAGCCTAAAGATTTCCATGTAATTCATGAATAGTTTATGATACTTTAAACTTTAGTTGACAATGCTTCAAATGGAATTTAAATGACAATTGTCTTGATTCTGTATTATTATATAAAAGAATAAGTGATTCACTCCTTATTTAAAAAAAAACAATTTAAACAGAAATCAATCAGACATCTCTAGCATCCTATAACACATTTAAGAACTTAAGTTTTCACAAGATGTCAAACATTTTTATACATTCATAAATCATATCACCTATCTCCACCAAATGTTTGTATACACAGTAAATAAAACCTGTAATTCTCTTATGCCTAATGCACAGAAAACATTCTTCTACTGACTAAACAGTGACTTTAAGTACCAATAATGCAGTTAAAAAACCACATATAACAATGAGCTTAGGGTCAGAATACCTGTGTAAGAAATCCTACCTCCATCATATATTAGCATCAACCCTGGGCTGGTCAGTTAATCTCTTAGGACCTATTTCCTTATTTGTGTAATAAGAGAGTTGGGACAGTTTATTTCCAAGGTTCTCCTTTGTTTTTAAAACTTAATGAGTCCTTTGGGGATGGACATGTATAAGCTACTATATTTAAAACGTATAACTAACAAGGACCTACTGTAGAGCGCATTGAACCTTGCCCAATGTAATGAGGCAGCCTGAACGGGAGCGAAATTTAGGGGAGAATGGATACATGTATATGTATGGCTGAATCCTTTTGCTCTTCACCTTAAACTATCACAACACTGTCAATTGACTATATCCCAATACATCATGGATCATAGCCTTATCACGGTGAAGGGGCTTGGGTAACTCAATGAAGTTATGAACCATTTACTTTTTACAAAATAAAAAAAAAAAAACTTAATGACTCTAATGTTTAGTGAGGAATCTACAGGGATTCTGACTAGAATATTCCACAAATAAAGAATACTGCCAGGATAAAAGGCTCAGGTCCCAAAACCTAGCTTACCTCTCCAAAATGGGTTTCTTCTCAAAAGCAAAATGCGTGATAAATGGCATCAAAGTGAAAGTGAAAGTCAGTCAGTCGTGTCCAACTCTTTTGTGACCCCATGAACTATCCATGGAATTCTCCAGGCCAGAATACTGGAGTGGGTAGCCTTTCCCTTCTCCAGGGAATCTTCCCAACCCAGGGATCGAACCCAGGTCTCTCACAATGCAGGTGGATTCTTTACCAGCTGAGCCACAAGGGAAGCCCAAGAATACTGGAGTGGGTAGCCAAAATTTGAGCACACTCAAGGAGTTGGTGACGGACAGGGAAGCCTGGCATGCTGCGGTCCACAGGGTCGAAAAAGTCAGACACAACTGAGCGACTGAACTGAACTGACCTGAGCCTATCCCTCCTCCAGTGGATCTTCCCGACCCAGGAATCGAACCGGGGTCTCCTGCACTGCAGGCAGAGTCTTTATCAACTGAGCTATCAGGGAAGCCCAAATGGCATACAATAATCACATTTACTTATTTTTATTTTGGCTGTGCTGGGTCTTCACTGCTGCACGGGCTTTTTCTCTGGCTGTGGAGAGCAGAGGCAATGTGTGCGTTTTTCACTGCAGTGGCTTCTCTTGTCATGGAGCACGGACTCTAGGGCCTGTGGGCTTCGAGAGCTGCAACTCACAGGCCCAACAGTGTGGCACATGGGCTTAGCTGCCCTGCGGCATGTGGTATCTTCTCAGATCAGGGGTCAAACCAGTGTCTCTTGCACTTGCAAGAGGGTCCTTTATCACTGAGCCACCAGGAAAGCCCATCAAATAATTAAATTTTAAAACATTATGACCATCAGCAAGTTTCAAGATCTAAATTATGAGAAACTTTGACTTCTAACACAGTAAAAAGAGTAAATATTAGCTTGTTGTCATGACAGCTATGTCAAACAGTTTTGTATTTTTTAAAAAAGGTACTGTTGACCATGATATGACAGGGATTTTTAAAAATTATACCTTAGTTACACATACTGCATAAATGCATACTAAAAATTTTAGTAGAAATTATTTTATCCTAGTGATTCATCCTTCTGTAGTATGTGATTGACAGTTTCTCTACACATGTGAGATCTTGTCTATCCCTGAAGTGGTCATTATAGTTCATAAAGCCACACTGCATTTTTACAACACAGAGAAGGTTTTACAAACATTTGTCTTATGTTGCTTTCACCTCCCTAGGATTTCTTCCCCAAGAATGATTTTTAAAAGCTGGACAGAGAAATCTTGACGCTTCAGTGGTATTTTGGTACTTGTGTTAACTTCATAAGTATTCATTCTGACTTATTTTATCAATATGTTGTTTACTATTTTATGCTCTTCTTTATAGTTTTACTGTAAGTTTAGCAACATAGTGACATAATGCTTTAAAAGGTACTCTCCTAACTGTGTGGAAAAATTCAAGGAGCTGATGTTAAAATTTTTATTCTGGAATATTCTCACAAAATCAGAATGAACCCCTAGTATTTTTCATCAGGGAATTCATGAAAGGAACACCTCAAATAGAAAGTAAAAGCTCTCTGAAGTAGTTTTATTTTCAAAGGGTTTTCAAGAAGCTCTCTAAAAGGTTTCTGGTGGCATCATGATATTTATGGGAATATATAATAATGAGAGATGTTAGTTATTATGTACTCATATGCAAATCTGCTACAAGTATAAATTAGTAAAAAGTTTTAAAAATAAGCAAATTGGAGGTATACATCAAGAACCCTAATAGTATTCTTGTTTTCCTACTTTTCTATATTTTCCACTTATAAGTTGTTTCTATACAGTGCTCCCTGCTTTAAAAAATGTATGCCCTTTGATCTAATAGTTGTACTAGAAATAGAATTCTGTTCCATGAAACTTTAAAGAGTTATGTAATAATGAACAAAACTGGAAACAAGTTAAGTATCTATATACTTAACTAATACTATACCTAACTAATAGGGAATATTTAAGTAAGTTATATATTCACTTAATATAATAATATATAAATATTAAAATCATAACACATGAAAATGCTAATGAAATAATCTTAAATGAAACAAAAGTACAGAATATGCTATCAAATGCTCATACCAAATTTTAATACTGCATAACAAAAAAAGATTTTAAAACAACAAAAAGCTAAAAAAAAAACAACAACTAAGAAATGCACCGAGAACCTCACATTTTTCTAAAGACAATATAAATGGCCAATAAGCACATGAAAAGATGCTCAGTATCACTAATCATTAAAGAAAAGCAAATCAGACTACGAGTCACCACCTCACACCCGTTAGGATGGCTATTACCAAAAATAAAGGAAAGGAAGAGGAGGAAGGAGAAAAGGAGGAGAGTGCGGAGGAGGAACGAGAAACAGATGTAGATGAGAACATGGGAGAAACTGTAGTTCTTGTGCATTGCTGACTGGAATGTAAAAGGGTGCTGCCACTGTGGAAAACAGTAAGGCAGCTCCTCAAACAAATCAAAAACGTAATTGCTATAGGATCGAGCAAGCCCACTCTGAACATATGCCTAAAAGAATTTAAAGTAGGGTCTGGAAGAGAGATGTGTAATACTCATGGTCACAGCAACATTATCCACGATAGCCAAAAGGTAAGATCAACACGAGAGTCCATCAACAGACAACTGAATAAACAAAATGTGGCATGTCCTTATATATCCATGCAGTGAGTTACTATTTAGTCTTAAAAGGAAAGGAAATTCTGCAATATGCTACAGCATGGATGAATCTTGAGGTATTATGCTGAATGAAATAAGCCAGTCATAAAAAAACTAACACTGTTTAATTCCACCTATATGAGGTACTTAGAGTAGTAAAAATTATAGAGACAGAAACTATAGTAGTTGCCAGGGGCTGAAAGGACAGGAGAATGTGAAATTGTTTAATGGGTACAGAATTTCAGTTTTACAAGATGAAAAGTTATGGGGACTAGATGATGGTAATGGTTGCAATATCAATGAGAATGTATTTAATACCACTGAATGATATACTTAAAAATGATTAAGATGGTAAATTTTATGTTATGTGTATTTACCACAATAAAAAATTTAGCTATAGTTATAATATGCTCAAGATAAAATCAAAACATAAACAAAATAATAGCTTCTTAAAATCAAAGACAATAACATAGTAATAACAGAAAAATACCTTGCAGTTCTGTAGCAGTCGTATGAGATGTTCAAAGCAGTTACTGTTAAGAAAAATAGCCTGAAGAACAGGTCTATCTGTGCAGTCTAACATGGCTGTGATGGTATCTAGGAAAATAAAAACAAAATTGTCCATTAATAAAGTGGAATATTTGGGATCACAGAAACATTCACTCTAGCTGTACATTTAACTTAGGCATTTCAGCTGACAAATAGATGTAAATTAATAGGAAATGATAAGGAGGTGGAGTAGAAAACAAATCCTGTACTTCTCTGGAAAAGGGAAAGGCTACCCACTCCAGTATTCTGGCCTAGAGAATTGCAAAGAGTAGGACATGACTGAGCAAATTTCACTCTCAGTCACTCACTTATTTCTTGATAAGAAAAGTGAACATTTTTATACTTTATTATCAAAAATATTTATTTTTGCATATATGAGTTATAAATATTTTTCAGAGGTTTACTTAGGTGTTCTTCCATTATAACTTAAGTGTAACAAACTGTGGTTCCCAACTTGCTATGAATAAGCAACACCTGATTATATTTGGCAACACAGTTTCATTTATATAGCATAAAATTAACATACAGCCGTCATGAAAATGAGAGTTGGGTAATTAATCTATTTATGATGATGCTTTGGTCTATTTCCTAATAAAACAATGTCCTCACTTGGAAATCAAGGGGCATTTGACATAGGTAATATGAAAGTTCATAACAAAAAAGAAGTCCATTCAATAAAGACTCAAATTTCCTTATAAACTTCAGATTTATAATTTTAAAACATGACATTTTATAACATAGAATAGGAACTATATAAGGTGAATCTATATACAAAACACTGTTGTAAAGAATCATTTTTAAGTTTCACTAAGAATTTGATGTCCAGCATTTTTTAAATTGGACACCACACGCATACCCACACAAACAATTTTTAAAGTCTCTAGAGGTCTACAACAAACCATTTGTGTTGGCTCTGTCAGATGGCAGCATATAAAAACTTTCTTCTTTTAACATCTCTGAATTTTCTAGTTTAGCTATAACGAAAATATTTTATTTCTATAAAAAGGAACTCTCAGTTAATAATATTAGTATACCTGATCATCTAATAAGAATACAAAAAGAAACCGCATATCTTGGTTAAGGAGTTTGCAGGGGGCAGAGAGAAGGAGAGGGGAAGGAAGTGGGTGAGGGAGGGAAGGAGGGGGAGAGAGCAGCGCAGAGGGACACAAAACAACAAACACGCAGAAAGAGAAAGAAAAGCAAGACCGAACACCCAGAATCTGAGGCATCAAAACAAGAAGCCAGAGACTGGAGAGGAAGGCCACATTGAAGCAATCGCCACAGAGATTTAGAGAAGCGCATACCAAACTGACTGACTGCATATGACCCTTTGCTGTAGGGTAGAAAGTTACAAATGGCACTTCCTGAAAATGTACTTTTCCTAAAATTTCAGAATCACAGTTGATTTTCTTTTTTAACACTGATGATTTGAGAGGATTACAACTTTCAAAAGAGAATATAAAGGCTTAATTTTGTCACTGCTAAAGCAAATACATGAAAGACAAATAAATTCCACATTATTTTAAAGTCAAAATCTATAAACAGTAACCCCAAATCTGAATCAAACATTCACTATTTTCTATACAATGGCCATGAATTCTAAATGAAAATGGAGAATAGAAATGTAAAACAACTAGATTCTAAGAAAACTGAATAGAATAAACATCATCTAATACTCACTCAGCATTTTGATCTGAAGAGCTATGAACCGGTTTTCCCACTGTCTGGACCTCCTTTGATTAGGTAAAGCTGAATGATCTGAATTTAGCAGTTTAAAATAGTTCTCCAGAACAGTGCTGGCTTCCACCTGACGCTGATCAGAGCTGCTAGTGAGAAGGATATGCACCACTTCCGTAAGGCACTTCAGAGTAAGTTCGACCTTCCGACCCACTTCTTCAGGATTTCCGTCCTCCCAAGAATCACAGTCAGCCAAAACTCTCATAAGAACTTCCATGGTGGCTGGAGAAATTGCTTGCAAGGCATTCTTCTGAAACATGAGAGACAAAAAAAGTGAAATCCAAAGTGCTATACATTTGCAAAAACAAAGAGAATTTAATAAATCCACAGTTTTTTTTCTTACAAACCTACATCAAAAAATTTTTACATGGATACTCTGACAGACACTGCAGGTGTTTTACACATATTAAGTCTTTTTTCTTCACTACTAATAGAATTCCAATTTTATTCAGAGAGTAATCTGCTCATACAGAAAACTTACTCATCACCCTCCCTAGTAGCTAGGGGTAGTCCTTGGTCAAGAATACATGCCAGGAAGAGGATATCACTTTACAAATAAAAGAGGGAAAGATCCTTGGCTCCTGGCCTTTTCACCTTTTGCAACTGTGCAGCTATCTGATGGAGTTTAACAAATGAGATGCTGTCAGCTTTTCAGTATCTCCTTCAAAGATAATTGGCACCTGCCATTTGTTTCCTTCACTAACCCCCCATCTTTGTGTCTAAAGCACAGACACGATGGCCAGAACTCCAGAAGCTATTTTGTAGCACAAGACATAACAGTACAGATAACAAAGTGACATTCAAAAGGAACCCAAGTCCCTGAAGACCCTAAAGCCACCAAATTCACTCTGGACTGCTTACTGCTTTTTTTAATGAGAGATAAAGGTAAGCTTCTAATTTAAGCTGTTAGAACTTTACTACTTACTGCTATAGGGCATGGCAACCCACTCCAGTATCCTTGCCTGGAGAATCCCCATGGACAAAGGAGCCTGGGGGGCTACAGTCCATGGGGTGGCAAAGGGTCGGGACAGGACTGAACGACTTTCACTTTCACTTTTAAGGAGTTATAAAGCTGATACACCCATGATATACTTCATGCTTACAATCACAGGCACTTTGTTGAGTAATTTACATATACAGTGAGTCATTTGGTCCTTGTGTGTTATTTCCACATTATAAATAAAGAAACTAAAACACACATAGTTTATCCAAGGTCATACAACTAGTTAGAAATGACATAGGATTCAGTCTGGCTCCAGAGCCCTTGCTCTTAACATAGCATGAAACAGCATAAATGTGCTAGCAGGAAGCCAGGCATGATGCTGAGGAAAGGGAGACCGATCATTGGACTTTAAATCTTCAACTCTTTATGATAAAGGTATTATTATGTCTTTTAGATCCTCAGTTTACCTAAATACCCTTGTACTGAGGCTATATTTAACAGTCATGATTTCAATATAGTTGTAACTACAGCTATGACCCAATTATAGGATTTTGAGTTATTTACAGTATATAAAATAATAAACTGGCCTTTAAATATCCATTTGATTTCCATGTGAGTTTTAATTACTGGAAGTCTCTTAGGGTTCAATTACCCAGAGGCATTAACAAGTCTGGATTTGTTCAAAAAGGGTATGGGCTCCAACCAGCTTCTCCATTAGTCATAAAGAATGTCATTTCCAATTTTGTTCCTATACACTTATTAATTCTTAGTAGTGGAGAAATGATGGAAATGGGGAGGAACTGAAGCAAAAAACAGATATTAGCTAATAACGCAAAGTGACAAAGCAAATAAAGTGAAAAATAAGATTCTGGTCGCCATTCCTCTCACAACGGAGACTCTCTGTCTTCTACGAGAGTGAAGAGAAGAGGGCAAGGTGACCCCCTAGGAAACCCAAGCAGTATTATTAGCAATACCCATGATTTTGTCGTCAGTAGAAATCACACACATGTTCATGTATTACAGTTACAGTGTCTTTAAACATCATTTATGCTCATCTCTTCTTCGAAATTACATTAGTCACTAGACTGCTGCTGTATTTTTTTAATTTGATGTTATAAAGAAGCCCATTACTATGGAACAGACTTGTTTTCTTAATATTTTAGTAAATGCATTTCAGCATAGTTTCCTTTGTGATGGTGTGTATTTTCTTTCAGGCACATGAAAACATTCTGACAAGGGGTTATATCAGACTGCCAAAAGGGTATGTGGTACAAAATGTGTCAGAAACCTCTGATCTAAATTTTGTGGTTAAATAAAACAAGTAGAATGTTCCTTCTGAACTATAATCCTGTTTTCAACTAGCAGTTAGACTCAAGGTTTACCACAGCTGTTAAGACATTCAACTGAAAAAAATAAACATTACTCAAGCTTCTTTATTGTAAATAATTTAAAAAACAGTTGAGTTGAAAAAAATGCATATAAAGCATGTATGTATGCCCTTAATAATTATAAGTAGACAAAAAGGTGACTAAATTCATATGTCCTAGGAAATGAAAGTCTGATTTCATCAAATGAACTATTAGAGATGACTATCCTCTATATTCTAAAGTAACAACTGGAAGCTGAAAGTCAATACAACTAAAAACTTCAAATACCAAAAACTGTTAAATCTAACTATTTATGCAGTAATTTTATAGTTAATGCTAATATTATTACTTGGGTTTTTTTGAAATTTATAAATAAAACTAAGTAAATTAGTTTTAAACGAGATTTAACTTCAGAAAAATATTTGTTCAATAAATTGCAAAAAGACAAAGACTTCATTAAATAATCCATGGCAAACTATTTGTACTGTTTACAATCATTTTACAGATTAACTTTCAACATGTTCCTCACCTGCCCACCAGCTACTATGGCTCCAAAGAGATGCAATAAGCAACACTTAAGACTCTCCTTGAGATGTTCACTTTCTTGAAAACACTCTGTGAATACAATACACAAATAACTACGTAAGATTTCTTTTTCACAGTATGATTGATTTCTAAGGAATGTCTGAATGGAAATATTAAAAATTATTTGTGAAAGGCTGAAATTTATTAAAAAGCAAGGTTAATATGCATTTTTCATAGGAAAAAAAAGAGAAACCATCAATCTTAACATATACATCTGCCTTATTCATTTTTAGGACCAGAGAGCATTCCACTACAATGACATACCTTAATTTACTTTACTAGTTCTCTACTGATAAACATTTATGCTTTTTCACTTTCTTTTGATACTGTTAACAATCCAGTAATAAATAGCCTTTCACATACATCACCATACACAAAGATTATAACACAAGAATGATTTCCGATTTTAGACACAAGAAACATTCCAAAAAGGAACAATTTAAGTTAAAAGGTATTGATAAATTTAAAACATTAAGACATCTCAGCTATGTTGGAATAATTTCACTATACAAGGTTTCCTGCTATAAATAACTAGAAAATTTGACAAAATAGGTTTTAGAGATTTTTTTGGTTATAGAAATTGAAAGTGAACTCAAGGATTCACCTCAGTTTCTGGTTTACAGACATTTTCTGAACAAATATACAGAAAGGGGGAACCCTAAAAGAACATGGCTATTTCCAGAGATAGGAGACAGATTTACAAATTTGGGGAGGCCTAGGCAACTGGACGGAGAAGGCAATGGCAACCCACTCCAGTACTCTTGCCTGGAAAATCCCATGGACGGAGGAGCCTGGTAGGCTGCAGTCCATGAGGTCGCTAAGAGTCAGACTCAACTGAGCGACTTCACTTTCACTTTTCACTTCCATGCGCTGGAGAAGGAAATGGCAACCCACTCCAGTGTTCTTGCCTGGAGAATCCCAGGGACGGGGGAGCCTGCTGGGCTGCCGTCTATGAGGTCGCACAAAGTCGGACACGACTGAAGTGACTTAGCAGCAGCAGCAGCAGGCAACTGGAATTCATAAAGCAGTACTAGAATGGAGGAAGCTATACAGAGAAAGCAAACCAGAAATATGCAAAGGGCTCATTTTGAGTCCAAGTACCAATCCTAATTTAAATCATGAAATCCCACCAGACGGGCAAAAACCTACAAGAAGTTGTAAACCAAATTGTCAGATTTCACACAGATGACAGCATTCTATTCAGACAGGAAACACAGAAGGTGGATGTAAAAAAAAAAACACTATGTAAATTCTAATCATAAGATTGTTGGAGTGTCAGCAATATACTAGTATCTGACAAAATAGGCAAGAAGTATTATCAAGGCAAGGCAAAGAATATTACCATGGATAGAAAGAGACATGAAAATACAGCTTTTTAAAAAATCTGCAATAGTTTATTTTACAGACATTACATCTACAAGTACTTGAGACAGATATTTTGGGATAAATTAACAAAATATGTACACAATCTACATGCTGAAAACTATGTAAAATTGACTGGAAAAATAACTAACATACAAATAACTGATGAGATACATCAGACTCATGAGTTGGAAGTCTAAATATTCTTCAAGTGGCAATTCTCAAATGGTCCCAGAGATTCAATACAATCCCAATCAAAATCCCAGCAAGCTTTTTTGTAACAATACTGAAAAATGGATTCTAAAACATATATTAAAATGCAAAGGAGCCAGAATATCAAAAACAACTTGAGAAAGAAGAATAAAGTTAGAGGTTTTAATGACTTCAAGACTTGGTATCAATTCACAATAATCAGGACAGTGTGGGAACAGCATAAAGGCAGACATGCGGAACAAAAAGGAGAAGCCAGAAGTCAACTGACGTTTTACAGTCAACCAATTTCTGACAAACGTGCCAAGGTAATTCAACAGAAGAAAGAACAGTTTTTTCAACAAATATTGCTGGAACAATAATGAGAAATCTTTAGGCTAGATACAAAATACTGACTTAAAATAGGGAACGGACCTAATAGAAGAAAACATAAGAGTTAATCTTCATGATCTTGAGGTAATTAGCAAGATTTCTTTGGGAAGACACAAAAACCACAGATCATAAGAAAAATTTTATAAATTAGATTCCATTCAGATTTAAAATTTCTATGTTTTAAAAGACTCAAATGAAAAGATAAACATTCTAGGAGAAAATACTCTCAGTGATCAAGTTTAGAATAATTTTACCATCAAAAACTACAACTGAGGGACTTCCTTGGTGGTCCTGTAACTAAGACTCTGCATTCCCAATGCAGGCAGCCCAGGGTTCAAATCTGGGGTCAGGAACTAGATTTCACATGGCACAGCTAAGATCCTGGATGTGCAACAAAAGTCAAAGATCCCACATGCTGCAACTAAGACCTGGAGCACCCAAAAAAATAAAAATAAGTATTAAAAAAAAAAACCTATAACTGATTCTAAAATACCAAGTAAATAAAAGAGTCCACAATGATACATAAAAAAGGGAGAAATAAAACATTTGCCCCACTTAAGTATTATCTGAACTCATTTTGAAAAAAGTAAAAGAGAAAGATTTAAGTACTTTATGCAGCCTTTTTAGGAATAATTGTAGTTTATCTCAAATTGATGAGGGAAAATTCTTTTTACAGAATTTAACAACATATGGAAGTATAAGAATGGAATTTGAAGAGCACAATATTGCAACCCTGAATGAAATAACTGCAAGTATCATCAATGAATGCAAACATATTAAATGAAAAAGTATTGAAAAATAAGATATTCACTCTGTGCAGGGTAAGAAAAACTCCTTCTCCTTCTCTATAAGAAAATGCACCAAGAATTAAATCACTGGAAATCTGACAAATGTAGATAGTCAATGTGTGACAAATGTATTACCAGGCAACACTGTTCATGGTAAAAATGACCCTTGATCTGGACTAGAAAGATTATGATGACTATAAATAGCCTGATGGGAACTTACAACCCTGGGCTTCCCTGATTTGAGTGTAAACTGTAGTTTAGGCATTTCCTTTCCTAGGATTTAGGATTACATTCACAGGCATAATGGTATAAGTGTCTTCTATGGGATACTGCGCTTCAAAGCCAGGCTGGCTCACACACCCATCAGTTTGGTTTCATACCATCACTTGGAAAATCCAAGAAAAGCCCTTGTAATGTTGTGAGATCTCCTTCTGAAAAGAAATGCCTACACTGTTCCACGGGAATTCTTGCTTTCCCAGTGTGGACAAGTGAGCTTGATTATCTGGCTAAAGCCAGTATCACTACTGGTGGTCAAGCAAAGTATTGCAGTCATCATCACCAAGCAATCAATGAACTAACTGGTAAGCAGAGCTTTGCTCCTGTGTAAAATGTCCATAAGATATTTGGTCCATGCCAAAAGCTCCTCGATATTTGGTCCTACCCAAAACTATTCAGCATGAACCAAATATGCTCATTTTGGATAGGACCAAATTTCAAGGACCTTTTGGCATAGCCAAATGTCTTACGGACACTTTGCTGTTGTTTAGTCACTAAGTCATGTCTGACTCTTTGCAACCCCATGGAACCAAATGTCTTTATGTACATTTTGTGTTAGCTGCTCGAGTTGTGCCTGACTCTGCGACCCCACGGACTAAAGCCCACCAGACTCCTCCAACCATAGGATTTTCCAGGGAAGAATACTGGAGTGGGTTGCTGCTTCCTTCTCCAGGGGATTTCCCCGACCCAGGGATCGAACCTGGGTCTCTTGCATTGTAGGCAGAATCTTTACCATCTGAGCTATCAGGGAAGACATTTTGGGCAGGATCAATTGCCCTACAAGGGACTATTTCTGTCTTATTTTATTTCTTGGGCGGGCGGGGGGAAGGTGAAAAAAAAATGTGGTAAAATGGCAAAAGGTTAAAATCTGACAAATTTGTGTGGGAAACACAGGAGGTTGCTATTACGTTCTGCAAAATGTTCTATATTCTTGAAATACAGCATAATCATTTTTTTAAAGAAAGAAAATTAGAGTCCTTACAGATCATACAAATAGGAACCAATTCTCTCAAGGTTATTTTCAGTAAAAGTTCTGAAGTTCCAAAACATACTATTATATTTAAAACATTCAGCTCTTCTCAAAAGAAAAACACTTAGAGAACAGTAAATTAAATAAAACCAAGAGGAATAATCACAGCAAAATAACAATCAAGTATTCTAGTAGCAGGTTCTTAGAATCTTTACCTCATAAACACAAAAGCTGAAACAAGGTCAGAATCAGAATAAGAATAAGGAATAATCAGAGTACCATCAGAATCAAAGCAAGAGAAATTAGAGCTGTTACTTACGATAAAAGAAAGGGACGAACTCCACTGTGAGAGAAGCTGGTTTATATTTCTGTCTGCTCTTTTCCACAGTACTAAGGATTCGTCTACCATTAAAAAGAAGTTAATCCCAAATTACAACATGGGCAAACAGAGAAGGCACAATTACAAAAATAATGATAAACAATATTTTGCTTTTCATTTGTATATTAAAAATACACCACCAGAATTGGAATAATCTTGAAAGGGGAGTCTAGCCAATAATTTAAATGCTCACCAACTGAAAGGATTTTTTCTTTTGAACTGTGCAAAAAAATTTACAACAGTTAATGGTGAAACATAGCGGCCACATTAAGTCTCGTAACAACTGGAAATAGAAAAAGGAACTAGCCTTTTAAAATTTCCAATCTGTAAAAGAATTTAGTCAATAGTGCTGCTAATGTGACACCTAAGGCAGTGGCTTATACAGCACGACTAAAATCAAGCTATTTTGTGCCACTTTCTGAAATTTTATCTGGACACACAGACTCCATACTACTCACTGGCTTCCTCCACAATGAGGGATACTAATCTAGAGGGCTGGAATTACTTTTGTTTTTAATTACAATTCCAGTAGTTTTGATGGCTGAAATATTTCTACTGACTTCAGTAAGGCCAACACAAACAGCACGTGCTTTTAACAAGAACATTTCAATTCAACACAAAATGAGTGTATCTTAGATGGGCATGGTGGGTATGGGGTTTAGGGAACAAAGGTTACTGTTATGATGATACATCGGCAACTGGTGGCTTGTTGAAAAATTAGAACTATATATATACTTTTCTTTTCTCATTCCCTGAACAAGCTTTTAACACTGTTAGAGCCAACAAAAACAGAAAATATTTGGAAGACAACCATATAGAAATTCCATATATTTAAATATGAATTACTGATAAAGCACTGCATTAAGCTGCCTTCCTAACAACCTGAACAATACTCTATTATGTTATTGAAATTATTTTCCTTATAACTCTTAAGGAAAGAAAAGCCAACTGACCATAGAATAAGACAAACAGGATAGGACTCAGTACTGATTGACTAAAAAGTCCTAAGATTCAGATCTAATACCAAGATTCACTAGAAATCATATCAGACACCATTTGTTACTACACTGTTTCCCAAATCTATGCCTATTTCCATTGTCCAGAGGGCTTAGGAATTATCATACTTCTGTATTTACAAACATAACATCTTAGAACATCACTGGATCGTCCTGTTTAATTAAGACCTTACCAAGTTTTTTTTGTGTATGTCTTTAAACAATACAAATATCACCAGTTTCAAATAAAAAACTGAGCCATACTGTAAAAAAAAATAAAAAATCAGTCATGTTGTAAAAAAATTAATTTTAAAAGGATGAAATCTGATTTAGCTTCAGTTAGGCTTTTCCATAAGGTTATTTACATTTGGTACATTTATTATAAATGATGATATTAACTAATAGAATATATATTCTATCCAAAGATCCTGTACTGCAAACAACAATAAAGATTCTCATTTGATTAACACCATAAAAATATACTCTTGTGATTTGTGATTAATGACTCATTCTAAAGGCCCTGTATTAGATGTGACATACGAACATAAATAATTTCCATTATAGGTGTGGTAAAATTTAACAAGCTGAATTAAAAAAGGAGAAAACAATTATACCATAACACAGATATCAAAGCATAAGTAATCTGCACTGCATGCTTTCAATATGTTGAAACAGAACAGCTAATAATGTACCATTTTTAAAACATAGTATATTTGGGTGCTCCATTATTAACTGGTATCTGGCCAAGCATTTAGCACCTAGCTGATGCTAATACATATCAACAGGTTGCTGAGACGGATGCAAAATGTTTGCTTGCATCTCAGTTTTCTAAAGTTTATGTCTCCTGGTCAATTTTTCTGTGCTTTTTTCTGTGTTCGCATCATACCTAGAACATAACTTTTTTTTCTCAATTTTTAAATTTTTTATCTGGAAAAATTCAAGCTCTGGCAAAAGCTGCCAGAATAAAAGTAGTATAAAGAACTTCAAGTAGTGCTTACTCAGGTTCACTGTTTAAAATTTTATCCCAAAGGCTTTATAATTTGCTTATTCTTCCCCCAAAACATATATGCACATATATTTATATATATGTGTACATATATTTATACATACACATACTGAGACCTATAATTTTTCAGAACATTTAAGGGAAATTATGAATATTATGGCCTTTTACCTCTAAATACTTGATAGTGAATAATTCCTAGGAATAGGGATACTGTCATATATAATATTACAATACTGTTATAAATTTCAATATACTTACCATTAATGTAATACATTTATCGAAACTACTATTATAATCCAATATGTCAACTGACCTAACAGTGTCCTATAGCATTCCCACCTTCTCGTCCCTAAGTACAGTTTCCTATCCAGGGTCAGGCACTGCATTTGGCAGGCACATCTCTTTTACCTTCTTTAATCTGAAACATTTCCACAGCTTTTCTCTATGACACTTTTAAAGAATGCTGTCTCCTAAATCTTCCTTTTATTCACTAAAATTTTCTCCCTTTGGAGTTTGCTTGATGTTTCCATACAATTAAGATTCAGATTATGCATTCTTAGCTGGAATATTATACAAGCAACAATGGGTCCTTCTTAGAGTATCACAGTTGTAGGCACAGGGTGTCCACCTGTTTCTCAATGATGATGTTAATTTTGATCATCCAGTCAATGTACTATCCAGTACTGTACAAAATAATTACTAATTTTTCCTTTGCAACAAGAAAGTAATCTGTAGAGAAACATTTTGAAATTATGCAAAACCCATGTTCCTTACCAAACTTTCGCTGTAGATTTGGATTCCTAACTTTCCTATAATGTGTCCCAAAATGTTGATTCTTTTCAAACATCAGCATCCCCTGTACATTACTACTAATTGTCATTTGACCTTCTAATGGAAGCAAGAGCCCTCTCTACTCCCTTATTTTTCTCTCTCTCCCAATCTTTATCAATCAATCACTGGTACGGACTTAAGAATTCCTTTCTTCCTCCAGTGGTTTATGACTAAAGACAACTTCTTTCGACATATAAAGGAAAGCAAATGTATTATAAGTGGATAGGATCGTTATATTTAATGGTGGTGATCAGTCATTCAGTCATTTCTGACTCTGCAACCCCATAAATTATAGCCTGCCAGGCTCCTCTGTCCATGGAATTTTCCAGGCAAGAATACCAGAGTGGGTTGTCACTTCCTCCTCCAGGGGATCTCCCTGACCCAGGGGATCAAACCAGTGTCTCTTGCATCTCCTGAATTGGCTGGTGGATTCTTTATCACTGAGTTACCTGGGAAGCCAGTTATATTTAATAGCTGGAGTATTTGTTCCTATTATTTCTATTAGACACTTCTTGCTTTACCTAAAAGATGTGTTATTTCAATAAAGTATTACTATATAGAACATACAAAGAACTACCACGTAGTCTATATACATGTTCTCTCAGTTATTAATTCTTAACCACTATTCAATGGTGGCTATTCAAAGTGAGGGTATCATATCCTGGAAACCCTGAAAATCCCATTTTAAAAAAAATCAAAACATTCTAGAAACGAAATGTTGTAGGAAGTAGGAATTGCTTATAAATAAGACAAATTACATTGAAAATAAAAAATCTTCGGATTGAAAGTACAGCAGACAGGGAGACTGAAAAAAGAGATCTGACTGTAGGTAACAATGCACCTACTCTTTTCCCACAGGTAAGAAAGCCATCTGAGTTTCTGTACTCTTTGAGCTGTGTACTGGTAATCATGCCTTTGTTGCTAAGCTACCAATCCATCATTCTACATTTCATCTGCTTTGTGATGCTGCGACAGGCATTCTACAAACCGTATTTCTTTTTCTCCAGGTACCCCAGTCTTGGTTTCATCAACACTTGGTACTAAATGGAGACTGGAGACTGAATGGTTGAAAAGGGGAATGATTCTTTATTGCTTTTTTTTTTTTTTCACCAGCTAACAGTTCTTAACTATGGCATTCACAGTTGGTTTCTGTCTTCAGCTAATTTTTGGCAATCCCAGAACCAGCCTCTTCATGGCTGCTCAGTGATATCAGCACTGGCCTAGGTCTCTTTCCTCAGAAATCTCATACCCAGGAACTGCAGGACCCCGTCTCTGAAACTTCTAGTTTCTGATAACTCCAAACTCTTCCCTTTACTCCCACAGCCCCAGGGAAGTAGCTGCTTCCTGAAGCCACTATTTCTGTATTACACCAGTGTCCCCCCTTTTGCTTTTTGAATTCTCTAATACCTACTTAAAATTTTCATTTTACTATATTCTCTCTTTTAAAGCACTGGTTTCTGTTTTCCTAACTAGACCTTGGCTGACACAAGGTTCATAATTTAAAATAAACATTAATACATAAAACATTATTAAAATTCATTTACAAATTATGAAATATGCTTTTATAAAGAGAAATTTCCTTGAAAAATATGTACACTCTACTTGATGCTACCATGCTCTGAGATTTTTTATCATCAGATTATTAGCATTAAATTACATTACAAAATAAAAGATCAGAGTAAATTAATTATCCAGAAGTGGCATTTATCACTAATTCATTACCTCCAATGTACCTCTCTATTTCAGAGATAGAGATGGAGCCTCAAACACAACTTACCAGTTGCTTTCATAGAGAATGAGACCTGCTTTGAAGAATTACATTCACTAGGACTTTTAAGTGTGCAAATGAACACTATGATTTATAAGACATACCCTGAAATTCGTTGTCTCCAATTCCGATATGGGTCATATAAACTTTCGCAAAATGCCAATGCATGGATCACAAATTCTTCAATAGATGTCTGATCTGCCAATTCCTTCTCTTTTTTTTTGCTTTTTAACTGAGAATTTAAACATAAAATTAAATGCACTTGAAAATATTAAGCCATATGACATACTGTGCAATATCATTAAGATATTATGTGTTTCATTCATCTAATAATAACAAACAATTTTTATTCAAATAAGCCTAAGTTCTACTTGAATCTGCAGGTCAGTTAATCATATGGACTAGATGTAACCACTCAAATTTTAAATATTTCCTAGGAAAGGTTTCAAATTGACAGCCAAACATTTTTCCAAAAATGAAGATGCTTTCAGTAAGAGGGCTATTTCATGATTAAATAATAAAAACATAAAATGACAAACTGTGCCATTTTAAAAAGGCATTTATAAAATGCTTCAATTTTTAAATTAAAATAACAAAATGTATTAATAACTGTTTTTCTACTTTTAGATAATATGCCTAAGATGCCTGCAATAATGTGCCCAATGATAATTTAATGATCTTCTCTAATACCTCCTCTGAAAACACTTAACTTTACTAAATTTTAAAAAGTAAAAACTAATTACACTCAGTAAAGCAACAAAAAGGAATATATTAACACCTACTTGCTGAATATAGAGTGTTGTCATAGTGATAACATGGTTGATATACGAGCAGGTCCCAATTTCTTCTACATTAGATAGATTTCTGTGAGAAAGGAAAAAAAAAAAAGAATAGCCATATATTTATTCCATATGAATGGTGAGAAAAATGCATGCTCATGTATTCAGACTGATTTTCAGAACACTTGTTGGCAAATGAAGTACAAATAACATTAATTAAAACTGAAAATCAATTTGATTATATAATTGCTTTCCCACTGAGAATGCAAAACACACCTCAATCACTAACTACTATAAACAGAGAATAAGAAATACATGTTAATTAGCATTTGTTTATTGTGAAAAATTGGAAAATATCACAAAGTAGAAAGAGTAAAAGTCATTAGTGTCCTTACAACTCAAACATTAGCAAATACATACATTGTGGATTATTTCTTTCCAGGTGTGTTGCTATTTTCTTCTGTAGATTCTAGCTTGATATTTTTTACATATCATTGCCTTTATAAGACATTTTGTGTAGTTTTACAGTTATCATCTTGCTTTCTGAAATTGGGTTCCCCTTTTAGACACATAATATATCTCTTCAACTGTATTAAAAAGCCTGAGGGAAGGGTGGATATCTATACATACTCCAAGAGGGTAGAGTATGTGCCTTGTGTAAAGCAATGGATTAACAAGGGCATGGCATTTAGTTAAAATCTGACCCTCATTTTTGTTTCATTTTAACAAGATTGAGGGATAGCACATAAAGGGGCTTCCCTGGTGGCTCAGATGGTAAAGAATCCCCCTGCAATGCAGGAGACCCAGGTTCAATCCCTGAGTCGGGAAGAGCCGCTGGACAAGGGAATGGCTACCCACTCCAGTATTCGTGCCTGGAGAATTCCATGGTCAGAGGAGCCTGGTGAGCTACAGTCCACAGGGTCACAAAGAGTCAGAGACAACTGAGCAACTATAACTTGCACTTTTTTTTCATGACACATAAAATGCTAAAGTGTACTCTATCTAATGTCGCCAGTCTATGTATTTAAAAAAAAATTCTATAAAGACAAAAAAATCTATTAAGTTCTGAGTCATTAGGACCTTGAAAAATACTCTGTATCTTAAAATCCAGTAGACACTAAAAGAACAGGAAAAATTAACTGAACTAATAGACTTCTTAAGAAGTCAGAATGTCAGGACATCTTTGAGAAAGCAGAGAGTAAAAGGCAGAGGTAACATTCAAAGCCCCTGTGGAGGATTCTGGGAAGACAGCCAAGTTGGAAGCATAAGGAATCTGTCTTCTCCACCGAGAAACACTTTCACTGTCAAAATCAGTTTGATGTAAGTATTTTGGAAACCTTGAGCCTCTAATCAAGACTGGCAACTTCCAGATGAAGATTTGGATGGTAAATTGCAACTAATGTCCTAAATTATGGACATTAATTTAAATTTCAGCTATTAGCACAGCAGCAGCTACAAATCCCCACCCCAGACACGTGGTAAACAGCTGTGCATATGTTCCAGAAGCAGCTTGGAAGCAAGTTCACAGAAACCATTATGGGCAAAAAGGACCCTGTCCTCGAAATATTGGAGATCTGTGCTCCGATCACTGACTGCTGCGTCTGATTATAAAGGTGCAGGGAAACAGTCAGGCAGCCATTGCTATTGCACCTACCCCCACAGTTATTACCCTTCCCTTTCTGGGCAACGTAATTTCCAGGTGACTTAATGGGTCACCATTTTTTTTTTCCCCTTTTGGGAGACAGATATTAAAGACTAGGACATTCAAAAATGATGGCATAAATGGGGAAAATCAGAGAGTGACCACACATGCTGAGGGAAAATCATAATAGATTTGAGCAAACCTCAGGTTTACAACTCAGGTTGATTCTCACCACAAAGACAATCTGTAATAAAAACTATTATAAAAGCAATAAACAAAAGTAACAACAAAAAGCAGTAAACCACTGGAAAAGAGGTAAATCTGATATTCAGCATTATGCTATTAGATTCAATGTCCTGCATTCAATTAAAAAGAAAAATCAGAAGGTATACAAAGAACTAGGGAACTACGGCCCAGTCAAAAGAAAAAAAGAAATCAACAGAAACTCCCTGAAAAAGACTTATTGGACAAAAACTTCAAATTAACTGTCTTCAAGACACTCGAAGTATTCAAGGTAGGCGTGGAGAAAGTCAAGAAATTAATGGGTAAACAAATGGAAATACTGATAAAGAGATTTAAAAAACTAAAAAGAAGCCAAAAGAAATTCTGGTGCTGAAAAGTACAATCATTACAATGAAAAATGCACTTGAGGAATCCAAGAGCAGATTTGAAAAGGCAGAAGAAAGAATCAAGGAACCTGAAGACAGCACAATGGAAATTAACAAGTCTAGATAACAGAAATAAAAATATTTGCGTCCCAGAAAAAGAAGAGAAAGAAAAAGGGGAACAGAGAATACCTGAAGAAATAATGGGTTAAAGCATTCCCAATTTGATGAAAGACATGAACATAAACAGCCAAGAAGCTTAATAAACTCCAAATAAGGTGAACTCACACACACCCATACTGAGACACACAAAGTTATAATCAAACTCTCAGAAGACTCTATTTCTCTCAAAATAGAGAGAATCTTTAAAGCAGGAAGAAAGAAGTAATTCATCACATATAAGATATCCTCAATACAATTATCAGCAGATTTCTGATAACAAACTTAGGCCAGAAGACAGTGAGAGAATATACTCAAAATGCTAAAAGAAAAAACTATCAACCAACAATCCAACATCTGGCAAACTGCTTCAAAAGTGAGGGAGAAACAAAGACATTTCTAGAAAACAAAAAGTCTGTGCCAAATAGGTTGACCATGCAAAACATATTCAACAGTGTCCTGCAAGGTGAAAATTAAGGACACTATACAGCAACTCAAAGTTGTATGAAAAAATAAAGATCTCAATGAAGGTAAATATGTGGGCAATTATAAAAGAGAGTATTATTGTAACAATGATTTGTAATTGCATTCTTTGTTTTTATATATTTTAAGAGATCATATTTAAAGGAAAAAAAAACTGTTCATGTAAAAACTAGTATTACTGTAACTTTGGCTTGTAACTCCAAATCTAATTTTTATATAATTTACAAGACTAACACATTTAAAATAATTATTAGCTTATGCTTTGGGGCAAACAATGTATAACGTAGTTTTATGATATGAAAATGAAAAGGAGCAGGGAGAGAGCCATAAAGGAGCAGAGTTTCTGTATGTTATTGACGTTACAGTGGTATAAATTCAAATTAGAGTGTGAAAACTTTAGGATGTTAAATATAATACCAATGGTAATAAAAAAGAAAATATCTATTGAAGATGCCGGGAGAAATATCAATAAGCTCAGATATGCAGATGACACCACCCTTCTGGCAGAAAATGAAGAAGAACTAAAGAGCCTCTTGATGAAAGTTAAAAAGGAAAGTGAAAAAGTTGGCTTAAAGCTCAACATTCAGAAAACTAAGATCATGGCATCCGGTCCCATCATTTCATGGCAAATAGATGGGGAAACAGTGGAAACAGTGGCTGACTTTATTTTTCTGGGCTCCAAAATCACTGTAGATGGTGATTGCAGCCATGAAATTAAAAGATGCTTACTCCCTGGAAGGAAAGTTATGACCAACCTAGACAACATATTAAAAAGCAGAGACATTGCTTTGTCAACAAAGGTCCAAATAGTCAAGGTTATGGTTTTTCCAGTAGTCAAGTATGGATATGAGGGTTGGACTATAATGAAAGCTGAGTGCAGAAGAATTGATGGTTTTCAACTGCGGTGTTGGAGAAGACTCTTGAGAGTCCGTTGGACTGCGAGGAGATCCAACCGGTCCACCCTAAAGGAGATCAGTCCTGGGTGTTTATTGGTTAGGACTGATGTTGAAGCTGAAACTCCAGTATTTTGGCCACCTGATGGGAAGAGCTGACTCATTTGAAAAGACCCTGATGCTGGGAAAGACTGAAGGCGAGAGAAGAAGGGGACAACAGAGGATGAGATGGTTGGATGGCATCACCGACTCAATGGCATCAGTTTGGGTAAACTCTGGGAGTTGGTGATGGACAGGGAGGCCCGGCATGCTGCAGTTCATGGGGCTGCAAAGAGTCGGACATGACTGAGCAACTGAACTGAATATACAATAGAATATTACAAAGGAATTTAAACATTTCATAGAAAATGTCAGTTAAACACAAGGAAGACAGTAATTTAAGAAATGAGGCACAAATCTTGTTTTAAGGCATAAAGTAAACAAATAGCACATTAACAGAAATGTTACTTTCAATGTAAGTGGATTAAAGTTTCCAGTCAAAGGCAAAGATTGGCAGAATTGACACAAACACATGATCCAACTATGTATTATCTACTTGAGGTCCAAGGAAACAAACAGGTTGAAAGTCAAAGCGGAGAAAAAGATACTCCATGCAAAGAACAATCCAAAGAGAGCAGAGATCGACATATGAATATCAGATGCAACACGCTTTAAGTCAAAAAAGGTTACAGAGACAAGGACATTATATACTTTAAAAAGCATAATATAACAAAGGTATATATAACATTATATATACAACAAGGGGCTTCCCTAATGGCTCAGTGAGTAAAGAATCCTCCTGCAATGCAAGAAATACAGGAGACGTGGGTTTGATCCCTGAGTCGGGAAGATTTCCTGGAAAAGGAAATGGCAACCTGCTCCAGTATTCCTGCCTGGAAAACGTCATGGACAGAGGAGCCTGGTGGGCTACCGTCTAGAGAGTCACAAAGTGTCAGACACAATGTAGCATGCAGGCAAGGCAATATAACAAAGGTATAATACTAGCAAGAAGATATAACAATTATAAATATTTACATATCTAACGACAGGTCATGAAAATATATGAAGCAAATACTGACAGAACTGAAGAGACAAAATAGTTCTCTCATAATAGCTGGAGAATTCAATATCTCCTCCACAATAATGAATAAAACCAACTAGACACAACGTAAGTAAAGAAACAGAGGACTTAAGCAACACAGTAAACCACAGATCTAAGAAACATACACAGATCACTCTAGCTAATAACAATAGAACATTCTTC